TTTGCTTCTATTTATTTTAAATTAAATTTAATTAAATTAAAGTTGCGTTCCCTTATAAACAATATGGCTCAAGACCCCGAAATACACGCATATCAACAATTAGTGGAGGATTTTCAATATAAGACGGGGGATGCTCTAGCTTTTGTTACTGTAAAAATTAATTTTGGATTAATTTAAAAATTTTTTTTATTTTTCAGTTAAATTCTGAGGAAGCTGCAAATCGCGTTATTTTTCATTTGAACGAGTCTAAATTGGAAGGATGGTAATTAAATTTTTTTAAAAATAACTTTAAAAAAATATTTTCTAGTGATGATCTTCATGCCGCTTTCGTCCCGAACACGCTTTCCTTTGGAAATTCTTTTGATGGAATTAAGGGAGCCGAAGGTCCAGATCCGTGGGGACGTCCTTTAGGTTAACACAACTTTCAAAATAAAATTTTTTTTAATTTTAGATGGCTCTTGGGAGCGTAAAGGCTATGAATTTAGTTGGGATGAGGATCATCATTATCATGAGACTGTTGGGGAGGATAGCTATACTTTTGAGCAAGGTGGTCTGTATGGACAAGGAGGTGGATTTAATGGTGATCTTTGTCTGAAATAGGAAGAAAAAAAATTTTTTTGAAGGGGAAGACGACTTTATCAAACCCAACGAAGGATGGGCAACAGACGACTTTTTGGTTGCTAACAACGCTGAATCTTGGGGAACTGATGCAAGTGCTCTTGTCACAAAATATGGAGAAAACGGTGGACATCAATTATATACAAGTGGAATAAGAGGGGAACGAGAAGGACGTGTTTATCGTTCAGAAAGTCGAGGACAACAAGGAGGAGAAGGAGGACGTGTTTATTTGGAACTGTCAGGGATTACTCTTTCTGACATGATTGCTCATATCAAGTTTGGGGTAACTCATTAAATGAAGAAAATATTTTTTTTTGAAAAAATTTTTTAAGAAAGAAAATTAAATTAATACTCTTAAAAATAAATTTATTTACTCCTTATATTTATTTAAATTAAAAAAATTTTCTAATTAATTCCAATAGTAAGACTATTAATTATTTTGATATTTTATGTTGTTCGAATAAATATGTGCAAATTGCAATTTTATTTATCAAAAAAACATGTTTTACAATTTAATAAAATTAAAATGTTTTGTAAACTTAAAGTTTACAAACTTAAGTTGTAATTTTAGGAAATAAACTTGTTTAGATAAAATAAAAAATAAACTTGTTTTAAATAAGCAAGTTTATTTTTTCCCAACCTAAAAGTTTGCAACTTGTTTTACAAACTTAAAAATAAAACATTTAATAATAAACTTGAATTCAAGTTTCAACAGATAAATCAAGTTTAAACTTAACAATATCAGAATTAATTCTTAAAACTTGTAAACATAAATCTAAACTTAGCAAAATCAGAATTAAATAAAAACATTGGAAAATCAGAATATTTTCACAACAAATATAAAGTTAAACATTGTTTTACAAACTTAATTGTTCCAAACAAATTTTGTTCAAAACAAATGTTTTCCAAAACATGTTTATCAAAACAAATATTTTTAAGCCTTTTCTTGTTCATTTGTTTCTTCTTCTTGTTTTCCCTTCCTTTTCTGTGCTCGATAACGAATTCTCTTGTTTCCAAACCAATTATTTACTTGTGAAACTGTTATACCTTTAAAATTTGAATTTAGCAAAAGAAAGCAGGGAAATAATTTTTAATTTACCAGTTAATCTGGCCAACTCATTTTTATCATTATCAGATGGATACGGGTCTGAAATATGTTCAAGGTAGTAGTCATTCAATATTTGTACCACTTCTTTTGAGAAATTTCGACGTTTCCTTCTGTAAAAAAATTTTTTTTATTTGTTATATTCCCCAAAAACTAACGGATGATTAGCCAGCTTTTCATGTAACACCTTTATTGCTTGACAAGTTTGCATTTTAACTTCAATTCGAAGATTGGTAAACTTCTTATTACAATTCCAAATCATTGCCTGCATGTCATATGGAGCAACTGGACGCACCATTCGATGTTTTTGTAGCAAACTTTGAATTATTGGAGAAACTTCTACTGCACGCTAAAACAGAAATTTTAAATATGTTTACTTTAATTCTGGTCAAGTTTGCAAACTTAAGTTGCTAGCGGTTGTAAAACAAGTTTATTTATTTTAATTTCTAAACCAAGTTTATTTTTTGATTCCGGTCAAGTTTGCAAAACAAGCTTGTTTTAAATAAAAATAAACTTGTTTTTTAAGTTAAGTTTTATAAGTTTGTAAAAATTCAAATTTGTAAAACAAGTTTGTTCATTTGCAAATTTAATCAAGTTTGCAAACTTAACTCTCTAGCGTTTGTAAAACATGTTTATTTATAATATTTTATTAAATTTCTAAACAAGTTTATTTTTTTATTCTGGTTAAGTTTGTAAATTAAGTTTATTTTATATTAAAAATAAACTTATTTTACAAGATTGTAAAAATTCAACTTTGTAAGCATTCAGGTTTGTAAAAATTCAAGTTTGTGAAATAAGTTTATTTTCAAGTTTAATCAAGTTTGCAAAACAAATTTACCCCCTCAATTTGCATCATTGTTTTATGGAATTGATCAGAAAGTTGTTGTTTGTCGCGTAAATATTCTTCATCCGCTTGTGATAATTGTACCTTTTTTTCTTTATTGGTAATTTTCGTTGCACAAATTTTGTCATATTCAGAAGAAGGATTACCATTAATAATATTCTCTCGAACCTAAAAAATTTGTTCAATTTTTTTAAATTTTTGTCAACCAGCATATTATCAAGTTGAAGTTCTTGTTCTAATAAATAACCCTGTGGAGAAGGCAGAGCACGCTTCGAATCTATAAATAAAAATTTTTTTAATTATAAGTTAAATTCTGTCAATTATCCAACCATTAATTTGCTTCTTTTCTGCAAGCACAAGCAAGAATGGCATATAAAAAGGATTGTTGACCATCTCACACCTGGAATAATCAGAATAAAATCTGAACACAAATTTAAATATCAGAATTAAATTTGAACATAATTTTATAAATCAAAACAACTAAGAAGCAGTAGGTTGTAAAACAAGTTTATTTATTTTAATTCTGATAAAGTTGTAATCTTAAATTTTTAGCATTTGTAAAAACAAGTTTATTTATTTTAACAGTTTTATAGAACAAGTTTATTTTTTAATTCTGGTCAAGTTTGTAAAACAAGCTTGTTTTGCATTAAAAATAAACTTGTTTTACAAGCTTGTAAAGGATTCAAGTTTGTAAAACAAGTTTATTTTTTAATTAAATTATTTAAAATAAATTCAAGTTTGTAAATGTTTAAAGAAACAAATAAAAATCAGAATAAAAACAAAACAAGTTTTAAATAAAAATCATTAAAACAAACGTTAATTTAAGCGCATAACTTTCCCCTTCAGGTTTGTTCAAACAATTTATTGTTGTTTTAGTTTGTTCTTTTAATTTGTCAAGTAAAATGTTTAGATCACTTTCTGAAGAACTTGTTTCAGGCATTTTTGTTTAGACAACAATTTTTTAAATAAAATTCTCTTAAAAATTTTAATAGAAAAAATTTTAGAAAATGATTTAAATTGAAAAAAAAGAAATATTTATTTATGTGGAATGAATATGAAAAATAATGATGACGACTCAACAATTTGCCCATGCCATTTCCCACAATGATTGACATAAACTTGCTGTATATTTAAAATTTTTTAAAGGGGAGAAGGAAAATAAATTTTAAAGGCAAGTTTGGCTAATCAAAAAAGAGTCGCATTTTCTTTGTTGATTTATTTAATTGATGAAGCATTATTATTGGAAGAAGAAATAGATGATTTGAAAAATTCCCCTCTACTCGTCTGGATTTTTATGGAAAAAATTTTTTTTATTTTTTTGTATTTTTTTCAAATTTTAATTTCCAAATTATACCCAATAAAAATATTTTTTACAAAAAAAATTCCTAAAAATTCCCTAAAATCCCCAAAAAGTCACTTGAAAAAATAAAGATTGCCTTTTTACTTTTCTTTAAAAATACCCTCGTCACAATAAAATAAAAATCTTATTATTTGTTAAAATTGGCCAATTTTGTTATGAAGCTTTACAAAAGAGTAAAGGAAATATGGGGGCGATGGAAAGATAAAAACATTTTTATTAAATTTTAGCTTTTTAGTAGTTGCTTTTTTTATGTTTTTATTCACTTAAACTTGAAAAGTCATAAAAGATTAGTCAATATTTAGCTAAAAATCAAATGAACATTTTTTCAAGTTTACTTATATTTAGTTTTAATTTAAGTTTGTAAACTTAGATTTTCAATGTTTGTCAAACAAGTTTATTAAAAATAAACTTGTTTGACTTCGTTTCTGTTTTACAGCAAACAAACAAACAAACAAACAAACAAAATAAACTTGTTTTACGAACTTAGAAAAACAAGTTTATTTTTTAGTTTTATTGTTTGTAAAACAAATTTATTTTGTTGGTGTTTATTATTTTTTGATGTTTAGAAGCGAACAAAAACAAGTTAAAATAAAAATAAACTTGTTTTACAAATTTAGTAAAACAAGTTTGTTTTTAGTTAATCATGTTTGTCAAACATGTTTATTTTTATAAACAAGTTTATTTTTAGTTAATCAAGTTACAGAACAAGTTTCTCTTAGCTTTATTGAGTTTTTTGTTAAATTCAAGTTTGTAAAACATACCTGTATTTAATTTTAATTTAATCAAGTTTTAGTTTTTATTATTCTTTATGTTTAAGTCTGTTTTAATTTTCTTCCTTAAAAATTATTTAAACATTTAACCTTTTAAAAAGCCATTTTTATGCTTCAATAGACTAGAACAGAGTCCGTCTATTTTTTAATTTTATGGCATGAATATTGATAAAAAATAAATAGGTTTTTTAAAGGAAATGCTTCTACGTCAATTAATTTTTTAAAAATAAGAAAAAAATATTTTTATTTATTCATAAAAAATATTTTAATAATTTCCCTAAAAATACAATATTTAAATAAATTATGACATTAAACAATCTAACAACGACTAATGGAGATTGGAATTCCCCATACCAACCCATAATACAGGTAACAATGTCTATACATTTAAACAAGAATAAACTTGTTTTTAAGACTCTCGGGTGGTTTGTTGCTGGTGCACTTTCTTTGGGAACAATCCTTGGCAATGCTCTTGTTTTGTTTGCTTATAAACTTGAAACTTCCATAAGCAGACAGGTATGTTTTGTTTTTGATGTTTTAAGTTTGTTATTTTATAGCCAAACAAGTTTATTTTTTTAAAACAAGTTTATTTTTCAAACAGTTACACAAAACATGTTTTTAGTGAGCAAAACAAGTTTATTTAAAAACTTAAATGTTTGTAAACAAATGTTTTTGGAAAAATTATTTTTCAAACAAACATTCTTTTTCAACAAGTTTATAAACAAATAAACTTGTTTGTTATGAAGAAAACATTTTCTCTCTCTCAATGTCTTAATCCTAAATTATTGTAACAATTTAAAAAAACATCCTTTCAAGTTAAACAATCGTTTTATCGTCTCGCTGGCAGTTTCCGATCTAATTATTGGCATTGAAGGCATTCCATTCTTTACAGTTTACGTTATAAATGGTTAGCTAGCCCTTAAATTAAATTATTTTCAAAAAATTCTAAGGCGATTTATGGCCTCTTGGAAGGTTAGCTTGTGAAATTTGGCTATTTCTCGATTATACTCTCTGTTTAATTTCAATTTTAACCGTGCTTTTGATAACAGTAGATAGATATCTTTCTGTAAGTCTAATTAAATATTTTTACCTAAAAAATGTCTTTTTAGGTTTGCCATACAGCTTCCTACATAAAATGGCAAACGCCTATGCGTATTCAAATATTAATTTTTGGCTCGTGGATATTGCCAAGCCTAGTTTTTGGCCTTATGATATTTGGATGGCCGTTAATGGGAAGCATTGAAGACCAAATGTAAAATTAATTGTTTAATTAAAACTTTTAAGTTTAATCTTGAAAAACAAAGTTTCTAAAAAACTGCTAGGAAAACAAGTTTATTTATAAGTAGAGAACGTTTGTAAATGTTTCATGCTTTTTAACTGTCTTATGCTTGTCTCCAAACAATGTTTGTATAAACAAGTTTATTTTCTCAAAACAAGTTTATTTTCTTCTAAACAAGTTTATTTTCTTCCAAACAAGTTTATTTTTCCCAAAACAAGTTTATTTTCTTTTAAACAAGTTTATTTTTCCCAAAACAAGTTTATTTTCTTCCAAACAAGTTTATTTTTCCCAAAACAAGTTTATTTTCTTTTAAACAAGTTTATTTTTCCCAAAACAAGTTTATTTTCTTCCAAACAAGTTTATTTTTACAAAAACAAGTTTATTTCCTTTTTAAATACAACAACAAAAAACAATGTTTTTAACTTCATGTTTTTACTCATTTAATTTGTTTATATTAGACAAGCAACATCTAATGGAGAGTGTTACGCCCCTTTTCTCGCTAATCCATTTGTAAATATGAGTATGTATTTGGCTTATTATTGGACAACGCTTGTAGCCATGTTAATTTTATATAAAGTTTGAATTGCTCTAAATTCTTAATTTTATTAATTTTTCAAAGGGGATTCATAAAGCAGCAAAAAAGTTGGAAAAACGAAGCAAAGCTAGGGAGCATAGACACATTGCCCTTTTGTTAACTCAAAGATTGGGTACTCAGGCAAGCTTCCTGAATTAATAGCTTGTTGAAATTTCTGGGTTTTTTCTTAATTTTAGGTCGGTGTGGGTCTAATGCTTCACGCTAGGCGTTACCAAGAAGAAGCCCTAGCTAAAAAACAGCAGCAACCAACTATCGAAATCAAAGACAGTGGGTATACTACAAACAATACAGTTTTGTCTAAAAATAAATTTAATTAAAAGAAAGTCTTTTTCAGCTTTCCACAACAACAGAAACAACAGAGAGGAGAAGAAGTTCGTTTGCAATTCTAGTCAAAGCTTCTCATCGTTTCCGTGGCCGTGGATTTAGTGTATTCAATTCAAATGTTAAGGAGGAAAATACAGCAGTTAATAACAACAGACGCCATTTAAAAATTCAAACACCACCTCAACTTGAACGTCTTTCAGAAGATAATAATAGCTTAGTGAAAACGGCAGTGGAAATTAATGCTAAACAAGAGGAAAGGAAATGTTAGTTGTTGTTTTAAGGAGGGGAATTAAGGAGTGTTTGGAAAAATTAAGTTTAAACTTGAGAAAATCAGAATTTAAATTACTACAATGGAAAAATACCAGAATAAATAATTTCAAGCTTGAACTTAAAGAAAATCAGAATTAAACAAACCTAATAATATCAGAATTAAAATTAGGTAGGAAGTAAAATATCAGAATTAAACTTTCAAGTTTGAACTTAAAAATATCAGAATTAATCAAAGTTGAGAAATTCAGAATTAAAATTAACAAAGAGAAAAATAACAGAATTAATAATTTTTCAAGGTTGAGCTTTAAAAAATCAGAATTAAACAAACATAAAAAATCAGAATTTAACTACTAGGGAAAAATAGCAGAATTACTATTTTCAGGTTTGAACTTAAGAAAATCAGAATTAAAAAAATTAAAGTTTAAGCTTAAGTTAAGATAAAAAATATAAGTTTGATCTTGACTTGTAAAAACTTAAAAGCTTGATTGTTGTAAAAACTTGAGTTAAAATTAGACTTTAATTTTATTAAAGTATTAAACAATATCGGTGATGTAGAACCCCAAATTTACACCGCTCAATTTTTTGATGTTGACACAGAAGATATTGATGTATTAGACGATGTTCCTAAAGATATCGTTTGTTCTAGAATTTAAATCAACAAAAATATTTTTTTATTTTTTAGCGTATTGGTCGTTTAATTTCATTTCCATATACTTCATTATCTACAGAAGTGTTTCACGAAGAGAGCTTAACTTCACTTTTAAATTTTTGCCCTTCCATGGTTGGTGGAATGACACCTTCTGAACATTCAAAATCTTCTTGGGCATCGGAAATAAATAAGGATAAAATAAATTGTTTTAATTTAGGCCAAACTGAACAACTTTTAAAGGTGAAAAAAATTATCTTATATTATTTTTAAATACTCTAATTTTAATTTTAGAGACATAAATCCCTCAATTTGTTGTATTCTGAAACTTTTAAAAATCAGAACAAAACAATTTGGAGGTCCAACAGTCTTGGAAGTCAACGAACAGATTTATCTAATTATTTGCCTATTTATGCTCAAATAAAACATTCAAGGCAAAGCGTAGCTAGTCAAAAACTTGTTTCAAGTGAAGACTGTTTGTTGGATAGAAAGTAATGTTTTTGTGAATTTGTTTTTATAAAATTAGGTTTAAAAACAAGTTTAAGCTTAGAAACATCAAGTTCAAGCTTAAGTTTATAAACTTGAAAAATGCTAAGTTTAAACTTGCAACTTTAAAAACAAACTTAAAAACATTGTTTTAAAGTTTAAACTTAAGTTCAGAACTTTAACAGAAAAATCATGTTTAAACTTAACAATATCAGAATTAAATTAAAACATTGGAAAAATCAGAATTTAATTAAAACATGGCAAAATCAGAATTAAATTAAAACATTTGAAAAATCATAATTTAATTAAAACATTTGAAAAATCAGAATTAAATTAAAACATTTGAAAAATCAGAATTAAATTAAAACATCGGAAAAAATCAGAATATTTTCACAACAAATAAAGTTTTTGTTTTTCAGAAATTCTGACAACATTCAACAATGTTTATCTCTTGCAGTTCCTTTAAAACACGAAGATAATCAACAAAATTCTGATTCTCCAACAAACAGTAGCAACGCTAGCAGTAGCAGAAGACAACGTCAACACACTATGAGAAAAAGGCAGCATTCTGTTCATCATCGTAAAAGACAGCAACAACAAAAAGGGCCTCAAAGCTATATTCAAGTGACAGCAGAAGCTTTGAATCGTTTTCAACAACAATTTAGTGGATTGATTTTGAGTGGATTGGGGTTAACAAATAGAGGCAAACAAAATTTAGTTATGCAGTTTTCACCTTTTTCTAGTTTTTCAAGGTTGGATTTTTCAAAAACATGCTTTAATTAAAAATTTAAAAAATAATAAGTCAATGATTAGTAATTTGAAGTTTGAACTTAGAATATCAGAACTAAAGGAAAACTCAAGTTTAAACTTGTTAACAGAACAAGAACAAACTTAAAAACATCAAAAGTTAAAGAAAACTAAGTTTAAACTTGACAATTATGAGAAAAATATAAGTCAAGTTTAAGCTTAAAAATATCAGAATTAAATTAAAACACAAGTTTTCAAGTTTGCAAAAACAAGTTTTTAATCAAAACATGTTTTATTTAAGCAAAACATGTTTTTAAACAAAACATGTTTTAAACAAAACATGTTCTAAAAAACATGTTTTGAACAAAACAAGTTTTAAACAAAACAAGTTTTAAACAAACAAACATGTTTAAACAAAACATGTTCTAAAAAACATGTTTTAAATATATGTTAAACAAACACATGTTTTTAAACAAAACATGTTTTAAATAAAAATATGTGTTAAAAACTTGTTTTGATGTTTAGTTCAAACATTTTTATTTGTTTTTCTCAAGTTTCTCTTCCTCAACACAACCTACTGCATCTAAAAATACAAGCGTTGTTGCAGCTTCACAACAAAAACAAGTTCCAACATTGTTGGTAACTCGACATTCTCTAACACCTCAAAACATTGAAATTGTTGAAAACAAAGAAGATGGAAAAATTGAGGAAGATCAAAATTTAGAAGCAAATCAATCTTCAAAATTTCTACAAACACTTTTCTCCCCCATTTCATTGTTTCAAAAAAGACGTAAAAAGACTAAAGCAGAAAGACGGGCACAAAAAGCATTTCGAACAATTACTTTTATTGTTGGATTGTTTGCTATACTTTGGTCGCCTTATTATGTTGTGGTTGGGATATTTTATGTTTAAAATTTGCTGGCTTATTAGTTTTATTAAATTTTGTTTCCTTAGTCCTAAGAGTGCTCATTTGATTTTGAAAATAGTTTAGAAACAAATTAAAACAGGGCTCTGATTCGTACTTTTTTAAAAGTATTGTACTTTTTTATCGACCTTCGTACTTCCGAAATTGAATTTGTACTTTTTTGAAAGTATGTACTTTTTTATCAACATTTTTGAAAAAACGAAGAAATCTGGCTTAAGGACCTCCAAAATTCTCAAAATTTTCGCCTGCGGCGCAAAAAATGGAAGAAATCTGGCTTCTTAGGCACCAAATTTCAAAAAATTTGGAAAAAATTTCAAAAAAAGCGGCGCTTCTCAATGGCAAACATTCAATGGACGAAAGAAAGAAACTCGCTTGAGGTTAAGACTGTCAGAGCTTTGCTTCATGTGACAGCAAATTTTGACATGTCATGCAATGAAATGCACAAAATGCTCAGTTGAAACAAGAAATTATTAGAAAAGATTCATTTAGGAGAGAAATATAAAAGATTTGATCACGAATAAATATTTTCAAATTTAATTTTGAGTGTACTTTTTATCTGCAAATTTTCTCCCTATGTACTTTTTTTACAAGATTTTGATACTTTTGAGTGGCATTTTGTCGATCGGAGCCCTGAATTAAAACAAGCTAAATTAATGGAGATACTTGGTGGAACAAAATTAACGATGGGATGCTCCCACGTTAATAACAATAGGGGGGGGGGTATCAAAGAGGATTCTGAGGGATATAAAAAATACTGGGATGAACAGAGGATATTTTTGTCCCAGAACTGTCCATCCAATACTGTTCATTATCCACTAAGAACCCAATGAAGCGCTCAGCTGAACTACATATAGAGGTTCAATCAAAGAGTGATTTAATAACATAATACTCGATTTACGGGTAAAGGAAGGGAAAAAATGATAGATAATTAAAATTATTAAAATAATTAAAATTATGGAGGCATTCCTGTGCTTAAGCTAGTCAACTCTGGTGACTCCCAACAGAAAAATTCACATTGGTCTCATAATGGTAAGAGACGCCCCCCCCCCCCCAAACTCGAGAAGTGCCAGGATGGACAATAGGGAAGCTATACCACAAAATTAAAAATAGCCAGACGATTTTTTAAAAATTATCTAAAAATTTATTTTTCACATATTTTTAATAGGCAACAGTCTACGGTTTCTGTAGAGAATGCATTCCAATGTTTTTGTACAATCTCAGCTATTATATGTGTTATTTAAATAGTTCATTAAATCCGTTTGCTTATGCTTTAGGTATAATTAAATATTATTTTTCAATATTTTCAATTTTATTTTTAAGCTAATCGCCAATTCCGCTCAGCTTTTTGGAAAATTTTGAGGGGAAATTTTAGAAAGACTAATTGAAGGGATAAAAAAAGATTTTTTGGCTTCTATGTATTTTTTATTATTTAAAAATTGATCTCTTTTATTTTTTGGTATTTTATTTGAATAAATTAAACAAAATTTTGTATAATACGGGTATTTTTATTTAAAATAAAGGAAATTGCCCAAATGGGATAAAATGTCATTTAAAAAATAAACGGGGAAGATTTCCGTTGAAAGAAGTTTTTTTGCCTCTGCGAAGGCCGGCAATTGCCGAACGTTGCCAATTAAATATAAAGATGATGTTGAGGCTAGAAAAGAATTAGTAAAGAAATTAATGGGCGACTATATGAACTCGGCAAAATCCGTCAAAACGGCTTGGGATAATCCACAAGTACCGAATTCAGTTTTTAAACTCGCAAATTATCTTTCATTGGGATTGTACAAATACATAAAATCGAAAATATTTTATTAGACATTTAACTTAATGAGAAAGTCAATATGAGGCGATATTCAATTTTAAGTTTTACGCCTGATTTTATACCAAATAAATAACACGACACAAAATCAAAAAATAATTCGATAAGATCACTCATTTTTGTCTCCACAAAAATTACTTATTTTCTTTAATAGTTACACCACATATTACGACGGCGGATGTCAGCCTTCTCATCTTCCGTCAAGTCGTCCTCAAGACAAAAAAGTTCTCGAAGCTCTTCTGGTGTCTTACTTCCAATAACAGCAGCCATAGCCTGGCAACCAGAATAATACTAAAAAAAATTTTTGACATTCATATTAAAGGTTTTAGAGCATTTTACCAGCGATTTAATGTCCAAATAGTTGGCAGCCTTAATATAATTACTAATCTCCTCAACACCGACGTTCTAAACAGAAAAAAATGTTAAAATTAAAAAAAAACGAAAGAAAACAAAATTGCAAAAGTAGTCAAGGATTACTAATACAATTTTACAACCCCAATTATTTGAAATTTTGGGCTAAATAGTTAATTTTGACTAGTCACAAAACAATTATCTTTTTGGCTGTACTCAGCCATTGGCCGGTTCGAAAGCCCTTCGGCAATTTTGGACCAGTTCGAGCGCTATGTTTGACCCAAGGCGTTTCCTATATGGAAGTGTTACAACTCGCCACAGTCAGGCCGCGGTTTTCGAACCGGCCAAAAGCTAAAGTTTTTCCGTATTTTTAGCAGAATTTGCTCATTTTTCTTCTTGTTTGATATTTAAATTATTTTTTAATTTAAGAACCTTAAAGAAGTCGTTCTCATATTCTGAAAAAGCAATAGGTTTGCGCTGTCGTGTAGCTGGATCAGTTTCAATTTTAGGATCAGGCTTATCTAAAAATAGTTTGTATTAAAAGAGATTTGTAAATAACCAATATGTTCTGCCATCCATTCAACAACCTTGGAGAAAACCTTTTCCTCTGTATTAACTGGAAACTCATCCTCTGGCTTCCAGTCGGTATCCTAAAAATATTGAGAATTAAACCAAAAAACTAAAATTTAATAGGGTACACCCCAACCTACCGCCGAGGCTATAACTTCGTCCAAAATTGTCGAATCTGAGTCAACTTAGTATGGTTGGATCCAGCTCGTCGAGGCGTATCGAACAATGCCAAGTCGTTCCGGATTCGAAAATTCTGAAAGAAGTTATAGCCTCGGCGGTAGGTTGGCCTGCTCCCACTTTAAAAGTACCTTATACATGTCCTTAAAAACGCTGCTTTGAAGAAGATGCGAAACACTAACATTAACAATCCCTCCATCGGTTGTCTTGCATTTAATCTAATAAATTTTAAAAATATTTTTATATCTCCAACAACAAAATCACCTCCATTTGCATCTGTTCATCAGTAAACGGACCAGATTGGTTTTCAACTGATCCTACACTGTTAACCTCAACAGTGTCGGATGAAGAAGATTCACTCTTAACAGACATTTTTAATTTTTATTTTAGAAAATTTGAATATCTGTAAAGAATAAAATAAAATGAAAAAGACACAGATATCACAGAGAATGAAAAAAATGAAAAGAAATGACAAAAATAAACAAAATGACACACAAAATGAAAAATGACACACAAAAAAACAGAAAAAACCACAAACTGACACAGCAAGAAAAAGGGTTATTTTAATACTGGATGTTAGATATCGACTTGCGGTGTTTCTGATACTAACAGAATAATAATGAATGCAAATGCGGAAAAGAATAACCCCACTACTAAAAAAACAGCGCCTTTTATACTAAACACGCCGCCCCTACACAGGACATTGATTTCATTTAGGCAATCAACTGCTAATGAAAAATAATCCTATACTTTCTTTGTGTATTTGAAATAGGAAAATAAATTGTGTAAATAGGCAATTTACACAGATATAGATATATAGAAAAGTTTGAATATGTAAAAAATGACAAATTAGAAAAGGGTCACCCCCATATTATAAAAATGGGTCGCGCCCTATAAATCAATCTGGTGTTAGTTTTTGGGGTTTGGCATTAAAAATTAGAGTGACAAACGGGACTGGATCCCGTATGGGATTTTACGGGATACCGTTTCGGAAATCCCGGGTTTTTAGCGACAAACGGGGTTAGCGGGATTTACGGGATTAAGCCCTGCGGGATCCCGTCCCGGACAAAATGTTGAAAACAAATCCCGTTACGGGATGCGATTTGCCGACCTCTATTAAAAATAAAAGAAATTGTTGCCAAATGGGATAAAATGTCATTTTAATAAAATGAATGTCATTTTGTTAAAAATCGTTTTATCTAGGATTTTAAAGAAATATTTTGAGTTTTTTTTGGCTATTTTTAAGTTTTTTCGTGTTTTTTTTCTTCATAAACTATATTTACGGTTTTGATTTTCATTTTCTCATAAAACATTCCTTTCTTCAAACACTAGGAATAAAATTCCCGGGATCCCGGGACGGGATTAAGTTGCAAAATTTTGAACGGGACGGGATCACGCGAGAGTAATCCCGTAAATCCCAGAATCCCGGTAATCCCGTTTATCGCTAAAAACTAGGTATTCCGGGGATCCCGTAAAATCCTGTACGGGGTCCCGTGCCGAGCTCTAGTCGTAACACAGCCAAAGTCTCTTAATTACACTTTTTTAGATTTACAAAAAAATTTAGAATGAATACCCAAACCCAACAATCTTCTTCTAAAAGTTTAACAAATAATTGTGCTCAACACCCAACAACAGACAGTACATGTTTCCCAACCTCAACAATTCAAACTCCAACAATTTTTGAAAGTTTTAATGGGGCTAATGATTTGGATAAATTAAAAATTTATAAATACAAAAGTGTTTATGGAGAAACGGTTAAATGTCAATTTGTTGCTAAAGAAGTAAAAGAAACTACAAAAAATGATAAAAGCCAGCAAGAATTGTCAAAATATGGAAATGTTAATAAAAGTGCTTCTCACTCGTTTTTGCCGGGTTTGGGTTGTGCTTTGGTCGGTAAGTTGGTTTTTTAGTAAATTTTTTAGTGGGTTGGGGAGCTGGGTTTTGATTTCTGATTTCTTGGCTTTCCCAGGTTTTCACCTCCGGTCTTGATTCCAATGTACCTCGAGCCCAATTTTCCGAAGTGCTATAACTTTGTCAGAAGTAGTCGAATCCAGGACGCCCTAGTATGGTTCGATTTAGTAAGACGTATCGAACCATACCAAGGCGTCCCGGATCCAACTACTTTGAACGAACTTATGGCTCTGTGGTACATTGGTCGGCTCCCGGCGGTTCACCTTCTCTCTCATAAAGAAGAGTTTTGATTTCATGGCTTTCCAATATATTCACACCTTCGGTATTGGAGGCAACTTTTTTCAGATTTATTGTCTAGATGCTATTCTTATTCTTTAAAACCTTTTCCCCTTTATTTCGATTTCCTACCTGACTAAATTCAAAGTCTTCTGGACCTTGATTCAAGAAAACTAAGGAATTCTGAAAACTGACTCTGAATCCGGGAAAATCTATGTTAAATTTGAATCAAGGCCAATCTCTACTAGATAATTCCAAACGGTTTTTTTCCAAACAGCCTTTTATCTTTAAGAGCTTCAAAAAAATTTTTTTATGTCTATTTTAGCATTGTTTGAGGGCAAAGGAAGTGATCGAGGACAAATTGGTTGTTTTTAATTTTATTTTTTTAATTTAAAAAAAATTTAGGGATGGCCACATTTGATTTAAAATCTTCAGAACTTGTACTTTGCCAATTTGTTGATACAAGTTCTTATTCTTTGCTTAAAATTAGATTGAGTCTTTGCGAGCCGTTGGAGGTTTTTTTTAATTTAATTTTTGGGGTATTTTGGACTTTAGGGACTCCCAAAATTCCTGACTTTTCTCCTTTGTTTTGCCTTGCTGCCCAAATCCCTTTTTTCAACAGGTTTATTGTTGGAGTTGCCCGGAAAATTAAAATAAAAAATTATGAATAGGAGAGGCTAGGATACTTTTTGGACCCTTCCCCCCCACTTGAGTAGTTTTCCTTAAGATGGAATAGTGCTCAATCTTCCTTAACTCCATGCCATTTTCATGTGGATACGTTCCCCTGTGTATTCATATTAAGGAAAACTGAGAATCAAAGTAGGGGAGGCGGAAATCTAAAAGCCAAAAATATCAATGGGGTCCCTAAAGCTTATAACCTTTCCATTTTCTTATTAATCATTTTTTCTTCTAAAAAAGATTATTTTGCCTGACGATAAAGAAAAAACTTCCTCAAAAGTCTTCATTATGGATTTACTTCAAGACACCTGCAAAAGAGCAAACATTGTCCCAATTCAACGAAAATGCTTTAATGATGCTTTGGGCATTGAATTGTTGAAGAAAATATTTTTGGAAGAATGCTCTAATTTGGATGCTTCTGTTTATCAAAGGTTTGGAGGGTTTTTTAGTGGATTTATATTTTAAATTAGGGTAGGTGGCGAATGTGTTAAGGATTTCTAGTGGCGGGCTCAAATTTTCTTAAAGTCCCTATGAGCCGCTTCAGACGAAAAATTAAACGGACGCCAATTACCCTTTTTTGAGCTGAAATTGGGAGATATAGTTAAAATCTCAATCCTTTTAAGATTGAGAAATTGATTGAGGAAACAAAAAATTTTTAGCAAAGTTTAAAGATTTTTTAATAGTTTTTTTTCTAACATTTATTTATTACAGGTATTTTTGTATGGGAGCTGTTGCTGCTTTAATTAAATATGCCGAAAATGCTCATGTACTTTTTTTTGAATTACTTACTGTAATATATCTCCAGAATTAGTTATAGGTCTTTAAGTTGACCACTACTGGATAGGAAGAGCTCCACCAAGAGTTACCCTCTATTTAATATACCCCTCTTTATAAGATAATATTTTCCAGTCCTAAGGGGATATTTTATAGTAAGGTCTGCATATTTTTTATTAAAAAATCATTTTTCATTTTCAAGAACATTTTTTGTGCTCAAAATTCATTAAAATGTACGTTTGTTGCAATGGAAGATTCCTGTATGATTGGTAAAAATTTTTTTATTTTTTTTTGAAATTTTTTTTAAAGATGTGAGTAGCTGGAAAAGTCTAGATTTAATCCAAATTGATTCAAAACCAAAAAAGGGCGTTATAAATTCACTTTTTGATGTAATCAATTCGTGTGTTACTCCAGGAGGGACAAAAACTTTAAGAAGCTATTTATTACAACCATCAGCAAATTGTCAAACAATTAATAAAAGATTGGATATTGTGGAGGAATTGGTATTGAATCAATCGGTTTGTTTAAAATTTTTTTTAAATGGATAGATAAGGGTGGGTATTAGGCTTTTGTCTTTGAGAGTGAGCCGGTTTATTGTTAGTTAGATTTCGTAGAGGGGGCTGCCCATAATATTGAGAAAGTATTTAATATTCGGAGAAAATAGAAGTATTTGAGTGAGAATTGTTTTTAAAATTGAAAACGTTTTAATTATGATTAGGGTTGGGGGTCCGATCCAGCCTATCCGAAAGAAAGATCGAGTCGGGCTTTGAATTTTGTCACGAATAAGACTCGGTCGGGCCGGCCAGAGAGAAATGACTCGAACGCTGGCCCGACTCGAAAACCCCAACTTCACTTGCGATCGTCTTTCTGTCCTTGAAACGGAGTAAGGTTGAGAGACTATAATTAGAGACTTACTAGCAAAGGCGGTTCTTTTTTTAAATGACCAAAGTATCTGAAGGGGAATGGTCAAAGGTGGTAATGTGTGTTTCACCTGTGGTCGTTTTTATAAAAAAATTTTACCAGCGCAAGCCTTTTTCCTTTGAACTGAATAGGCAAAATAGGGATTACTTTAAAGAAAAATTTTTTCTAAGACAAAATTTCTCTTTTATTTAGATGTGTAGCAAAATTCGAGCAGTACTTTCAACCTTATCCGATCTTCAATATATGATTTCAATGTTTTCTTATACAAATTTGTCTAATAATAATTTAGGAAAAGAGGATTCTAAACGAATAATTAGAAATAAAATTGGGCAGGTTTTTTTTTGAATTTTTTTCAATTTTAATTGTTTTTCTGTTTTAAGGCAGTTTCTCTAAAAAATATGCTGGATGCTGTTGAAAAACTTGGTTTTATTATGTCACAATCTAGTCTGTCTTTTTTTGTTGAAAATAAAATGGTTTTAATTTTTAATTAAAAAATATTTTCGAAATTTTGTACGAAAGCGAAATTTCGAAATTTTTTGAACTCGAAATTTCGAGATTTTTTTTGAACTCGAAATTTCGGAATTTTTTTCGAAACTCGAAATTTCTGATTTTTTTTCGAAACAAAAAAAAATTTTTTCGGAATCGAAATTTCGAGATTTTTTTTTGAACTCGAAATTTCGAAAAAAATTTTTTGAGTAAAATTGAATTTCATACCCCCCCCCCCCTCTTCTATTTTCTCCCCTGCATAAAGTAGAAAAATGGACGTATTTAAAATGTGTTAGTAGAAACCTTACAATATGACAATATGTACCAATTCTGCTTTTTCGAACAAATGGTCAGGTATGAGTGTATACCAGAACTCTGGATAAATAGAAATTTCCATGCCCAAAAATTTTATGGGAATAATGTACTTAAAAAGAGGTGTGCCACCATACACATCTGACGACGTTGGCTTGATTTTAAAATTAAGTCTGACCATTTTCCCACTTTGTGGAAAGAAAAAGAGGAGGCGGGTACGAAATCCAATTTTACGAATTTTTTCGAAAATTTTTTTGAGGGTTTTTAATTTAAAAAAATTTTTTTCTTTTATAGAAATTAACAGATTGTCGTCTATCCAAAATTGGAGAAATTGTAAATAAAGTAATTTCAACAGAAGTTAATAGTCGAAAAAGAAAGGGGTATGCCCCGATAGCAAGAGATTATGCATTATTTGCTGTAGCAGAAAAACAAAATGTTTTATTAGATATGGCTAGAAGAGTTTATCAAGAATTGGTTGAACGTGTTATGGGTTTGTTTGTTTTGGTACTTTTCTGTTTTGCCACACCCCACCCATATATTCGCAGGATATTACTCAATTTCACTTAATTTTCCCTGTGGACTCAATCTTCCGTTCTCACTCGATTTTCCCAAATGTTGATTTCAATTTTGATGACATTGAAAAGAAAAATTAATCTTCTCTTTGTTGGTGTCTATCATGAACATGCCAGAAGGAAAATTGAGCGAAATTGAGGAAGAAAGTAAGCTGACCTTTTTGTACGAATTAAGGAAAATAGAAAATATATCCTGCGAATATATGGGTGGGGTGTGGCAAAACAGAAAAGTACCGGGTTGGATTAGGGAGGTGAGACTCTTAAATATATGTAGGTAGCAGGCACCTCCTTCACGTAAAACTTTGAAGACCCTTATATTAAATTGAAATGTAATGGGGTTGCCTTAAATTGACAAGTCTCTTATAGTGGGAACCCTCTTTATAGTGGACAACCAAATTTTAGAGAAGCGTGCCTAAAAAGGGGTGTATCTAGGCTATTGAATATTCCTTTATTGGGGTGTCCAATTTAATAAAAAAATTTATTTATAGAATATGCTGGACATGAAAGAGAAGAAATTTCTGGTGCGCAAATAAACTATTCCCAATCTAGAGGATATCATTTTTCTTTACATACAAAGGATCCTTATAGTGTTAAATTGCCAAATTATTGTATTCAAGTAGTTCAAAACAAGTCTTCAATAACTTTTACTACGAGAGATTTGATTAAATATAATGGTTTTTTTAAATTTTATCGGAAATTTTTGGGGATTTTTAGGGGTTCCTTTCATTGTGTTCTCAAAAAGTCCGCAAGTTCTGTCCGCAAATTTTTTTTATTTTTTATTTTATTATAGAAGGATAAGTTTTACTAGTCTCAGCCCCGATGATGCTTTGTATTAGGCCATTCACAGATCCCATACTGTCCCTTTATCCTCAAAAGTCTACTCATATTTATCTCTTATGCTAAAAAATTTACGGACAAAACTTGCAGACTATTTGAAGATACAAATGAACAGAACCCGAAATTTTTATTTTAAATTTTAATTCAGATCGTCTAATTCAATCAGAATGTGAAATTTTACAAATGAGTAATTTAGTTTTGGAACAAATGATTATGAATATAAGAGTATATTTGCCTTCACTTTATCAATGTGCTGAATTAATATCTTTATTGGATTGCTATACTTCTATTGCTTATTATTCTAATAAAACTAAAACAGGTTTATTTTTAATTTTTTGATGTTCCCTTCACATTATAGGTAGGGTGAAAGGAACATTTGGTTCTCTAATTTTTTTGAATATTTTTTCATGTTCCCTTCACACGGGATATAGTGCGAGGGGAACATTGGGTATGTAATTTAAATAATTTTAATGTTCCTTCCACACCATAAGTAGTGTATAAGGAATATTGTCTGCTATTTTAAATTTTTTTGATGTTCCCTTCAGACTATAGGTAGTGTGAAAGGAACATTTTTTCTTATGTAACTAACAGTTATTATTTTTTTATAGTTCGCCCAAAGTTTTCCAATCACATAAAAATTATTGATGGTCGACATCCAATTTTAGATTGCCGTTCTGATGTTGTTCTAAATAATACAGTAAATTAACAATTTGCCAAAAATTATTTTTTTTTCATTTTTTAGTTTCTTTCTCAAAAAGATGGACGTTTTATAATTATTGCTGGGCCTAATATGGTTTCTTTAATTTTAAAAATTTGTTTGAAAAAAAAATTTTTTTAAAGTCAGGAAAGTCTACTTATATGCGCCAAGTTTGTCTTTTACAAATTATGGCACAAATGGGCTGTTTGGTTCCCGCAGAATCTGCAACTTTTATACCGATGACACATATATTTTCACGTGTTGGGCATAATGATGATCTTGTAAGAAATTTGTCTGGATTTTCTGTTGAGGTTTGTGAAGAAATTTTATTAGAGAAATTAAGGTTTCTTTCACACTACATATTGGGTGAATGGAACATTAAAAAATTTCATGTTCCTTTTACACTATGTATAATGCGAAGGGAACATTAAAAGATTTATGTTCCTTTCACACTACACATAGTGCGAAGGGAACATTGAAAAATTAATGTTCCTTTCACACTACATATAGTCCGAAGGGAACATTAAAAAATTAATGTTCCTTCACACTACATATAGTCCGAAGGGAACATCAAAAAATTTGTTCCCTTCACACTACATATAGTCCGAAGGGAACATCAAAAATTTTTTATGTTCCCTTCACACTACACATAGAGCAAAGGGAACATTGAAAAATTAGTTTGAATAATTTTTAATTAGATGTCTGAAATGGCTACAATATTACAAAATGCAAATCAAAGTTCATTAATAATTATTGATGAATTGGCTAGAAGTATGAAAATTTAAAAAATTTTAGAAAAAAATTTTTTTCTAAAGGTACATCAACTGAAGAAGGGATAGGAATTAGTTATGCTATATGTGAAAGAATATTGGCTATTGGGGTTTATTTTTAAATTTTTTTAAAATTTTTTGGTACTTATCGGTTATACGCCAGAGGTGTGCCGAAAGTGATTTTAAAAAGCGAAAGACGAAAGGCGAAACTCGCACACCCCTGTTATACGCCCACAAACTGAGTGCTGGCCGAGTTTGATCGGCTATAATTTTTTTGAGCTTGATCCAATTCAAACGAATCTTATATATCATTCGAAAGCCCTCGATAAGAGGAATCTTTTTTCCAGGTCAGACTTGATCAATCCTATTAGAAAAAGGTATCGCTTATCGAGGGCTTTCGAATGATATCAAATTTGTTTGAATTGGATCAAGCTCAAAAAAGTTATAGCGATCAATTTTGGATGGCACTCAGTTTGTGGGCGTATAACCGATAAGTACCAAATTTTTAAAAAATAATTTTTAAAAAGGCATTTACTCTATTTGCTACACATTTTTTGGATATGGCTCAACTTGAAATTTGTTATCCCGAAATTGTTAGAAAGTTTGTTTTTAATTTTTATTTTTTTCAAGTAATTTCTTAAAATTAAGTTATCATTTTTCGTCAATGAAATTTAATGGAAATGATTATGATACAACTCCACATAAATTGTTTAAAGGTCCATATCAGGGCCCTTTGTATGGTAAATTTAATTTTTTTCTTTTTTTTTCTTTAATTATTTGTGTAAAATCTGCAAATTTTGTCCGCAAAAATTTTTTTTTCCGACAATTTTTTTTTAATTTTTTTCTTCAAGAGAACCATCCAAAAAATGTAGAAAATTATGTAAAAATGCTTTATAATTTTTAAATAACTAAAAGACTATTTTCCGAGGCATAAATTTGGTGGCAAATAAAATGGTTTTTTTTAATAATTTTAAAGTAATTTAATAATAGAATATTTTTACGCACATTTATGGATAGTCCTTTTTTCATAAAATTTTTACTAAAATATTTTTTGCGGACAGAAAAATATTTTTTGCGGATTTTGAGAAAATAACCTTTAAAAAATTTTTTTTAATTTAAAAAGGTTTGGATTTGGCATCAATGACTACCTTTCCTGAAAAAATTATTAAAGATGCGGAAAGGTTGGCAGAGCGTTTAAGGACTGCAAAAAGGGAATCGTGAGTTTTAATTTTAAATTTGGGTATTTTATTAATTTTTTAAGTAGCTTTTTGGATACCACTTCAAAAATTGAATTTAATAATACTTTTGAAACAATTGAAAATTTTGAAACAAACAGAACAATTTAAATTAAAATTTTTTGGTTAATTTATTTATTTTTTGGTTAGTTTTTTTTGCCATGATTTTTTTCTACTTTTTCAAGTCCAATCTCTTTTCAATTTTCCATATTTTTTTGCTAGTCTGTGAACCAAGGATGTCACGTGGGCTGAGGAGTAGTATCGAATTTCGGATTTCTCGCCTATTTTTTTCGGATTGGATTTTGGGTCAAAAAGAAGGATTAACCGCGTGACATCCCTGGACCCTCTACCTCTTTTAATTTAAAAATTATTTTTTGTTTAACTATTTATTTTAAATAATATAATTAAACGGTACACCTCAATTGAGTCCCGACTCAATTGAGTCCCGGACCCTATAACTTATGAAGGGATGATCACTTTTTGTTACTCTTGGTACCATTGGATAGGGCATTAAATAGGCTACAATATAACAATAAATCAAAATTCCTGACCGACTGGTAAAAAAGTTATGATCGATAAAGTGCCGAAAAATCAGATTTTTTTGAAAAAGTTAGCTTTTAGATCATAACTTTTTTATCAATCGGTCAAAAATTCTGATTTTTTGATATTTTGTAGAGCTTTTGATTCTCTATCCAATGATACCAAAAACATTAAAAAGTGACCATTCCTTGCTGAGTTATAGGGCCGGGACTCAGTTGAGCCGGGACTCAGTTGAACTGCTCCGTAATTAAATGCAATGATAATGTGTCATTATTTTTTCTATGTTTAACAATTTGAAATGATTAATTTTAAATAAAAATAAGTGAAATAAATTACTATGTTTAAAAGAAACTTTTTTTAACAGCATTTAAATAATAAGAATCATACCATTTTTAAATGATTGATAGTTGCTTTCTATTTTTATCAAATATAGCTAATTTTTAGTTTTTTTTCTACACTTTATTAATTATTTCATTGAAATAAATTAAAAGAAAACATACCCAAAAATTTAATATTTTTCTTTAAAATTTTGTATTTAAATTAGTTGTAAATAATTAAAGACTGCTTGCGTGTAAATTATTGATTTAAAATTATTTATTCTAATAATAATTTAGAAAATGAAAATTATTTTTGTTTTCATGTTTTTAATTCTCAAGTTCACTAATGTATTCTACTCAGCTAATGAGCAAGTTAAAGCTTTTTGTATAAAAATTTTTTTTATTTTAAGGCAGGTAGATCTCTTCATTGAAGATTCAAGTATAGTAGAACTTCCAGGTTGTAGTGATTGCCCAAGACAAGTGAATAAGATGGCCCAGGTATGTAAATTTAATAAATTATTTTAATATACCTAATTATAATATTATTCAATCAAAATTTTTTTTTTAAACAGACAATTGATCTGGCATTAAGAGGAATCTCCTTTGGAGCAGCATCAATTTGTGCGTTAAACAAAACAACAGAATATACCTGCCTTGATGCTTCAAATATTATTGAAGACTTTCTGAAAACTGTTCAAAATAATTGCAGCTTATAAAAGGAAATACTAACTTGGCATGCCAGGTTATCTTGAAACAACGTCTCCTTTGAAGGAAGGAATTTCATGCCAGAACTATGTTTTAGCTATCTTTTATCAAAAAATTAATCAAAAAGAAATTAAGGTCAAAACAAGGAACACCACTAAAGGAAGGAATCTCATGTCAAAACTGTGAAAGTTTTATTGCCTACTTTGCCAGCGTATGTTTTAATTTCTATTAATATTACAAATTCAAAAATTTTATGTAGAACATCGATGTGGTCGTGAATTTCGTTACGAAAATAATGGAGAAATGTTTTGCCGTTCAGTTATAGAGCAAAAAATTAGATTGTGAAAGAAATTCACCAATATATTAACAATTAGTGATTTAGTCTTCTATAGTCTTCATAATCCCGGCCTACAAACGAGGCAATTCTGATCTAATTTGTCAAGTTATTTTGCGATAATGTCTTCAGCGGTAGGGATTATAGTGTTATATATTTTGCTGAATTTTAGCTAGTCTATTCAAAAGGGATGTCACGGAGGTCGAGAAAAAATTCGGACCAGGTTTTCACAAGTTTCTTTGGATCTGGGTTTGAATCTCGGATCGAAATAAAAGACAGGGTTTCAAATCTTTGGTACTCGTGATCTCCCTGATCCCATCAAAAATAATATTTGTTTTGTTCAACTATTTATTTTAAATAAAATATAATATTAAAAAAAGCGTGTATCAATATTTTCCGTTTTAACAAGTTAAAATGATTATAAATCAAAAATAAGAAAAAAATTACGATGTATTAAAAAAGTATCTTTTTGACGAGTTTGTTTTTCATTAAAAAAGGTTCCAAAAAAATTTTTGTACATATATAAAATACCAAAAATGCCCTTATCTATAAAAAGAGGTTAGGTTATTATTTTTTAAGAAAAAATTTCTTTATTTGGAGGGAAACACAAGTAAAATAAGGAAATTTTTTTTATTGTCAATCACCAAAATTTTTAGCAAGCTTTTTTTGTTTTGTTAATTTTCTCAAATTTTAAATTTAAATTAAGGGAAAAAAACTTGCTAATTTTTTAATAAACACACACAAATGTTTACCATTTAAAATCGAAAAAAATTTTTTCTTCTTTATTTTATGAAAAAGCTTCCGGCGGTATTTGTGCACGTATATTTGCAAATGCTCTTGTTGCATCCTAAAAGAAAGAAATTCAAATTTTAATTTAAAAAATTTTCTTGAGTCAGAGATTCTCAAAATTTTTAGCGCCTGCGGCGCTAAAAATTAAAATTTACCCCCTTGCCCCCACCCAAAAAAATCCTGGTTACGGGCCTTCAAGATCTCATCGATATCAAAATTATATGTAGTAGTTCTAAGGGAAAGAATAATGGTATTTGTGAAACCAATTAAAAAATTTTTTTTAGTCACTTAATAAGGAAAAAAGTTTTCCCCGTAAGAAAGCTTTCAGAAATAGAGATAAGTATACAACATACATTTGACAATAATTGAGACTTTCAAATATATTGACTTAAAATTCCTATTTACTAAAAAAATTTCAAGTTTCGATAGACGTTGGGGTTCCCCCCACCATTCCTAAAAGACTATTGGATAAATTCTGAGCACTCTAAATCCTCTCAAAAAAAATTTTGAAATTATTTTAAAAAAAACCTCCCAACTCCAAGCACAATCTTGTAAACATTTTTCTGACCAATCAGGCTTCATTCCACTAAAAAGACAAAATTGTTTAACCATTTCTGTTCGAGCAGTTAAATTATTTGTTGATGGATTAATAAATAAATTTGTTTGTTGTTGTTGATGTATTCCTCCTTCTGTTGCCATTTCATTTTTTATTGGAAAAGTTCCTCCTCCTATAGAAGTTCCAGAAGAAGTCCCAGCCATTCCAGATAACAAAGTTTGTGGATTTAATAATGATAATTGTTGTTGGGGACTAGGGGGTGGTGGGGCCATTCCATCCAATTGTTGTTGTGAAGAGACTGACTTTAATTTTTAAAAAAACTATTAATGGGGTTTTGAAAATTTTTTTAAATTCAAAAAAAAACCAAAAAATTCGAGAAAAACTCAAAAAATTCCAAAAAAAATTTTTTAATTTTTCAAAAAAATTTTTCAAAAAATTCTAAAAATTTCAAAAGATTTTAGAACAACTCAAAAAAAATTTCTGAAATTGGTAAATGTCCGGTCGATGTCCTATCCAGCGCAAAGAAACAGATAGGACACCACAGAGGTAGGACACACACACATTTCCCCTTTCCTTCCATATGTGCCTTCTCTATAGAGAGAAGGAAAAATGGAAGAAAAATATGCACATTCTCATTGCGAACAGGTAGGACATTAACCGGACATTTACCCAAAACTTTACAAAATAAATTTTTTAATTCGAAAATTCCAAAAAATTTCCTTCCCCCCCCCCCCCCCCAAAAAAAAAAACACTTACACTTATTGCAGCATTCTTCAATAAATTATTGTAATGTTCCATTCTTTGTGTACTAACTGGTGTAATTTGTAAAATGTCAGAAAGTATGGCCAATCTTTAAACAAATTTTTTTAAAATAAATTTTAAAAAATCAAAAAAGAAACCCTTCAGTTTTTGGAATAATAGCAAATTGTCGAACAAAGAATTTGCATTCTGTTGAGCTGTTTAATGGCTCGCCGATACGAGTTTTTCCATCACGAAATATTCCTTGGAGGGTTATAACCATTAGACTGTTCTGAAAAATAAAAAGAAAAATTTTTTTATTAAATTTTCAGAAAATTTCAAAATGGTAACTTTCAAAAAGTCAAAAAAATTTTTTTGAAAATTTCAAAAATTTCCTCAAAATTTTCAAAATATCAATTTTCAAAAACCAAAAAACTTGTCAGAAAATTAAAAAAAAATTTTTTATTTCAAAATGGTAACTTTCAAAATGTTAAAAAATTTTCTGGAAAATTTTCAAAGTCAAAAAAATTTTTCGAAGTAAAAAAAACACAAACCGAAACCAAATTAAAATCCAATAAAAAGGATTGTTTAACATGTTCAGTCTTTGGCAATTTACTCAAAGCTACAGCAATATCCATTGGTCCACGAAATAAAAGGCGATCACGAAAAGCTTGCCATTTTTGCTGCATTACAATATTGTGGGAATTACGCACATATGTTCCAAATACTTCTCTGGAAAAATTAAAAATTTTTTATTATATGTACGACGATACACATTTTATTTTAGGCAAAAAAAGGGTTCGAGCAGAGAGACAAGTTCGTGAGAGTCATAAGAGAATCTTGTTCGAAATCTCTTGAAGAATTTCAATCAGGTATGTCCTCAAGTGAAAAATTATTTTCCGCAGCCGCAATCCAATGTCCGCAAGTCCAAAAAACCACGCAATTTTCGATAACCAAAATTTTTGTTAGCTATCTCCGTGCAGTCTGGTCTCTAGTAAAGAGGAAAACACCCCAACATCCGCGGAGAAAGTGAAGAGTATTTTATAAAATAGTAAGGGAAAAGAGGATTCTCCAAAAATTGTAAATACTAAGAATTTTCCGCAAAAGTCAGTCCACAGAAATTAAATTAAAAAAATCATATAATTCTTAAAGAAAACTTACGTATCACCACGTTCCACAAATTTTGTATCAGGCAATGTACAGATAGAATAGGAAAAAGTAGCCTTAAATTAGAAAAATTGCCAAAATTTTCGAAAATAAATTCCCAACATACATTAGAATCATAAGCATTAATTAATTTTTGTCTAGACTGTTCTGGATCTAGGCTATCATAAAAACCAAAAAATTCAATAATAAAATTTTCTGCCATTTTTTTCATTGATTCATCTGTGTGATAACCAGCCTTTAGAAAATTAAAAAAATTTTTTTGTGAAAAAAATAAATAAAATTGAGTGTTGGTCTAAAGCCATTTTCCTAAATTGACTTTTTCCGAAAAATTTTTCGAGAAAAAATTTTTCTGAAAAATTTCAAAAAAAAATTTTTTGTGGCCCTAGTCTTAAATGCTATCACTTAAAAATTATAGTTTTCGAGAAAAGACCTCTCAAAAAAATTTTTTTTTCACAAACCTTAAATTTAGGTATAGGCTGTGAAGAAGTATATCCAGATGGACGTGTTGCCAAAGGTATAACACTAACACCATCCAAGTAGCTTACAAGAGGGAAATGTGTATGAATATCCCTGAAAAAAATTGAAACGAAATTTTTTTAATCTTTTAACCAATAAAAAAGCAAACTTTGTATAAGCAGCAAAATTGTTGTTATATCCAATAATAAATTCATTATTTTCAAAATGAACACTTTCCAATTGCCAACCAGAAAATTTTGCAATTTCTTCAATACGAGAAATCTTCAAAACCAATTTTTATCAAAAATAAAAGAAAAATAAATACCGCATTATTAGCCATATCTAATTCAACAACATTTGGTGCTGCATAGACTAATGAAGAAACAAAGTCTAATGTTCGTAAATTGTTGTTCTTTAAAAAATATTTTTATAAAATGAAAATTTTTTTGAAAATTTCTTCAATGAAAAAAAATTTTTTTAAAGAAAAAAATCATTTTTCATGAATAAAAAATGTTTTCCACCCAAAAGGATTCGAACCCAGGAACAAAAGTAACTAGAACAAAAACTTTTCCCACTACACCAAAGAAACCAACTAATTGTAGGAGTAAAAAAGAATTTTTTGAAAGAAAATTTTCTTTAAAAAAAATTTTTTTTTAAATTGAAAATTTAAAAAAATCGAAGAAAAATTTCCTTTAAAAAATTTTTTTCCACCCAAAAGGATTCGAACCCACGACCTAAAGTAACTGACCAAAATATTTTCCCACTACACCAAAAAAACAACGTTGTAGGAGTGAACAAGAAGGTCCCCTACATATTGTTGGAAGAAAAAAGGCCTTAAAATAATTTAAAAAATTTTTAAAAAAATACATTAAGTCTAATTCCTTTAATATTAGCCAAATGACGAGAAACATAATCAGAAATTGTCACCATTACAGAATTGTGAATAAGGCCACGTGGTGTTTCATTAAGCTTTTGGAAGAGAGGATCGCTTTGGAAGCTGCTCAAATCCAAAGAATTGGTGTATTGATTGTAACGAGTTTTTAATATTTCCTGAAATTTAAAAAAAATTGCAAATGAAAAAGGGAAGACTTTTGGGTTGGTCAGAAGACGGAGAATAATTCTGAAATCAATTTGACCCGCCACGGAAGGGAAGGAGCCCAATATCATTTAATTAACATGGATATACAAGATTTTCAAAAATAGGATTACCAAAAACAGAAATTTCCTTGGGCACCAAAGAAAAGCAAAAAAAGATTAAAAACAAACCAAAACAACATTTCTAGTTGAAGTTCCCAACGTCTCAAAAGGTGCAAGCACTCTCTTCTTATAAATAACATATTTCATATTTGGATTGTGTTTGTCTGCTATTCGTTTTGACATTGCACAAATAGCTTCAGCATCATCCTCCGACATTATAGAGAAACGAAGGTCTCCATTTGCATCCATCTTCGGGGCGATAGGCAAAAAACGATCAACAGATTCGGCCAAAAGGTTTAAAACTAAATATTTGCCAGCACGAGAAGCATTTTTGACCTTTAGAGGAAGGTGAGTCTTTGATTAAAAATGACAATATTGAACCAGACAGACCCCATTTTTTCCTCCCCAAGTTTCTTCCTATATATTTGCTAGAGAGCGAGATTTCCAAAAAAAACTTTGACCTTGATTTCGGTTGGATTCCTTGACCAGATTCTTGACCTTGAGTCAAGAAAAAAATCAAAATCATTTTTGCCTGAATCCAGGCCTTGATTCTTGATTTTTTATTTGGACGGATATCAGGAGATTAAGTGGGATATACTGGTAAAGGGATATTATAAGATTTGAAGGGATATTACGGGATTTACTCTTGTAACCCAAACAACTTTCTTCAATTTTCCTTTCTTCCATCCAAGGGGACGTAAAAATTAATTCCTTTTGATTGTTTGAAGGGCAATTGGGATGGAAGAAAAGAGAAAGTCTGACCATTCTGTAGACAGGGAACCTTCAAAACTATGACCAAAAATTATAGAAAAAAAACTTGGGGAAAAAGAAATGGGGTCTGTCAAGTTCAATATTAATTAAAAATAAAAAAAAAGCAAACCGTGATTTCGTAGATATATGTATTCCGAACAAAATCTCTGCTTCGACTAATTGGCTGTTGTCCTTTGGAAATATGTCCTTCAATTATTCCAAGCATCTTTTTTTGTAATTGAGAACCGTCTCTTCGATAGGACTGGAAAGAAAAAATTTTAGAGGTTATAAATGTAAAAAAGAAACCTTTTTTGCTCTGTAAGAAGTCCCTTCATCATCGTCCAAATCTTCATATTTTGAAGCTACATCAGGATCTAATACAGCGTATTTCATTGTACGCGCTTTAACATCGAGACGACCACCAGTGTAACGGCTCATTTTTAGATTTGATTTTTAGTTTTTTAGATCCTGCAAAAAGTTTAGGCTTAAAATTAAGTAAAAATTAAAGAAATAAGGGGAATGCCGAGTTTTGAGCCCCCATCACCCTTTATTTTTCTTAAAATGCACATAATGGTCAGGAGTGGGAAAACAGATAAGGGATGTCGAGGACACCTGACCATTTGTACATCCTAAAAAATAGTGGGAGCAAATAACTCCGGTCCCCTCTAGTTTTCCTTAAAATGAGCATAATGTTCAGAAGGGGAAAACACGCCAATGGAAATCGAGTAGAAAACCTGACCATTATGTACATTCAAGAAAAAATAAGAGTGGGAAAGAAACTCGTTATTACCCAAACAAAAAACAAAGTAAAATAAAAAAAACACAAGAAAAGGCCTTAAAATGAAATCAAATGACTAATTTATGATCAATCTTTAACACGTTTTTAGCAAATTTTAAACGAATTTAACAAATAAAGGCAGGTAAATTGCTCTTTAAAACTAGCCATTTCATTTAATAATCGTGTAATTGCAAATACCAAGGTTACAAAAACTAATTTCAGGCTGGTTAAGGTGGGGTACAGCCCAAGTAGGCGCGGGCCAAGTAGGCGCGACCGAGTAGGCGCGACCGAGTAGGCGCAGGCCAAGTAGGCGCAAGGCCAAGTAGGCGCACGGCCCAAGTAGGCGCAATTAGTTGGCTGAATAATCAAGCAACTTTATGTGGACACTGGACTTTTTCTAAAACTGCCCTTCTTAGGGAAAAAAATTTATTAAGTGAAGCTCGTTGATGTTTTTATTTTTTGATAAAATTAAAAAAAATCTTTTAATATTTTTCTCATAAAAGCCCCATACTTAGCTGCTGATACGTTTTGGATTATTTGCTAAGTTTGTTAATTAGTGAGAGCCAAGCTGCTTTGATAATTCCTGTGGCTTACCAATGTTATGAATACTCTAACTAGTTCAACTAGTTTAAGGGGGACTAACTAGTTTAAGGGAATGTTATGAATAATTAACTTGTACTAACTAGTTAGCCCTTAGGAACTAACTAGTTTAAGGGAACATGAAGTTTATAGAAAGGTACAATTAACAATCAAGATAAGACTAAAAACTTCTTCAAGGCGTTTCAAAAAAAGTCCAGCTACAGTTAGGATCTTTGGATGATCAGAGGCTTTTAATGGATTAAAAAATAAATTATTGTTTTTTTAATTATTCTTCAACTTTTAATTATACTGAAAGGTTTGCGCCTACTTGGCCGTGCGCCTACTTGGCCTTGCGCCTACTTGGCCTTGCGCCTACTCGGTCGCGCCTACTCGGTCGCGCCTACTTGGCCCGCGCCTACTCGGGCGTGTCCCGTTAAGGTGAAATCAATTTCAACACTCAAAGGAAAATCAGGATTTTAGGAAATTAAGAGAAAAGAGAGAGAGAAGAGAAATAGTGTGTTAAAAATAAATTAGAGAAATAGAGAAATTTAATTATTGGCGTTCTGTTTAATTTTCCCCGGTTATTTAAAAAGTTTATTTTTGAAAATTTTTTGACCTAAATTTTCTCGTAAAATTCGAATTTTTTTTGTTTTTTATTCGTTTAAGAGTTGCATTTTTTTATTTTCCTTGTCGTTTTGACGAGAAAAGACGAGGATAGACAAATATAGTTGTTAATTTTTGGCTTGTATTTCTTCGTTTCCTCTTAATTTTAAAATTTTTTCAGATTTTTTTAAAAAATGCCTTGTTCCAGCGAAATGAGATTTTGTTTGATTTGTAAGCGCAAAGTATCAACAAATGGGTTAATTAATCATATAGCTCAACATTTGGATTATAAACGGCACAAATGTACTAAATGCTCTTTTAGGTTGTTTTTTTTTGTTTTAGTTATTGATCAAGACTTTTGAAAAGCCTGGGCCTCCTGGGTTCCGGGTTTGATTTATTGACCTGGGCCGGATCTTGGGCCTCTAGTCCAGGGAAAACCCAGTCCCATAAAAACGATGGTCAAAAAATGCCTGGGTCTGAACTCTGGGTACAGGAAAAACCCAGGCCTTTGTTTAGCTCGATCACTAGTTTTGTGATTATTTTTGTATTTTTAGAAGTGTTTCTGTTGAGGATATGGTTGATCATCAAAACCGGACGAGACATATTGTTGAATTTGATGTAATTTTTTTACTCTTAGTGTTAGTTAATCCTTATTTTCTCTAAATTGTTGCTTTAAAGAAACAACCAGAGCATGGTTTTTTCCTTTACCTTTGATTTTTGTAGAAGCTTTGCATGTTTGAAACCGAATCTGGTAACCTAAACGAAAATCCCTTCTTTTCGTTTCCCTTTCGAAAACCCTATTCTGGTGTCAAAAAAACTCTCCCCGTCTTATTCTGTTCATTTAGACCTTTGCCTTTCTTATATTCAAACCTCATTTTCCAGTCACTCAAAAATTGGTATCTTGAACGCGTTTGTCAGCTAATTTACAGCGATTTTGATTACGTCGAGAAACACGGTGTTGAAGCTATTCGTCGTATGGGTTCAGCTTTTGGTGATCGAAAACGTTTGGAAGATTTGTTGAAAGCAGAGTAATTTTTTTATTTTTTAGTTTTTCTAAATTTATTTTTTAGAGAGGTTAAATCTGAACATGAACTTCAAATTATTGAAGCGGATGATGAGGTTGAATCTGTTGAAGGTATAAAACTTTAAATATATTTTTAACGAGTATGGGGAATTTTCTGGTCGTTGTCTTTTTCTCTGTAAACCAGGGATGGGAATTGTTTCCCGGTACTCGAAACACTAACTTTTTTCGTCCCGAACTCCTAACCCCTATCTGGAAAAACTCTGAATGCCACACGTCTTTTTCCTCAACCCGCCGTATCCCTGGTATAACTGTTTTAAGCTCTACTGCAGGCGAAAAATGGAGTAAATTTGAGTCTACATAAAAAGACTCAAAATGTTCAACGTAAATTTTTTGGACTTATAGCTTTTTATTGGACTCACAAACTGCTGTAGAGCCTTAAAATTAACCTTGATTGTGTTATGGGAAATTTTGGTTGCTTGCCCAACTTTGTGAACTGTTTTCGAATCCGTTCGGAGTCGGGCACTCCATTTTTGTTTTTAACGTCTCTATTTCTTCAGAATTTTCATGTTTCTATTTTTTAGATGTTTCACCACCACCCCAACCAAATAAGCAAACAACTCCTCGCCCAACACCTCCAATAGATCCGCAAGCTGGAATTGATTTGTTAGATCATTGGACACGTTCAATAGAAAAAATGGCAAAATCGCCAGACATTTTGAAAAATTTAAGCAATTCAAATAATTCAATTGTGTCAACTTCTATCAATTCCAATGTTAATAAGAACAATTTAAACAAATCTGGAAGGTGTTCTTTTAAAAAATCTACACAGACAATTCCTATTGTTCATGGAGCTGGAATTCATGTTACAGAAAATTTGAGTTTGGAACAAAAAACGGTTTTTAATTTATTTTAATTGAGGGGGTGTTTTGGAGAGGGTTTATTTAACCTTTGGGTTATTAAGATTTTAGTGGAAGAAATAGAAAAGGGGAAGGTCTGTAGCAGGGGTGTGCCATTTCGCCTTCCGTCTTTCGCCTTTTAAATTCACTTTCGCTATTCGCCTTCCGTCTTTCGCTTTTTAAAATCTGTTTCGGCACATCCCTGGTCTGTAGCCTTATGTCATACTAGCTAGTTGAAAACCGATATTCGAGATTCGGTCTTTTTTCGACTCATTGGCTTTTGAATATGTTTTTTATTACCTAAAATTTTTATTCGATCACTAAACCTTGTTCGAGATTCTTTTTTCTATTTTTCTTTTTTAAAGCATTTTCTGCCCCCCTTATTTTTAAGCATTTTTCTAATCCCCTCCCCTAATTTTCTTTAAAAAAAATTTTTTCGAATTTTTTAGAAGCGTTGTTTGGCCGATCTTCACAGACAAATAACTAATGGAATTCCAAAAAGAAAATGTCAAATGTGCAATCAAAATGTCGACAACGATTATCGTTCAATGAAAAATCACGTTTTTCGTGTCCATTTTAGGCCTTATAATTTAAATAAATTTACTCAACTTTTGGAACGGTGTTTTAAAAAGGATGGAAATAATAATATTTTTATTACAAATGATTTACAATGCAATGTTTGTGGACGGGAATTGAGAACTAAAAGTTTGTTTAAAATTTTTTTTTGAATTTTGGTTTGAAGGGGTTAAATTAGTGTTAGGCAGACTAGGACACGGATACTGATTTTGGTATCCGGATATTTACGGCGGATACAGACGGATATCCGCAGGCATCTTTATAATATCTGTATCCGTGTCCTAGTCTGGTGTTGGCATAGTTTGGTACTATTGCGGTACTCCCGAGAGTATTTTTGGTACTATTGCGGTACTCCCGGTATTTGTATTGGAAAAATCCATTTGCCTAACACTAGTTTGGGTAGGGTCATCAATTCTTGATCTCAGGGACCGAGAACCGACCCGAAAACCCTCGGTTCCTCACTTCAGTTTTCAACTGGTTACCATAGATTTCATATTCTTCGGACAGGCATTTACGGATACCTTTATTCTTAAATCTATTGTCGCGACCATCTAGTCAGCGATAGGAAAGAAAAGTAGAGAACCAGGAAATGGGCAGCGGCTGGAAATAACAAAAACAGCAAAATTTGCAGCAGCCGATGGGTGGTTGGATGGCCGAACGGATTAGGCCGCAGTTTGGAGTGAAGGGGCCCTGGATCGAAGGACAGCAGTCCAACCCAATTTTTCATACTATGCTTACCTATAGTCCGCTCCGCTGCATTTAAAAAACTTACAATTAGTTCCGGGAGCCAGCTTCAGAGATGGCTCTCGGAGACAGTTACAGCAAAGCTTATTAATCTTTTTAGGATATAAGCCAGGGGAGGTTCCAATAACTTTCTTTGACAACCTTTTTTGAAAAACAAAGTTTTTTCCCCCAATTTTAGCTGGCCGTTTCAACCATGTTTCCGTTTGTCATTCAGATTATATTTGGAAATGTATTTATACTCAATGTGATTTTAAAGTGAATAGCTTCTCCAATTTTCTTCGCCATTTACAGGTTTCTATCTCTACTTAATTAATTTCAACATAACAAAAAGCCTACAAGTTTTGTTCGCAAATGTTTAAAATCCGCAAAACATCTTTTAGTCAAACGTCCGCAAAACTTGTCCGCATAAATTTGCGGACAAAACTTGCGGACTTTTTTTTTAATTTTTAAAATATATTCTCATTTTCAGATTCAACATCGTAAAAAATCTTTTCAACTTGAACATTTTGAAAAAGATGCATATATTCGATTGAGAGCAGATTATGAATTAAAATTGACACCTTTAGTTAGAAAATGTTTTCCTTTTGATTTGCCTGCAATAATTCTTGGTGGAAATATTAATGAAGAGGAAATTCCGGTTGATGAAATTGTTTCAAAGTAAATAAAAATTATTTTTTTAATTAAAGTTAACATGGCTAGAGTTCTTAAAAAATAAAATTAAAAAATGTCCGCAAGTTTTGTCCGCAAATTTGTGATAATCCCCGTATGTGACTTCATGGTAAAAATATATAACCGAAAAGAGTTCCACGTTTATATTTTCTATATTTTCCTACCTTGCTGACTCTGTAAACAATTTTTTATTTTTGTCCGCATAAATTTGCGGACATTAAAAAATTTTATTTTGTCCGCAAACTAACTTGCGGACAAAGATATCTACAAAACTTGGACATTTAAAAATTTTTTTATTTTTGTCCGCATAAATTTTGCGGACATTAAAAAACTTATTTTTCGTCCGTATAATTTTTACTTTTTGTCCGCAGGACTTGGGCATTTAGAAAATTTTTTTTAATTTTTTGCCCGCTTACTAACTTGTGGGCAAAAATATCCACAAAACTTGAACATTTACAAAAAAAATTTTTTTCTTAATTTTTGTCCGCATTAATTTTGCGGACAATACTTGCGGACACTATTTAAATTTCTTTTTACAAGTTTTATGCCAACTCGTGAAATTAAACAGCCACTCACTCCTCGTAATGCATTAAAACAACAACAACAAAATACTCCAACAAAAAGTGTAGATGAAGAAATGGTTGATCCTTCCTCTGATGAAGATGAAAAAAAAGTTGACAAAAAAGAATTAAATGAAAAAATAATTGAATTAAATAAAAATTTGGTGGGGAAGAAAAATGGGGGGAATAATAATAAGGGGAATAGCAGGATTGTCAGTTCAAGTAATAGTGGTGAAAGACTTGGAACAACTACAACAAATAAAATGTATGGAAATAAAAATATTATGACTAGTGGGCAAGTACAGAGATACAATCAAGGATATTGTGGGTTTTTTGGAAAATAAGAATATTTTGAAAATTGCGGACACAATTTTTGTCCGCAAATATTTGCGGACAATCCGCAAAAAATTTTTTGTCCGCGATTTTGTGTCTTTTGGATAAAATGTCAATTATTAAGATTTATTTAGCTTTTTTCAATTTTTGGAAATTGAAAAAAAATTTTTGGAAATTTTTGGGGGGTGTTTTATGCAGTAGTTTTCTCCCTAGATTGTTTTTGCGGACAAATCTTGCGGACAAGTTTTATTTTTTGGATTAATAAATAAAAATTTAGTTGAATTTAAAAAAGAATGTCGGGTTCTTCAAATAAATTATATAACTAAATGTTAAATAAAAAAATTCTTTGTCCGCAAAACATTTGCGGACAATCCGCAAAAATTTTTTTTGTCCGCAATTTTGTTTCCTTTGGAAAAAATGTCTATTATTAAAAAATAAATTATTTAATAATTTTTTGAATTTTCTAGTCACTCCAAAACGCAATTATAATGCTGGATTTGCACGTATTTTCTTTAAAGGGGGTCATAAACGCCGTTTCCGTTACTATAGGAAGGATGACGATTTTAATTTTCTTTAGAAATTGGAAATAAAAATATTGTTTTTTTGATAATTATTTTAAATTTTAATGTCGTGATTATTTTTTGGTTTCCCAAGTTTGTAGATAAAAATGGAAAAAAAAATTTTTTTTTTAATTTTATACAAGTTTTTACTCAATATTATTTTTATTAATTTTTTAAAAATTATTTCAAGTATTTTTGGATAGCTATCAATGCAAAAAAATTTCAAATTTGAATTTTAAGTGAGTGACCTTTTAAAATTTGGTGCTCGGTTAGTTTTTTTATTTTTTAGTGTTAAAAAATAATTTTCCCTCGTGGGGGTTCGAACCTGGCCCCCTTTCCCCCTTAAAACCAAAAATTATCCCACTACACCAAAAATGTAAAAGTAAGCGTTTTTGGTCGTCTACTAGCCTACCTTCCGTGTGCTTCATTTTTCTATCGTTAATTTAATTTTAGATAAAATCTATAATGGATAATAGTCAACAATCAACTGAAAATAATGAGACGCTTACTAAATCACAAACAAATAGAATATTTATTGGGAATTTGGCAAGTGAATTGGAAGAATTTACAATTTATAAATATTGCAGTGCCTATGGGGAAATTGTTAAATGTCAAATTATGAAAGAACCAAAGACTGATAAAAGCAGAGGATTTGGTTGGGATTTTTAATTTTTTAAAACTTTTTTGAGCTTCCCTCATTTTTGCGGATTTTCTGCAAGTTTTGTCCGCAAATCTTGAACTTCCCCCCTCCTTTAAAAATTTGTTTAAATAAATTTACAATTTAATCATTTCCAATTTTAAGGTTTCATAACTTATGCTCAAACTTCATCATCTGAAGCAATTTTGGATGCACGCCCTCATTACATTGGGCATCACAAAATTAATGTTAGACCTGCATTTCCGACTAGTGAGGTTTCTAAATTTTTTTAATTTTTTTTTAAGCTTGCGGACAAATACTAATTTTTGCGGACATTTTTTATTTTCATAAGAAAACTCGGAAAAAATTTTTTTGAAAAAAATTTTTCAAAAATTTTTTTGACATTTTGAAATTTACCATTTTGAAAAAATTTTTTTTTTAATTTTTAGTTATTATCCCAAAATATTTCCAACACTCCCTCATCAAATTTAACCACTCGACGTTTATTTATTGCTTATAACAAAGACGAAGCCAAAAGAAATAATTTATTGGAACCTGCAATTTTTGGTTATTTAAGTACTTTTGGGGTTGTAAAAGAAATTGTTCAACAATTTTCTTCTTCGTCATCTCAACTTCCTTCAATTTTGAATTCTCCACAGCCTTTAAATGATTATTGGATTGTTGAATTTTTGGGTATTTTTTATTTTTAATTTTTTATATTTGCGGACAAAAATAAAATTTTTGCGAACACTTTTTGCAGAAATCCGCAAAAATTTGCGGACAATCCGCAAAAATTTTTTTGTTCTCAATTTACCAAAAAATTAATTATAGACGAAGAATCAGTTGAAAAATGTATGAAAATTGGTGCTTTACATTACTTTTCTGGTGTTCGATTCTATGTTAAAAGAGTTATAAGTGAGCAAGACATTCTTCGACGTAAACGAAAATTGCAGCAGATGGAAGAGGCAATAAACAATCATAATAATGATAATATGGTTTCTTCATCTTATAGTCAACAAGGTTTTATTTAAATTATTTCAAGAGAAACTTAATGTTTTTAAAATTTGTCCGCAAGTCGATTTGCGGACAAATTAATTTTTGCGGACAACATTTGCGGATTTTTTAAAAAATTTGCGGACAAAATTTGCGGACAACATTTGCGGATTTTGCGTGCAAATTTTGTGGACCTTTTTAGATTGTCCGCAAGATATTTGCGGACAAATTAATTTTTGCGGACAACTTTTGCGGATTTAAAAAAATTTGCGGACAACATTTGCGGATTATAATAATTTTTTTAATTTTTCAGATTATTTCCAATCTCCCTATGGACGTAAAATTTATGCCTCATCAAATACTTATGGGGATACTTCCATGCAGTATCCACAATATGGTTCATCTCCAGTCCCTACTCCACCACCCCCACCCTCTCAACAGCACATAACAACAACAAAATCGGCAACTACTTTATTATCTTCGTATTCTTCAAAACCTGTTGGAGGCGGAGGTTATTTTTAAAGTCTTTTTAAATAATTGTAAGGAAGAGAAAGATCCAGTTAGCTAGCATTTAAAACGCTCACTAGGCGTGGATTTAAGATTTATTAAAAGTTAAGGTGAAAGCACCACGTCCGGTAGCTCAGTCGGTATATTGGTGGAGATACTTCCATCATTTGCGGATTTTTAAAAAAATTTGCGGACTTTGCGGACAAATTTTGTGAACCTTTTTTAATTTGTCCGCAAGTTGATTTGCGGACAGCTGTCAAAAAAATTAATAAAAAATTAATTTTTGCGGACCAAATTTACGGATTAAAAAAAATTGCTGATAATTTTTTAGAGCACCTGTAGGTGGTGAGCGAAGCGCTTAGCAATAACTGACAGGAGGTCGTAGGATCGAAGCTTGCCTGGGATTAAACTTTTACCTCGCTCTTAATTTTTGTTTAATATTTTTTCTAGATGGTGCTTCAAGACGTTCAGTTTCGTCAGCGGAGGAAATGCTTAAAGGATATGGATATCATTAAGAAGAGGAGGAGGAAAATTAAATTTTTTTGTTTTTTTTTTTGCGGACAACATTTGCGGATTTTTTTTGACAACATTACGGAATTTTTTTTTTAATTTTTAATTTAAGAATCTTTGAATTTTTAATAAAAATTAATATACATATTTATTAATAAATTTAATTAAAAAAATTTTTTTTTTAATTTTTAAAGGGTTTTTAACCTTTTGATTTTTTAATTAATCAATTAATTCCCAAAATTAATTTTTTCAAAAGGTATGGGTAGTTCTACAATTAAATGGTTGGATGAAACAAGTTATCAATCAACTTATAATAGAATTAAACAAAAACATGGAAGGAGAATAATTGAGGTTTTTATTAAATTATTTTTTTAGGTTTAAGTTGTTTTGGATTTCTGTCCGCAAATTTAGTTGCGGACAACAAGCATTTGCGGACATGTTGGATTTTTCTTTTATTAAATTCTATAACATGTCCACCAATTTCTTTAGGGTTTTAGTTTTGTCCGCAACTACTTAATTGGTCTTTGATATATTGTTTTGTCCGCAACTACATTTGCGGACAGAAATAAATTTGCGGACAATCAAATTTTTTCTTTTTTCTCTCTGTTAAATAAAATTTTTTATAAACAACTTTGTCTGCAAATTCTTTTAGGGATTCAGCTTTGTCAGCAGCTACTGGCATTTTAAATAGGTATTTTTTGTCCGCAACTATATTTGCGGACAAAAAATAAAATTGCGGACAATCTAATTTTTCTCTTTGTTAGATAAATTTTTGTATAAACACTTTGTCCGCAAATTCTTTTAGGGGTTAGCTTTGTCCGCAAATTTAAATCTGCAAAAACTTGCGGACAATTTTCATTTTTCTCTTTAGGACTGGACAGAAAGAACAGATCCATTAAAGTATGTAATTGAAGATTGTGGAATAGCTGCATATTTAATAGAATTATTCAAGTCTTATCCAAATTTGGCACCAAAAAAAGGTTTTGCAGATTTGGGTTGTGGGAATGGTCTTTTAGTAAATTTGTTGGAAAAAGAAGGAATTCGGGGAGGTTTTGGTTTGGATGTTAGAAGGCGTAAAATTTGGTCAAAATTTGAAAAAGAAGGAACTGAATTGAAAGAAATTGTAATTAATCCTGATTGTTTGGATAGTATGGAGGTTAGTTTGCAGGCAATTTTTCGTTTAACGGATTTTTCGTCTAACGGGATTATATGTCTCTTCAGGGCGCCCGTGTACTTGACCACTTTCTCGTTTTGAAAAGACGTAGAAAAACTGACCGGTGGTCAGAAAAACTGACCAGTGGTCAGAAAAACTGACCAGTGGTCAGAGAAACGTCTTGTTGTCTTTTCAAAACAAGAGAGTGGTCAACTACACAGCCGTCCTGAAGAGAGACACATAATCCCGTTAGGCAGAAAATTTCCTTGAATTAATTTAGGTATTGGATTCTGTTGACTTTTTAATTGGAAATCATTCTGATGAATTGACTCCGTGGATACCTATTTTGGCTGCAAGGTTATTTTTAAAAAATTTTTTGATTAGGAGGGAACGAAAATTGTTTAGGGAGTTAGGGGATTGTTTTGGATGTTGTCCGCAATCACTACTTTGTCCGCAAATTTTAATTTGTCCGCAAATTATACTTGCGGACAAAGTGATGATTGCGGACAATTTTGTTTTCCCCTTCTACTAATATTGATTTTTATAAGTTTCTTCCTATTTCTTCAGTGTTTTAGTTCTGTCCGCAACTACATTTGCGGGCTAAAAAAAATATTTGCGGACAATCTGACTTTCTCCTTCCCAGACAGTCTCTCTCCTTTTTCATACTTTCTTTTATAATTTTTAAAATTTAAATAGACTTGGCTGCAATTTCTTCCTTCTTCCCTGTTGTCCATACAATTTCTTTTCAAAATTTTGTAAATCAACCCCCTCAGCTCAACAAAAGAAGGATGGCATAATTATTGGTGGATTACAAGACCAATTCTACAAATATTTAGAAAATATAATTATTCGGCTTGGATTTAATTTAATGAAAGATCAATTGAGAATACCTTCAAGAAAAAATGTTTGTTTATTTTTTGGGGGTTTTTTGTGTTTTCAAAGTCCGGAAGTTTTATCCCCGCAATTTAGGCTATTTTTCTAGTTAATATAAAAAGGAGGACTATTTTTGAGTGACTATAGGGCAATTTATAAGAGTACTGAAGACAAGTTGTTTTGGTGTAGTGGAATAATGCCTGGATTTGTAATTACATGGGTAGAGGTTCGAATCCTTTTGGTGTATTTTACTTGTGGATGATGTCTTTTTGAGCTGAAAAAAATTTCTTGAGCCCAAAAATTTTTTTAAAAATTTTATATAGAAATGCTTTATCGGAACAATACCAGAAACTGGACTTGTACAAAATTTGGAAGAAGTAATTAATGAATTATTATTGGCTGCTAAAATTTTTAAAAAATCGTTTGCACCTAGACCGGCAATAGAAAAAGTATTTTTTTATTAAAAGGAATTTGACCTAAATATTTTTTGTTAGGTTAGAAATTGTTCAAGGCTTCCATTAGATGCTAAAATTGATCTTGCAAGAAGAGTTGTTGATTATTTATTGAAAACGGAACCGGAAAATATCAAGTTTGTTTTGAATAATTTTTAAGAAAAAATGCTTCAAGATTAATGAAGCATGCTTCTAAAATTTTGAAACACGTTTCAGAAAATTTGAAGCATGTTTCTGATCTAAAGAATGCTTCAGGAAAGATGCTTCAGAAACATGAAGCACTTATTTAGAAATCTGAAGTATGCTTCAAATCTAAAAATTCGGAAATCTGAAACATTTTTTTAATCTGAAGCACACATCTACTCTTAAAAATGCTTCAAAAACACGAAGCAAGTCTTTAAAAATCTGAAACATGTTTCTGAATTTTTAGAAGCATTAGGTATTTTTCTAACTCTTCTTTTATAGTGGTTGGCGTTGCAGTGGACCAGTACATTTATCCAAACTAAGTGAAGACGTATTGACAGAAGATGACCGAAAAATGTTATCAGAACAAGATAAGGGAATGCAAACATTTCTTCGAGGTCAACACCAAACATTTTTGGTAGAATGTGGAAATGTTTCAATAAGAAAATGGCCTTTAGTAAATGCTGACTTTATGGCTAAAGCTTCGAATGATAAAATAAGGAAAACTGATTGTTGGTTTTTTAAATGGCATCCGGACGGGTAAAAATATTTTTTATTTTAATTTTGGGAGGTTGTAGGGGCAAATTTTAGGAGGGAAGGAAATCTGTCTGCTGACAGATTTTTGCGGATTGAAGCCTTTTTAGAATTTAAAAACCCGTGTCAAGACAAAACACGGTCCAAAAAAGTCTACAGACGATGTTTCGTCGGACAGTTTTTTGTCTCTAACCCTTAAAAACAAGGGAAGAACCCAAAGTCGCGTGCCAATCCCTCTTGTTTTTTTTTTCAAATCTGTTTGGGATACACTGAAAAAAGGCTATTTGGGGCCTTTTTCAATAATATTCTAATAATACAAGCAATTATTTTTTTCTAGATGCCCTCTAGCTTCAGATGTATGTTCTTTTAAGCATTAGAGAAAAAAAATAGATTGGTATATTTAGAGCTTAATATTTAAAAATATTTGTATTATGTTTGTTTGTTATTTTTTGTTAAAGTTAATATAAAATACTTGGGGAGTAAGCACTGAAAAATTAATTTTAAAATTAATCTTTTCTTTCAAAAATTGTGAAAAAACACAAAATATTTAATATAATGTAGAGAGCTATTTCTGAATACACACAATAGTTGGATCTCTTTTTATAAGGGGTTTTTTTTCTTTTTTTTTGTTTTTTTAGACTTTGTCCGAAAAATTTTGCGGATTGTCCGCAAATTTCTTGCGGACAATTTTTGCGGATTGCTAAAATTAAATTTTTTAAATAAAGAAGAAACTATCATAACTCTACTTAGATTCTCATACAATTTTTATAAAATAGAGATCCAACTTTTCATTAATTTTTACAGAGGGGAAGCGGGAGGGTATAAGTAGCTCGTGACCAACCAAGTCGAAGAAAATAAAATATAATCCTTCTAAAAACTAAAAGAATTTTTCATATTTTGGTTGGTCACAATAATCTCCCCAATTTAATTTTTATATATGCCGAAAAAATGGAGAAAAAAAAAGAAATTTTAGTGGAGAAATAAAATTTAAATAGAATATATTTACTTGTTTTTGGGTAGTAGTTTTACACATGTGAATATATATTTATTTAATATACAGTTAATCATCTACCATTTCAAGATCCTCCTCATTCACTTCTATAATATTCCTCTTCCTATAAAAAATTTTTAAAACTCGAAAAAAATTTTAATTAAAAAAATTTGCAGTTTGTCCGCAAAAATTTTGCGGATTGTCCGTTAATTTCTTGCGGACAAATTTTTGCGGATTGCTAAAATTAAATTTTTTCTAATAAAAAAATCCGCAAAGGTTAGTGTAATCGTTTGCGGAATGTCCGCAAAAATTTTTGCGGATTTTAATCCAAAATTTTTTAAAATTAAAAATCAAACCATTCATCAATATTTCTCAACACAATATTTGCCAAATTTTTTATTGCTTCAGTCGACCGAGCATCTACAGACAAATTTTCCAACAATTCCAAACCTCCTTCATCTATTACAAAACGACAATATTTTTTTCTGTCTGTGGTTGTTAAATTTGCCAATGCCCAAACAGCCCATTGCTGTGCTCCTTCAGAATGCCATTGTGGTAGTAAACATATAATTGGTTTAAAGCTTCGATAGTTGATGAAACGGCGCGCTTGTAAATCCCATTTTTCAGTAGCCTAAAAAATTAGGAAAAAATTTTTTTGAGACTTGCGGATTTTGTCCGCAAAAAATTTGCGGATTTTCTCAAAAAAATTTTGCGGATCTTTCTCCTCTAATTTTATTTACAAGACATTTCTGGGGCTTTCAAGAAAAATAAAAAATTTTCAAAAAAAACCTTAACAATCTTTTTATTAACATCTTCTCTTGGAATATTAACACCAGATTCTGCCCAACGTTCATCTCCATCACTAACTAAATGGGCTAATACACCTGCACTATTGTAAGAAATTTCAATACTTTCTGTCAAGTTGTCGAGTAGATGGCTTGAAATTGGAAAAAAATTTTTTTGGGAGGTTTTTTGCTTGTAGGTATTTTGGGAAATCTTTTTGGCCTTAATAGAGCCCGGAAACGCGCTCCCAAAAAATTTTTTCCTATGCTATAAAAATTCAGATCCGTCTTTCTAACCCTTACAGATCAATTTTATGCTAGTAAAAAAATAAAAAAATAAACCAAAAAATTTCCAAATATGCATTAGTCATTAATTGATTGCGTAGTTCAAAAACTTCAGCAATATTTCCAATTAACCCTGAAAAGAAAAGTTCAAAAAGAAATTTTAATAAATAAAAATACCCATCATGTTTCGAACAAGCTCAAAATATCGAGAACCAAAACGCGAAAAGCATTTACTAAAAAGTGACAAACCATGGGCTTTAAGAAAACGTTCACAATTTGATGGAGTTTCGTCTTTAAATCGAGGAAAATTAAAAAAAAAATTTTTTTGCGGATTTTCTGCAGGATTTTGCGGACAAAAATTTTTTTGCGGATGTCCGCAAAAATTTTGCGGACAAATTTTTAAAAATTTTTTTCTGCTAAATTTTGCGGATTTTCCGCACTTTTAAAATAAAAAAATTTTTTTCAAAAGTTTTTACCAGTAATATTCCACAAAAAAGACCATCCAACTTCCATAACATCATCACATGTATTCGCACTTAATTTACGTTCAATTTGTTTTAGAATTATCTGAAAAAAAAATCAAAAAATTTTTTTCTAAATCAGCAAAGAATGGAATGATTTATCCGTTGGCTTCAGAAAATTTATGGAAATCCGGAAAAAATAAAAAAAAATTTTTTCATCCAAGAGAGGTTGTTTGGGGAACTCAAGAAAAAATAGGCAATTTAAAATTAGAAACTGAAAAAAAATTTCTCGGATTCCCCTAAAAAAAATTTTTCTAAATTACTTTTCAGTCCCCCATTATAGACAAAAAATATCCCAAAAATTTAAATAAAAAAATTAAAAACCTCAATAGCCCCAATTTCCCCAACTTCAACTTTTTGTTCTCCCTCAACATGACAAGCCATAGAATTGAGCAAAAATACAACTATACGTTGAGTTAAAACATCAGAATTATGCGTTTCCAAAACTTTAACCAACAAATTTGCAACTCTTCCATAATTAAAAAGAATTTCTTGAGGAATATCAAACTGAAAATTTTGGGGGAAATTTTTCGAAAAAATTTTAAAAGAAAAAAAACCTGGCAAAGACTTAAACAACAATTCCTAACCATTACTTGCTCTTCTAAATGACTTTCCATTCCTTTAAAAAATAAAAAAAAACTTTTTTTAACAAAAAAATTAAATAAACCATCTAACAAAGCCAAAATTACACGACGTTTAGTATCTCGATTCATTTTAACATGGCCTATAAAATAACAAAAAAATTTGTTTAAAATGGTTTAAAAAGAAAAATAATTTTAATTTTAGTAGTACCTCAATAACACAGTCTCTAAACCGTCTAGACTAGAGATCGGAAATTTTGAAAAGCCTGGACCTGTTCCTGGGCTCTGGAGTTTAATTTCTTGACATGGACTGGATCCTGGGCCTGCAGTCCAGGAAAAAACCCAGGCCCAGGAAAAACCCAGAAAGGTCAAAAAATGCCTGGACCTGGACTTTGGGTACAGGAAAGCCTTGGTCCAGACCCAGGCCGATCTCTAGTCTAGACCACCATAAGTCTAGACCCTCGTAACCTTTTAGAGAGAGAAGTCCAGACCCCCATAACATTTTAAGGGATCAGAATTTTTTGTGAGATTTATTTTATAAATAAGTCTCATTGGATCATAAACTAGACCAGAACCAGTTAAACTTTTTATTTCTTTGTTTTATATAAGATTTTCCCCCAAATTTCCCTCTTAACTAAAAATTTATTAAAATAAACTAACGTATAATATAAAACATTGAAGCACTTCCAGCAATTTGTAAATCTTTATTTCCCAAATGCATTTTTAATGCACGCAAAACCAAATGAAGAGCATCCACATAACGATGCTATAACGAAAAGTTATTTTTCAATTGAAGAAAAAATTGGTACTTGTGCAGTTTACCCCCCATAGTCCCCGACGTTATTTCTTCTTTCCTGCTTTCTTATAAAGGGACTTATTTTCTGAAATAAACATGAAAATATTGACATAACTGTCATTTTATAAACAAAAAGAGGAAGAAAAAAAAAGGTTGGGGTTTATGGGGGGTAAACTACACAGGTACCAAAAAATTTTCAAAAATTTCAAAAAAAAATTTCAGAAATTTTCAAAAAAAAATTCAAAAAAATTTTCAAAAAATTTTTCAAAATTTTTCAAAAGATTTCTAAAAAATTTCAAAAAATTTTTCAAAAAAAAATTTCAAAAAAAAATTTTCAAAAAAACCAACCAAATCAGTCCCAAAGCGATATAATTGATAACTTTCATTCAAAACTGTATGCATTGTTTTAGGTCTTTCCAAATATACTTCCATTGCTGTCAATACTTGATCTTCACCATGTTCACCACTAATACGTTCTGCTGGGATATTTGTATATTGTGAACTACTATCACAATTAAATATTCCCAAAAATTTTAAAGGACGACGTAGAAAACATAAGGCTGGGATGTCACTATTAATTATTCTGAAAAAAAAATTTTTTTGGTAAAAATTAATGTAAATTTGAATTTTATTTTGCCTCATCATTAGAGAAAAATAAACATTAAAACTCCAATAGGACTCGAACCCGAACCTAATCAATTAGGAACCTAAACGTTTCCAACTACACCACAACCTCACCATTCGTTCTTATGTTTTGACCCATATATAATCCAATAAATAAAAATTTAAAAAATAATTATATTAAATACCCTCTTCCAATAAAAGGACGATCATTATCAGAAGAAGCCGAAGTCAAATTCGTTCCAGAAATATCCAAACTAACCAAATTTGGTAATGAAGTAATTAATGCATGTAAAGAAGTTACTGGACGAGTATAATGTCCATTGGTTCGATCACTTTGAGAAATGTCTAGACTTCTAAATTAAATAAAAAAATTTTTGGTAGAGATAGAAAGGCCGAGGCGGCAAATTCAATCAGAAAAAAAAATTTTTTTACACAGCCACTAATCCACAATAAATTTATAAAGAAATACGCAGTCCGCTTTTTTTTTTGAAAATCCGCAATTAATTTTAAAAATCCGCAAATATTTGCGGACTGGAAATTTTCAGTTGCGGACAACCCCAGTTCAAAAAGAATAGTACCCAAGTCGTTTAAACCAAAAAAAAAACACTTTTATAAACTATAAAAAATTATATAAAAAAATATAAACTTTAAAGTAGTTAAAGTAGCAATTGTATCAATTGAAGTCTCCAAATCGCGAACATCATAAAGCACTAAAGTTGTTAAAAAATGAAGCTTTTGTAGAGGTAAAAAGTCATGAATAACCCATTCAGACAAATCAACAGTTTTTAAATTTGGCAATTCTGAGAAAATACGAACAAGAAAAGCTGATTTGGTTTCATCCTCGATGCTGTAGGTATGGCCCTGTGAATTTATTTTAGATTTTTTAAAAAGGTAATGAAGGAAAAGGTAATGTAATTTCCGGAGCGTGCCGTAATGGCAAAATGCCAAAAAGCCACCGAAATACTAAAAAATTAATTCTAAAAAGCCGCAAATAATTGCGGACTAAAAAATTTGTATGAAATGACGGCGAAAAGCCACATCTCCCAAAAGCCATTGAAAAAACAAAAAGGGGAAATGACATCGTAATACCAAAATCGAAATACCAAATCGTCAAAAATATTCCACAGTTGTTGGAACATAATCCCCCGTTGGAATTTTTAAATAATTGAAAGCTCCTAGAACCATTTTTGATTCCAGAGAGGTATAGAAATTCAGGCCCATGCAGAAACAACCCTCAAAATGCTCTGACGACCGGGCAATTAATTTAGAACAAAAACCCCAAAATATACTAAAAAAATACTTGAAGAAGGTAAAGATGCTCTAAAGCCGGACAAAAATGCATAAATTGTGGCGGTGACTCAATTTGAGCTTCATTGTGTTCCATAATTGCACGTAATTTGTATTCATCCATCTGGCTTTCATCTAACGACTCAGAACGTATTACATTGTCATTTGAAAAGAGACGGCGACTAAAAAAGTTGAAATTTACGAAAGGGTTGAAAGGGTAAATGTCCGTAAGATTTACCACGTACAAGGAAACCTCAAAATGTAGCCAAAAATTTTTTAAAAAAATTATGACAACGTGTAGAGAATGGTCAATAACATATTCCCAATTTCTGGCTCCAAACCCCTAAGCCGAGAAGTTATAACAGATCAATGTTTCCGCCTTTTGGAGCGGATGAGTCTCTCCTCATTTTCCTTATTAAAGATAAAAAATAACACAAAAAAATTATCTTACATATTATCCTCCATCAAGTCAAGAGGCATTTTCCGATTAGATTTATTCAAATTTGAAACTAATTTTTCAAGAGCAACACATCCCACTGAAGGTTGGTAACGTTGACGATAACGTGGAACACGTAAAATATCCAAAGAATTTAATTTTAGTGAGTGTAAATGTTGCAATTTAATTTTTGTTTTGTAAAGGAGTGAGCAAATACCGGCTGCTGTAATGCCCTATAAAGAGAAAAAACGATTTTTTACAGAATTTTGGAAGAGAAAGCGATCTCACTATAAGATAAACACAATAGAAGATTCACATCAATTTAAAATTATAAGAAATCATTGGATAGAAGAAATCCGCAAATTATAAGAAAATCCTTAGGTCCTAATTATAAGAGAATCCTTGGGTTTGGAAAAATTGTGTCATATACATAATGAGGTTATCTTAAATTGGAGGTGTCATTTGGATAGCTTCACCCAACTATTTAATATCAAATCAAATTAAAGAAATTGAATGACCATTTGATGGGAGACGCTGATTAACACAAGTTTCATTCCCATTTAACCCCAGTTTATTTATAAGATAAAATTACTCAATACAAGAGCGTATCTTATAGTGTCAGTCTTATAATGACGGCCTTACAAAATTCTAAAAATTTCCGCCCGAGGTGCAAAAATCTAAACTTTCCTTCACAAATGATTCCCCCTGCCCCCATCCCTCCGAAAAAACTCATGGTTACAGGCCTGTATAGTAAGGTCAGAAAAACAAAATAAAAAAACCTTTGTACTAAGCAGACTTAGCGAAGTCAAAGAATATCGTTGATTAATCAAAAGAGCAGCCAAAATTCTGTCAGTTATTTGAACACCAGAAAGATCCACAATAGAAACTGGGCACATATCTCCAGAATAAAAAGGCTTTAAAGCATTATCAATTTCTTCTGGGCTTTGGCTGTGTTCTGTATTTCTCCAACGATCACAAATTTTGTGCAAAACCATTTCTGATGGATGTATAGGTAGAAAACCTTGAATATTGGATTGGGTTGAAGGACGTTCACTGATCATTTGGTATTGAATTAATGCTTTTTCTGCGGCAGGATCACGAAGGCCAGCAACTCTTTAAAATAAAAATTAAATTTTTGAGTGAATCCAGATGCCTGGCTTTTACATTAGAACCTGCTAAAGCTCAGATAAATAGTTAAATTCATGGGTCTCGCTTATATGGGAATAGAAGACACTATTCCTGCTCCAGAAAAAGGGGGGCTATATAAAAATCCAGAAAAAATGCCTTAAACTGAAGCTAGAAGGAAAAAACTATTACTATTCAAAGCCCCATAAAGATATAAAAACCCAACAAAATTGTTCAAGCCCTAACCCTACATTAAGCCCAAACCGCAAACCCACAAAAACAGTTAACTAGTGATCTACCCAAAGAAATTAACCTTAAAAGGGCCCAACCTTAATTAATTAAAATTACCGGCTATGTCCATGAGGTGATGATTCTCTCGAATCTGAGATTTTAGATGATGACGATGCAGTCAAAAAAGCTTCGGCAGCACGTTCAGAAAAAGTTACGTCACGTTTACCAGTATACAAATAGTGTTCAGCATGATTAGCCACAATTTCTGCGCTTAATTCTATTAAAGAAGGCGCTTCCAAAGGTCTATCATTTTGTTGAGGAACGTTTTCAGGCATTGTTTCTGAAAAATAAGTGAAATCATTGTAAGAAAAAGAATAGATTTAACAAAGAAAACATGTAAAACTTAATGAAAATTAACGAAAAAAGCAAATTTTAGGTGTTTTTTGGATTTGGTCAATCGTAAGAGTTGTCCTCGAAAAATTTCATTTTACCAACTTTTCACTTCGGTCAGATGAGGGAAACATTTAATTTTGCCATGGGGTAATTTTCTTTTGCTGGGAGCAAATTTTAGGCGTTTTTGTATTTGGTCAATCGTATAAGTTGTCTTCGAAAAATTTCATTTTATCAACTTTTCATTTCGGTCAGTAGTGGTAAAAATTTCATTTTGCCTCAGCAAGATTTTCCTCAGCTGGATTTTCGTGTTTTCAAGGCACTTTTATTTATCTTTTTCGTTAACCTTTTTAGATTTCTATTATTTTCTGTTAGTTACCTTTCATTGCAGACTTGTCTATTTCTTATTTTTAAATAAAAATGCTAATTAATTTTTCAATTTATTCAGCATCAAAAATCCTTTCTACAATTTAAAATTTGTTTAAATGACAAAGCGTTCGTTAGCTTCTGAAGATAGTGATGATGATGAAATTCAAGCCAGTTCAAGTGAAGCTCGTATTGACTCGCCGCATACAAAAAAGAGAAGATTTGTTGAATTTGAACCTATTAGAATTTGTAGTATTGGAAGTGTGGTATGTTTTTATTTGGGTGGGGAGTGGGAGAAGGCGGTCTTCCTAACTTGGTCCAGACAGAATTTAGTCTGACCAAAGCTTGGCGTGGGTGGTGAAGGGTAAAAGGCGGTCTTCCTAGACTTGATCCAGCCAGGTCTACTCTTTAGGTGGTGAGGGGCGAAAGTCGGTCTTCCTAGACTCGCCCCAGACAGAATTGGTCCAGACCAAAACTTGGCGTGGGTGGTGAGGGGCTAAGCGCGGTCTTTTTAAACTAGGTCCTGACAAAACTCTGTCCGACCAAAATTTGGTTGGTCTAGACGTCGAGTTTTGCCCTGACATTTTTAAAATGTTTCCTGAAGGATTTAAAGTCTCTTGGTTTCAGAAAGAAATTGAACACAAAGTTCTTCGAGCACAGCATTACAAGCTTTGTGAGCGCTTTCGATATAAACAAAAAATTCAACAGGAATTGGAAAAAAGGATTGAGGAATTTGAACGTCGCCAAGTTCAGGATGATGCTGTTAATTGTATTATTAACAGATATTGGAATAGGGTTTGTGGAATTTTTTTTTGCTTTGTCAATAAATCAAACCCGGGAACAGGCCTAGACTTTCCAAAAATACCGATCCCTAGTGTGAGGCAAAATCTGGTCTTCCAAGACTGTGAAATATGAGAACCACTTTATTTTTGGGTAGAAAATGGGTAGATTAGTATATTCTGTGGGGTTTTCATCAGATCATTAAGGAAAAAATGTGTTATGTCTTGAATAGGGTTATTTGTGGACCGGTTATTTTTGCCTGTGGTGGCACAAATATGTAGGGAAGAATAAAAGCATTTGAGCCGCCACAGGGAAAGATTAACCGGGCGCCAACCAGTGATGGAATAGTTTCCAGTTCCTGAACCGGAACTGGTTCAAGAGAAATTTTGGAGATTTTCCATCACTGGTGCCAACAATCCTTGTTCTTGTCCTGTTTATTCTTTTACGAAATATGAGAACCAATTTATGATCCCAAACCACTATTCATTTCTATTTTCACTTTCATTCATGTTTTTCACCTTCATGGACTCCTTTTTTCAGTTAGATGCGGACATTCAACTTTTGTTGCAACGCTTTGGTGAAGAAACACCTCAATTACAACTTGACACGGAAGCTAAAGGTTTATTTTTAGTTTGTGTCCTTTTTATAATTTTTAACAAAATTTTAAGAAGAATCAACGAGCAGTCCACCCCAGGGCAAGCATTTTCTTAATTTACTCGCTCAATGGAGCTGTGATGAATTGGACGATAAAATGAAGCAGAGGGTTGAATTTAGTCAACGGGCAATTGCAAAATTATTGTTGACATGTGCTAGGATAAGTGAAAGAAATGGTAGACTGTGCGATTTATTAAAAGGTTTGGAAATTTTTTTAATTATCTTAGGGCATAGGGATGAAAATATATTTCTATAAAGTCATATTGCGGGTTTTCAACGCCTTTTTTCAACTCCCAACCCTATTTCTGGCCATGTTCCTTTTATAAATGGAACAGAGATCCAGCTGGTTTGGAGTTAAAACATTTGCTGGACGATGTTTTAAGTTCTATTAATGGGGCAGCAACAATGCCACCGACAGCTCCCTCGGTAAATCACCTCTACTTGATGAGCGAAAGCTCCTAGCAATAACTGCCCAGAGGTCTGCGGATCATTGCCTGCGCGGGGCTTACTTGAATTTAGTCAATGGGCAACTACCTCTTTCTTTCTGCCTTTTACCCAACTCAATGATTAAAAAAATTTTTTTTCATTTTCTTACTTTTCTTTTAACTAAAATAGATTATGGGAACAATGAAAACAAAATAGTTGACGATTCCTCACCAAAAATTAATGAAGAATTACAATCTTATGCAACCTCAGTTTTTGAAGAAAATGTGTCTAACAAAAAACTTGTAAATGAATTACAAACAGAAAATCATCGTTTAAGTTTACAGGTTTCTTTAAAAAAAATTTTTTTTTTAATTTTTAAATAAAAATTAGTCTTCTTCCTGTGATGATAAAATTGCTTTAATGGAATCTAAGGTGGAAACATTAAACAATGAAATTGAGGATCTTCGATGTCAATTGTTAAAGTCTTTTAGGAGAGAAGAAAAACTTGACTTTCGACTTGCTGAGGTTTCTTATTTTTCTTTTTTATTTTTTTAAGGAATTTCTTTTTTTAAATATAACCCGCTTTTTAAGGTGTTTTATAGGTTACAAGATGTCTAGTTATTTTAAATATGAATGAAAAAGTTGTCTATAAAATCATTTTTTTGAGTATTTCTATAATATTTAGGATGTTTCTTAAATTAACAAAGAGTAAATTGGCGGGTGGGTTTTTGAGGATGAAAAAGAAGAGAAAAGTTGGCCGTTTGCCCTATAACTTCAAACTCTAGCGGTCTAACTTTGAACGGGCATAACTCGGCCCAAACTAATTTTGCCAGGAAACCCGCACACAACAATAGGAAATCGAGGGTCCTCTATCGAATGGTACCAAAAAATATATCAAATTAGCACTTACAGTAAACAATGTTCCCTTGTAAATAAAATTAACCAGCATTTTGTGAGTAATTACAACTATCGCTGTAAATCCTTGGTAAATCATAAACCTTGGTAAATTGAAAATGGATGCATTTTTTGTTGTTTATTATTTGTCAATTAAGTAAGTTGAAAAGACTGACTGAGTATGTTTCTCATTTTCCCTTAGCATTTTTAGTTGCAAAACAATTTTCTAATTTCCCCTTTTTCTAGTACATAAAAAAAGAAAATAGCCTAGTACAAGTTCAAGAAGCTGCTTCTCTTACCAAAAATTTGACTCAAATTGAAAATGGGGCTATAAATGAAGAAGTTGCTAGTTTGAGTAAATCTAAGGTTTTTTAATCTTTTTGAGGATTTTTTAAATTTCATAAAAAATTCAAAGTTGGAAGAATTACAACAAGATTTGGAAATTCAAACAGATTTGGCTAACAATCGTTTAACAGAACTTAAAGAAATTACAGAAAGAAATAAATCGTTGTCTGCTGAAGTTGAATGTTGTAAAATGAAGGTTTGAATTTCTTTAAATTTTTCTGGCTCTTGTCCAGTTCATGCGTCTAATTGCACATTTATACGTCCAATCACATAGTGTTTTAAGTACCCGGTTCTGCACAATATTACCAAAAGATTTATGGGAATCGAAACCTCTACCCACCTAGAGTTATGATACACACGCATATTACCAGAACCGGGTACTTAAAGATTTGTTTGGACGCTTAAACTTTTTAATGGACGTATAAAAGGTGCGATAGGACGCTTAAACTGGACATGTGCCATTTTTTCTAAAAAAATTTTTGTTTAGATGAAATACATTTCACCAGATGATATTAAAAATTCTAATGAATATTTGTTTTTACAAACTTCTTTTTCTTCACTTTTTGAGGATTGTAAATTACAAAAGTAAGTGTATAATTTGAAAAAAAAATTTTTTTATTAAAAATTTTTTTTTAATTTTTAGAAAGGAAATTGAAGATTTAAAACAAGCAAATGCCCAGATTAAACAACATTATGAGGAACGTATTAGTTCAATGCAGGTTATTTAATTTTTATATAGAAAATATTTTTTAAGTTTATTAAGTCCTTTCTGGCGTAATTTAAGTGGAAAAATATAGAATTTGAATTTTAAAATTAATATAGTATATTTTGGGGTTTTTGAGTGAGCTCCTAGTCCATTTCCCCAATTTTTACCTCTTTTTTCGATCCACTATTTTTTTTTAAATTTTTATTTTGCTCCAAAATCAGTCTTGAAATATAAAAAATCAGTCTCTTTATTGCTTTTCCCTAAATGCTCTAATTAAAACCCTAAACGTTTATTTTTCGATTGGCCTCCTTGGGTGGTCTTGTATTTGATATGGGATTTTAATAGAGCCGGGCTTTAATTAGAGCATTTACGGTAAATTTAAAAATAATTTTTTTTTATTAAAATACTTCTAATTCCTTTCTGACACGATTTAAGAAGAAAAAAAAATTCTTACATGAGTTTGAGTGAGCTCCTTCCTAGTCTACTATTTTTAATTTTGACCTTTTTTTGATCTCTTATTTTTTAAAATTTTATTTTGCATCAAAATCAAGACTTGAAATATTTTTTAAAATTAAAAAATAATTTTTTAAAAAAAAAAGATTGATGAAACAACAGCATTAGAACGTTTTCAGCAAACAGTGTGTGAATTAGATAACGATTTAAATTTGGCAAGAAAAGAATATGAAAATGTTTGTGTAGATTATGAAATAAATACAATATCTAAAGAACAAGCAATTCCAATACAAGAACAAGTTAATTCTTTAATGAATACTCTAAGTACACAAAATACTCAATTAAAACAAGAGGTTGCTAGATTAAAAAGAAAATTACAAGAAGCTTTTGAACAACTTAATATGGTGAGTAGTGAGGCGAAAGTATTTTTTAATAGAACTTTCCGGAAGAGTAATAGAATATATAAAAAATCAGAATTTTATATAAAACCTTCCGGAAACTATAGAATTGGTTTAATTAATTAGAACTTTCCGGAAGTGTAATATAAAAAATCAGAATTATATAAAACCTTCCGTAAGAAAAATACAAATCAGAGTTAAACGTTTCCCGGAAAGGTTAAAAACTATATATAAAGGATTCCGGAAAAATCAGAATTCATTTATAACCTTCCGGAAACCATAAAATTGGTTTAATTAATTATTCTAAAACTTGACGGAAGGAAAATACAACTCGCATCAGAATATAACTCTTTCCGGAAACATTATAAACTTGTATAAATAATTCCGGAAAAATTAGAATTTATTTATAACCTTCCGGAAACCATAGAATTGGTTTAATTAATTTAAACTTTCCGGAAAAAGAATATAACTCACAACAGAATTATACTATATAACTCTTTCCGGAAACATTAAAAACTTGTATAAATAATTCCGGAAAAAATCAGAATTTATATAAGACCTTCCGGAATGAAAAATTTAACAACTTTCCGGAAAAATATTAAATCAGAATTATTAATTAAATCAGAATACTTCCAGAAATATTAAAAACATGTATTAAATGTTCCGGAAAAAGTTAGAATTTATTTTAAAAACTTTCCGGAAAGATGTCAATTAAACAACAATTAAATTAAAAATCATTTTTATAGTGCAATAAAGAATTGGAAGGTGAAAGGCGTTTAAATAATGACAATTATTTGGTTATTAAATTAGAAGAAAATTCTTCTTCTTCCTTGCATAATTTAAATTCTACAACACAACATCATCATCATCAAATTCCATCGGATCATTCATCTCCAGTAAATTCAGAAAATACTCACAATTCAAATAATGCTATGGATAATGTTATGGATAGTGGTTTAATTAAAAAAGAAGAGCCTATGGATGTTTCAAGTCAAAATGGAGAGGATGTAAGTGAAGGAAACAAATTAAAAAAATTTTTTTCTTCAAAAAAAAAATAAATTTTTGACGGAAAATTTGAAAAAAAATTTTTTTAATTAAAAAAAAATTTTTTTGACCAAGAAAATTTCTCTTTTTAAGCATCCCAATAAGCCTCATGTTGTCTCAACATCATCAGGTAATCATAGACCAGATTCGTCCAATTCCGTCTCCTCACGTCCCTGTACTCCTGCAGACCTTGGAGCTGAAAATCAACGTTTGCGAATGGAAAGGGATCGTTTTAAAGAAAAATTGAGACAATTAGCTAAAACAGATTTACATGAAAAAAGAAAATATTGGACAGAAGAACAAAAAAGAAAATTGAAACATTTGGAAGAAGTGTGTGAAAAGAAAATTAGAGAATTACAAAATGCAAAGCAGGAGGAAGATGGATTAATGCAGGAAATGGAGTCTATTGGGCAAGCTTTTGAAGAGCTTCAGGAACAGGTGGAAAAGAAAATTTAATTTTGTGTGAAAATATTTTTTACAATTTTCCGGAAGAATTGTAAAATCAAAATTTAAAAATTTCCGGAAAAAGAACAAATATTACAATTATAAGTCTGTTTATGTATTTAAAAATCAGAATTTTCCGGAAGAGACAATAAATTAAAATGTAGTATTATATACATATTTCCGGAGAATATAGTTTTTAATATAAAAAATTTTTCCGGAAAATATATGTGTTTCGGAAATTGTAGAATATTTTCCGGAATGAATATAGTTTCCGGAAAGTGTATAATGTTTTCCGTAATGAATATAGTTTCCGGAAAATTTACTTATATTCTCTCCGGAAACTCTAGATTATTTCCGGAAAACTATTTATTTTCCGGATAAAGTTTAAAGTTTTCCGGAATCGAATATAGAGCTTACCGGAGTGAATATAAAATTTTCCGGAAAGAATATAGAGTGTTCCGGAAAAAGTTTAAGGATATAATTTACTGTTTTCCGGAAAAAATATAAACTCCGGAAATAATTTTAAATTTTCCGGAAAGAATATTAGAGTTTTCCGGAAAAAGCTTATAAATTACAATTTATACAAATTAATTAAGAATAAAAAATTGTTGGAACAATTACGCGAAAAAGAAGAAGTTAATCTAAAATTAATGTCTGAACGTATTAAAAGTACTCAAGGACAGAAAAAAATAAAAGATGAAAAAGATTTGTTAAGTAAAACAATTCAATCAATGGAGAATCAATTAGCAGCAAAAATGTTGCTTTGTCAAAAATTGGAAGAAAAGGAAAGAATTTTAATTGAACAAAGGGGGACTTTGGAACACGAAATTAGGTGCTCTTCTAAAATTTTTTTTTGATTTCTAAATTAAAAAAATTTTTTTTAAATTAATAGAATTCGTGAACAACATAATGAGTCATTGAAAAAGAAGGCTTGTGAATTTTCACAATTATCTACGGACCTGAAACTTCGGTTGGAACGGTTGGATGTTCAATTTAATGAGTTGAGAGAGGTGAAAAAAAATTTTTTTGACAAGAAAAAATTCAATTTTTAATTTAAGAATGTAATAAAAAAAGCTTCGACACACGAAGCTGATGCTAACAAAATTAAACGTTTGGAAGAAGAAAAAAGTTCAATGAAACGTAAGCTTGATAGAGCAAAGAAAATGGAAAAATTGGAAAATGTAGATCAAGTTATACAAGAAGAAAATCGAATATTGAGGGTAATTTTAAGGGAGGAAATTTAAAAAATATTTTCTTAATAAAGGAGTCATTAACCTGTCCAAGTTGTAAAGTTAGACGTAAAAATGCAATACTTGAAAAATGTCATCATGTATTTTGTTTTGAATGTATTCGTCAACGTTATGATAATCGTCGAAGAAAATGTCCAAAGTGTAACGCGGCGTTTGGAGCAAATGATTATCATAGAATTTATTTGGAATAGAAGAGGGGGGGAAAGGAAATGAAGGAGAAAAATTTTTTTTTAGAAATTTTGAGAAATGACGAAGAAAATGCCCCCCAATTTTTAAATTTAAAAAAAAATTAGACTTTTTTCCCAATTTTTATATTGAGACTTTTTTTGCCAACATTATATAAAAAATTTAGTAAAATTTATGTAATTTTCCCTTAAATTACGCTTTTTGTATTTTTTATATTCAAAATTAAAAATGTCTTTTCTATACGATTTTATGAGTATTTGTTTTTTCTAAATTAATGCATGGGATGTATTTCTTTACTTTATTTAAATTGTAAATTGCGATTACCGTATTTCCTATATTAGAGCCCCAGCCTCTGTTAGAGCCCCACCCTCTAATACAGCCCCACTTTGGAGGTTAGTTGAAAAATAGAGCCCCACCCTCAATTAGAGCCCCACCCCAAATACAGCCCCACCTAAAAAATTTTGGAGGAAAAAATATCCAAATAACTTTATAGATGTATTAAGAGAGTAAAGGAAAGAAAGAGGGATATCGATGATTCGTGATCATGGAGGAGGAGGGATCATGGGGATATACCAGTTCTAGTTCTGGAACTGCTTTTTGAATTTCTTCAGTTCCAGTTCTGGAACCTGTTCCAGAGCCTCGTCAAACAAAATCACTTCATATGCCTCCTATTACCCCTAGTCCAGAATATCCCTCTTAATCCCGCTAAATCTCTCAATATAAACTTAATCCGCTTATATTCACCATAATCCCTTAAAATCCACTATTATATCTTTGATCCATCGATGTCAAATACTGGTCCCCTAATATTTCCCTTAACCCGTCCAAATCTACCAAAATTTCATAATTGATCTTACTCTCATTGAACTATTGCTACTATTTTGTTATTCATTGCTTATAAAATTTTAATTTTTGTGAAAAATCGAAAATTTCGATCCTCGTTCGATATTTTTCGGTTTTATCGACCACCCCTCCGGCCTAACTCTAGTTGCAATGGATATTTAATAAATGGGATTTTATCTCAAAAGAGGGTTGAAAAATAGAGCCCCACCCTCAATTAGAGCCCCACCCTTTAATACAGCCCCACCTTGGAGGATAGTTGAAAAATAGAGCCCCATGGGGCTCTAATATAGGAAATACGGTATATATTCTTTCCGGAAAATTATTTTACAAATTGTAATTATATTCCTTCCGGAAAGTTCTATTAAAATTCAGATTTTATATTAAAATTCTGATTATTCTGAAAAGTTTTTAATTCTGACTGAATTCTGACTTTCCGGAAAGTTTAATATCTTCTAAAATTCTGACATTCTATTAAAAAGTTCTGATTTTCCTGGAAAGTTTTATTCTGAAATTTTTTAATTATGATTTAATTAAAACTTTCCGGAAAGTTTTAAAAATTTCTGATTTGTCCGGAAAGGTTCTAATTCTGATTTTCTGGCTTAAACTTTTAATTCTAGTCGATTCTTTCCGGAAAGTTTTATTAAATTCTGATTTCTAGGAAGATTTACTCTGAAAAGGTTACCGCTTAAATTAAACTTTCCGGAAAGTTTTGTATTTTCTAGAATAATTCTGATTTTTCTGTAAATGTTTTAATTCTTTTAATTCTGGTTGGTTCTTTCCGGAAAGTTTTATTAAATTCTGATTGTACCCATTCTTTACCCAAAGGTAGATTTGTTTGTCTATTTTCTTTCAAAAAAATTTATAAAAATTGCTAAAGTTCGTCGCGTATATTATTTAAATGTGCCATCATGGGACATCCAGAAATTGCTGCTTTTTGGTTATCCATTCCATCGAAATTGTGCTTAAAATTTTTTTTTATTTTTTCTTGAAAAAAATTTTCCTGAGAAATTACCCAAGTGTGGTGATGTTCACTAATCGGTTCTGGTTTAATTTTTATTTGTTGTCCTCCAAAAATTCTGTTTATCTGTTCAAGTTGAAGTTGCATGAGCGGATGTGGCTTGTTGTCAAAGTCGACTTGAAAAAATTTTTTTACAAAAAAATTTTTTTAATTTAAAATTAAAAATCCTATTGTTGTCTAATATTAAAAAATTTTTTTCTAGCTTTTTTATTTGTAGAAAAAAATATTTTTTGAACGTGATTTTTTTCATGCACAAAAAATTTTTTTTAATTTATTTGTCACGCAATTTAAAATATAATTTAATTTTTTTAATTTAATAGAGATATTAAAATGTCCTTTTCCAAGTATATTAGGTCATTTTCCTTGAACTTAAATTTTTTTACGTCTTTTAAAAATATTTATTTTAAATGATGTTAATAATAAACATAAATATTTTAATTACCTATTATTCTTACCAAAATTCTGTTTTTAAATAAAATCAGAAATAAAATCCGGAAATTAAATCAGAAATAAAATCAGAAATAAACTTGTTTAAAAATTCTGTTTAGGTATATGCTATTTCCGGAAGGTCTAAATATAAAATCAGAATTTCCGGAAAAATCAGAAAATAAAACTTTCCGGAAGGGAATTAAACTATAATTAAAAAGGGGGTTTATTTCCAGAAAGTTTGAATTTTTATATTAAATCAGAACTTCCGGAAAATCATAAATTAAAACTTTCCGGAAGGGAAGTTTAATTAAACTAGAAAGGGGGTTATTTCCGGAAAGTTTGAATTATTATATTATTTCTTCCGGAAAATACTACTTTACACTAAGTTTAATTTTTCCAACCTTTCCGGTTTTAATTTCTGATTTAATATTTTCCTTCCGGAAAGTTTCTAATTTATTATTTACCTATTATTTTGTTTATTCTGTTTTATTCTGATTTTTATTAATTTAAAACTTTTCTCCCTTAAATTGCGTGTTATTTAAAAATACAAAAATTAAAAAGTTAAGCACTTTTGTGAGGGAAAAAGCGTTGCCAAGAGCCATCAGTAATTTTTTCATTATTGTCAGATGCCTTTAGAAAAGCGTGCCCTAGCAATTCAACAATATTGTTTGTAAATTCATCTCTGAACCATTCAACAGTTGGGATTGGTACGCAATGAATTGACTTGAAAAAACATTTTTTTTATTAAACCCTCCAGAGAGAAAAAAAATTTTTTTGGGGTCATAAGGGCGCGGGGCCATTAGGGCGCCAGCACTAGAAAACCGAAATTTATGAAAACCGAAATTTATGAAAATTTTCTCAAAATTCTTTAACATCCTTGACTACTTCCTCCAAAAATTTCAGAATTTTTCATCGAATATTTCAGAAGTTATAGTCGATAAACCGCGAAAAATTAGGGTTTTTTCGGAAAATCAGCATTTTTGGCCACAATTTCCGAAATTCTTGATCAAAAATTCTGAAATTTTTGGAGAACGTAGATAAAGGCATGAGAGTTATTAATGCAAAATTTTATCTTTTTTGATAAGCAACTCACTGTTTTATAAGCTCGCGCCCTAATGGCCCCGCGCCCTAATGGCCCCGCGCCCTAATGGCCTAGTCCCATTTTTTTAAAACACCCTTAGAGGAATTTTTTTTAATTTTAAATTAAATTCTAATAACCCACTTCCCCATTAATTTTTTTATTATGACAATAAAACACCCACAGAAACAAGTAACACGCAAAATACAGCAGTCTCTTTAAATTCTTTTTTATTGCTTAAACCAAGTTCAATTAAAAACCCTTCCAATGGCAAAGAATGTGCTTTGTCCAGGTCTACAAGTTTTATATTGCTTTTAAGTTTATTTCCAAGCTTGTTTGGAAGCAGAGAAAATAAGGTGCGCAGTTCTGGGGAAGTTTTGTAATTTGAATTGTAAATGAGTAATAAAGTTGGTTCTGGTCTGATAACTAAATCGGTAGTAAATCCGTTTCCAATATCAAGCTTAAAAGAAAAATTACAAATTCTGATTTTATTCCGGAAAATTACAAATTCTGATTTTGTAAAAATTACAAATTCTGATTTTGTAAAAATTACAAATTCTGATTTTGTAAAAATTACAAATTCTGATTTTGTAAAAATTACAAATTCTGATTTTGTAAAAATTACAAATTCTGATTTTGTAAAAATTACAAATTCTGATTTTGTAAAAATTACAAATTCTGATTTTGTAAAAATTACAAATTCTGATTTTGTAAAAATTACAAATTCTGATTTTGTAAAAATTACAAATTCTGATTTTGTAAAAATTACAAATTCTGATTTTGTAAAAATTACAAATTCTGATTTTGTAAAAATTACAAATTCTGATTTTGTAAAAATTACAAATTCTGATTTTGTAAAAATTACAAATTCTGATTTTGTAAAAATTACAAATTCTGATTTTGTAAAAATTACAAATTCTGATTTTGTAAAAATTACAAATTCTGATTTTGTAAAAATTACAAATTCTGATTTTGTAAAAATTACAAATTCTGATTTTGTAAAAATTACAAATTCTGATTTTGTAAAAATTACAAATTCTGATTTTATTATTTATTTATCTTTCCGGAAAATTTACAAATTCTGATTTTATTATATGTATATATTCCTTTCCGGAAAATTGTAAATTCTGATCTACTTACAACTAGAGGCATACTCTCCCTAGTAATATGCTGTAAAATCGAATTAGCATTAAATGCTCCAATATGAGTTATTTCTTCAGAATTTCCTTCTAATGACCGACTAAAAGTACTGAGACGTGGAACGTCTAAACTGAAATTTAAAATTTGATCTATTTTAATTTTTATTTTTTCCTTTGCCTTTTGTCTAATTTATATGCTAATTGGTATCGTCCAGCGAGTAATACAGCCACCCGTCTATAGGATTTAAATTCTGCTTGTTGCTCGTCTCGGAAAATTCCCATAGTGATTGGTCCAAATTCCATCAAATTATTTTTTGTTGCGACATCCTTTATATGAATAAGCGATCCCATAAGGATTAGACGTATCCTAGAAGGGAAAGAATTTATAGGAATTATTACACTATTTTCCAACCAGTCAATAAAAAATTCCTCGTCCCCAATACCCATTTCCTGTCCAACCCTTTGTCCGTCCATAAATGCCAGAAACTGAGGTTTCTGCTTTGGCAAGACACCAAAAGCGCGGCAAAGCTCTATTCCTTCCTCATCGCATTTTACAACTCCAAAGACTGCTTCACGTTTTATATTTAATTTATCGTTGATCTACGGAATAGTAAAAGGTTGTTGCTTTTCCGGAAGTAATTGATTTGTTTTATTGTCTCCGGAAAAGTTTTTAATTCTGATTTATTATTTTATTTCCGGAAAAGTTTATTTATTTATTTTTTATTGTTTCCGGAAATTAGTTTCTGACTTTATTTTCTTTCCGGAAAAGGTTTATTTATTCTTTTTTTCCGGAAATTTGTTTTGTTTTATTGTTTCCGGAAAAGATTTAAATTCTGTTTTATTATACTCTTTCCGGAAAAGTTCTAAACTTAATTATTTTCTTTCCGGAAAAGGTTTATTTATTCTTTTTTTCCGGAAATTTGTTTTGTTTTATTGTTTCCGGAAAAGATTTAAATTCTGTTTTATTATACTCTTTCCGGAAAAGTTCTAAACTTAATTATTTTCTTTCCGGAAAAGGTTTATTTATTCTTTTTTTCCGGAAATTTGTTTTGTTTTATTGTTTCCGGAAAAGATTTAAATTCTGTTTTATTATACTCTTTCCGGAAAAGTTCTAAACTTAATTATTTTCTTTCCGGAAAAGGTTTATTTATTCTTTTTTTCCGGAAATTTGTTTTGTTTTATTGTTTCCGGAAAAGATTTAAATTCTGTTTTATTATACTCTTTCCGGAAAAGTTCTAAACTTAATTATTTTCTTTCCGGAAAAGGTTTATTTATTCTTTTTTTCCGGAAATTTGTTTTGTTTTATTGTTTCCGGAAAAGATTTAAATTCTGTTTTATTATACTCTTTCCGGAAAAGTTCTAAACTTAATTATTTTCTTTCCGGAAAAGGTTTAATTCGATTTATTATTTTTTTATTGTTTCCGGAAAAGTTTTAATTTGATTAATTATTCTCTTTCCGGAATAATTTTAAATTCTGTTCTACCATTTTCTTTCCGGAATTAATATTAATACAATTTTAAATTACTCACCCTATTTTTCCATTTATAAGCAGAGCGTTTCCAGAGATGCAGAGCATGTTTCCCCAACGATCCTTCCGTCCCCCAAAAAAGGACAAAAACAGCGGGGGAATTTTCCACGTCTGTTTGAGTTTCTATTGCCTCCACAAGTTCAGAGCCATGAAAATGTTTTAAAAATGAAGAGCCTTGAACGGCTAAGCTTTCAGCAGAATCGTCAAATATTGGCTGGCGTTCAGCGAGTATCTTCAGATTTAACATTCTAAGCTCGAAAGGGGATCTTAATTCTATCCGGTTTTGCTTCTCCTTTTTATTTTTCAATTTTTCTTTGTGATTTTCACGCATTTGTTGCTCCATTTCAGCAGCCCCCACTTCGCGTACAAACCCTGGAAGAGCATTTTCTGCCCCAAATTCTAACAGAGAATGAATTGAATGTCTGCTGAGGGCGTCTAACAAAGCCATTTCTAATCTGCCTTCAGCTTCAGCGCGATTCCTTCCAACAGCCTCCCAATTTCTCTCCCTTGAGAGACTGTATACAGCAGCGCCCGTTCGTCTATAATATTTTAACTATAATATTATTAGATTTCCGGAAGAATAGATTCTGGTTTAATTAAATTGTTTTCCGGAAAGTAATAAATTCTGATTTAATAATATTAAATTTCCGGAAGGTTGTGATTCTGGTATATTTATTTTTCATTTCCGGAAGGTAATATATTCTGGTATATTTTTATTATTATATTTTCCGGAAAACATTAAATTCTGGTTTAATAATATTAAATTTCCGGAAGGTAATAAATTCTTTCCGGAAGATAATAAATTCTGGTTTATTTCTATTATTATATTTTCCGGAAAACAGTAAATTCTGATTTATTTTTGTTATTATATTTTCCGGAAAACAGTAAATTCTGATTTATTTTTGTTATTATATTTTCCGGAAAACAGTAAATTCTGATTTATTTTTGTTATTATATTTTCCGGAAAACAGTAAATTCTGATTTATTTTTATTGTTATATTTTTCGGAAGGTATTAAATTCTGGTTTATATTACCTTCCGGAATTTTTTATTACCTTCCGGAATTTTTCATTTCCGGAAGGTAATGAATTCTGGTTTAATTTTTTATTATATTTCCGGAAAACAGTAAATTCTGATTTATTTATTATTTTAATTCTGATTTAATATTTTTCCAATAGTAAAGGTTAACTCACGAGTCCTCCACAATAAGATAATGAAAGGCTTTATTAAGTGGATAGTCACTACAACGAATACTAAATTGTTCATCCCCACAGTCCAAATTTTCATTATCCAATGTAAGCAGAGCTTCTCGTCTTAAACGAGGCCTCAATTCTGACAATTTAAAAATTGTTGCCTGTGAAAAATCGCGATCCAGCGCTGAAATAAATTTTTCCGGATAAATATTTTTCTAAAACTGACTCTCCCTAACCTTCCAAATCGCGAAAGGCAAAAGTTGTTTGGATAAAATGACTGGCAGGGCGTAATCCTGGGGGTTGTCCACCTACATGATTATTACCTTCAACTTTCCGGGGGCATTCTGCTCTAAAATAAATTTTAAATAATTTAAAAAGTCCATATTTGCTTACAAAATTGAGTGAAAAATGAATAAATAGTAATAGAATAGTATAGAAAATTTGATGAAAATTTTATTATTGCTTGAAAATATTCTCAGTCTATTTAAGTTCATTAACATTTACTATTGTTCTTTCCGGAAGGTAATAAATTCTGATTTATTTATTATTAAATTCCGGAAGGTTGTAGATTCTGGTTTATATTTACTTTTTTCCGGAAAAGAGGGATTTTCCGGAAGAAATATATTTTTATTCAATTAAAGTTGAAAAACTTTCCGGAAAAATATATAATTTCCGGAAAGAAATAAATCAAATCAGAATTTCTGAAAGTATAACTATGAATGTTTTAAACTTTCCGGAAAGATCAGAATTTAATAACTTTTTAATTTGCTCAATTTTTGAACGTTAATATACGCTTTATTCGCTATTGATTTTAAAGGAATATTAGAATGAGAAAGGGAGGAAATCAAAGAATTTTCGTTGCTTTAGTTGCGGAAGCTGTGCGAAACTAATAGGTAGGAAAGAACACGTAAGCAACATTTTAGACGGCTGTCACTGTGTTAAATATAAAAATTTTAGTAATTATTTTTGCCTAAGTCTTATTAAAAATGGTGTTTTTTAACAAAAGTATAATCCCTTCTAGAAGATAAACGAATATAAATGGAAACCAGTTTTCAGTTTCTGGAAAGAAAATAGAAAATAGATTTACAGTTACAATTTTAGAGTAAAGTAAAAAAACGGAAAGAAGAAGGTTAAAGAAAAAAATAGAAATCAGAATTTACTAATAAACGTTTCCGGAAACATAATATGTACATATAATAAAATATTTCCGAAAACGAAATATAGATATACACTTTTCCGGAAGGAATATATATTTATAATTATTCTATTTCCAGAAAGAAATATAATAAACAACTGTTGTAACTTTTCCGGAAACAAATATAAAATAAATTTTTCCGGAAGAATATAATTATATATAACTAATTAAACTTTTCCGGAAATATAATATAAAATATTTTCCGGAAATAAATATATATGTATACATTTTAGATATACAATATAGAATAAACATTTCCGGAAGAATATAATTGAGTATATAGCTATCAAAACTTTTCCGGAAAGAAATATAATGCATCAATATAACTCATAGTCATTATTAAATTTACCCTCATTTATATAACTATATTTATTATTTTTTATTATTTTCCACACGTCAAACTTGTGTCTACTTTCTATTGTTTATCTCAATACTTAATTTCGCATAATTAATCGCCTTTTTTGATCCATTGGGAATTATACTCATATTTTTTTGTTATTTATTTGCATATTTTATTTACTTTATTTGTTCAAAAAAATTAGAAAAAAATTTTTTTTTGTAAATTTTAACTAAAAAACAGATGTTTTTTAATTGAATATTTAATTTAAAAAATTATTTTTAGAAAATTTTTCTTTTTTTTTTAATTTTTTAATTAATTAAACAATAGGTATAAATTGGTCTTTTTTGGACTAAAATTAAATAACATCATTCCTTCTTTATTTACATATTTTCTTAAAAATTGCCGAAATCAATCCTCATTTTCCGCTTAAATTTAAACCCTAAAATAAAAGATGATAGCCACTTCTCAGCTTTAAAAATAAATTAAAACTGCTTGGATTGAGTTGGAGGGGGCGGGAAAATTTTTTTTGGTTAAAACAAAAATTTGCTTTAATTTTTAAAACTAAAATAGGGCAAATATAAAATGGGAGAAAATTAAAGAAAAATCAGAATATATTTTATTTTTGCTAATTTATAATAAAAATTATTTGCTACATTTTTTAAGGAAAATTCAGTAGAATCAGAATTAAATTAAATCAGAATTTATAATTTTTTCCGGAAAGAAATAATAAAAATTACAATTTGAGTTCACAACTTACCGGAACGAGAATAACTAATAAAATCAGAATTTACAATCCGGAAAAGAGAATTATAAACCTTTCCGGAAAGAAACAATGAAAATTACAAATCAGAATTTACAACTTTCCGGTTACTAATCAGAATTTGTAATTTTTCTATTAGAAATCAGAATTTGTAATTTTCTGATTAAAAATCAGAATTTGTAATTTTCTGATTAAAAATCAGAATTTGTAATTTTCTGATTAAAAATCAGAATTTGTAATTTTCTGATTAAAAATCAGAATTTGTAATTTTCTGATTAAAAATCAGAATTTGTAATTTTCTGATTAAAAATCAGAATTTACAACTTTCCGATTAAAAATCAGAATTTGTTATTTTCCGGTTACAAATCAGAATTTGTAATTTTCTGATCAGAAATCAGAATTTGTAATTTTCTATTTAAATATCAGAATTTGTAATTTTCTGACTAAAAATCAGAATTTGTAATTTTTCGATTATAAATCAGAATTTGTAATTTTCTGATTAAAAATCAGAATTTGTAATTTTCTATTAAAAATCAGAATTTTCAACTTTCCGGAAAGGTTCTATTTTAAACCGTATAAAATCAGAATTTAATATACCTTTCTGGAAAATACTTGTATTTGTTTATTATAATACCCAATCCCTCATATGTAAATTTTAATTTAAATTAATTTAAATTTAATTAATTTTAATTTAAATTTTTAATTAATTTAAATTTAATTTAAATTAATTTAAAGGTTTAATTTAAATTTAAAAAAATCTATTTTTTCAAAAAAATGGAAAAAATCTTTTTACATAAATAATTGCGTTCCTCTTTTCATTTTTGTTTTCATTTATTTTTTAAACAAAAACTTTTATTTTTAAAACGCTTTCCCCTCCAAGCTCTCCTCTCTCTACTAATTAAATATTACTAGAATACATGTTGAAAAGTATAAAGGAAAATTTAAAAATACACTAATTGGCTCTCCAGCTCTGTTCGAGGAAGTTTATTTAAAAAAACTTGACTTGACAAAAATTATACGTGTGTAGAAAATTATTGTTTCTATGAAAGTAAAAATATTCCCTAATAAATGTTTCAGTTTTTAAACTTTAAAAATCGTTTCTTGTAATTCTGATTTTATACTGTCAACAATAAAAAACCTTTCCGGAAAATTAAAAATTCTGATTTGTAATTAGAAAATTACAAATTCTGATTTTTAAATAGAAAATTACAAATTCTGATTTGTAATCAGAAAATTACAAATTCTGATTTGTAATCGGAAAATTACAAATTCTGATTTGTAATCGAAAAATTACAAATTCTGATTTGTAATCGGAAAATTACAAATTCTGATTTGTAATCGGAAAATTACAAATTCTGATTTGTAATCGGAAAATTACAAATTCTGATTTGTAATCGGAAAATTACAAATTCTGATTTGTAATCGGAAAATTACAAATTCTGATTTGTAATCGAAAAATTACAAATTCTGATTTGTAATCGGAAAATTACAAATTCTGATTTGTAATCGGAAAATTACAAATTCTGATTTGTAATCGGAAAATTACAAATTCTGATTTGTAATCGGAAAATTACAAATTCTGATTTGTAATCGAAAAATTACAAATTCTGATTTGTAATCGGAAAATTACAAATTCTGATTTGTAATCGGAAAATTACAAATTCTGATTTGTAATCGGAAAATTACAAATTCTGATTTGTAATCGGAAAATTACAAATTCTGATTTGCAATTTTCATTATTTCTTTCCGGAAAGGTTTGTAATTTTCTTTTCATTCCGGATTGTAAATTCTGATTTTATTATTTTCTTTCCGGAAAGTTGGTTGTAATTTCTGAATTGTAATTACTATTTTGTAAATTGTAAATTCTGACGCCTATATTTTTTTTCAATTTTAAATTCTGGAAAGTTACAAATTCTGATTTACATCTAATTCCGAATTCTATTATTTATATTAAGAAATGTAATTTCAGAATTATTTTTCAGAATTTTTGTAGACATATTTTTTATTTAATATCATTTTTAGGCATTTAAATTAAATTAGGATTAAAAAATAAAATTCGCTATTTAAGGAAAAACAAACTTTCTAAAAGAGGGAGGAGATGAGAGCTTGTCCCTCGAGGACGTAAAGAATTAATAACAAAAAATGTCAAGTCAATCTCCACCCTCTTGAAAAAGAACAAAAATCACTGCTCCACCCTCAAGATTTTTTAAATTTATTTTAAATATGCTTAAATAGACTCCAAAACACTATTTTGCGTCAAAAGGAGAAAACAAATATGTTTATTAAAAGCTTTACGAAATTGTAAATTCTGACGTCTATATTCTCGTAAGAAAATTACAAATTGTAATTTACGTAAATAAACTTTTTCCGGAAAGTTGCAAATTAAAATCAGAATAGGTAGTTATAAATTCTGATTTTACATTAAAACTTTTTTCCGGAAAGTTGTAATTGTAATCTAAATAAACTTTTTCCGGAATTGTAAATTTTAATTCAGATTTCTTTCCGGAAAGGTTTTAATTTTATTTGGATTCCGGATTGTAAATTCTGATTTTATTAGTTATTTTCTTTCCGGAAAGTTGCTATTTTTCTCACTTTTAAATACCGGAAAGTTACAAATTCTGACTCAATTTCAGAATTATTTCCGGAAAATTATAACTTTTCCGGAAAGTTGTAAATTTATTCTGATTTTTTCCCTCTCATTGCAAAGTTTATTTTCTCCTTTTGTAAATTCTGATTTTACAAACTTAATTTCAGAATTATTTTTTTATTTTTTACAATAAAATGATAACTCACTCTTTATTTTTACTAACAACTTTACTGGTAATAATACAACCACAAGCATCGTTTTTAAGCAGTAATTATGCACAAGCTCTGCCAGTGTCAATGATGAATGTTTTTTCATACAACAACCCTTTAAGCGCCCTCTTCCGAAATACAGAATTTAATAGCAGAAACAAAGTTGGTGGATTATTAAAAACATTCTAATTATAAGGACATTATTCCAATTATAAGGACAACTCTCTAATTATAAGGACTACTCTAATTATAAGGGTATCTCCAATTATAAGGACATTTCTCTAACTACAAGGACACCTCTCTAATTATAAGGACACCTCTCTAATTATAAGGACATCTCTCTAATTATAAGGGCATCTCCAATTATAGGGACTCTTCCTAATTATAAGGACATTCCTCTCTAATTGTAAGGACATCTAATTATAAGACACGGCTTCAATTAGAGAGGGTGGGCCTGTCAATGTTCATGTCTAATATTTTTCTAATATTACATCTTTAAACAGCCACTATTTTCTTCATCAGAATCCTCCTCTAGAACAGAATTAAGAGAACAACACCATCAATTACCAGCATTTAATAATAGAGAAATACAACAACTAAAACATCCAATAGAAAAACAAAAAACAGAAACAAAACTTGGAGCATTAAAATTGTGCCCTCCTGGTAAATTTACTAAAAATTAAAAAATGTGTCTTCAATTAGAGAGGGTCAGGTGAAAAGAAATTTAAATCTTTCAGTCAAGCATGTCGACATGGTGTAGTGGGTTCCGGAAAGAAAATTATCCGGAAATTTTTCATCCAAGCATGTTGACATGGTGTAGTGGGTTAACTGCTGGTTCGTCCCCAGAAGGGGTTGAAGGTTCGATTCCTCCTAGCGAATTTTGTGTTTTTTCGACTTCTTTTCTAACCAAAAAATTTTCTAAAAAATTTCCAGACGTTTTAAAATATTTCTAAAAATTTTTATTTTTCCTAAAATATTCCGGAAAATTTTTTCCGTCAAGCGTGTTGACATAGTGTAGTGGGTTAATTGCTTGATCGTCCCCAGAAGGGGTCAAAGGTTCGATTCCATCCCTTGTCTTTTATGTTTTTTGACTTCTACCCTAACCAAAAAATTTCATAAAAAAATTTCTAACAGCTTAAAATATTTTTAAAAATTTTATTTTCTTAAAATATTCCGGAAAGAAAATTTTCCGGAAATTTTTCAGTCAAGCATATTGTCATGGTGTAGTGGGTTAATTGTTGGATCGTCCCCAAAAGGGTTGAAGGTTCGATTCCATTCCTCGAATTTTCATTTTTTTGACTTCTTCCCTAACTAAAAAATTTTCTAAAAAAATTTCTAGCAGCTTAAAATATTTTTAAAAATTTTTAAAAAGGTGGCCGATCATTTTTCGAAGCATTTGAATTAGCCTGTCCAATGCGGAAACGAAAGAAACGACACACAATATTTGGGATAAGTACACGATTTGAAAAACCAAAAAATAATTTAAAAATAAAGGAAGACTATTTTGATGATTTAGAAGAGGAAGAAGACTTACAAGGAAATCAACAAGAAGACCAAAATAAATTAAAATATAGACCAGCAAATATTAGTGAAATTATGCGTATATGTTGTGTTAATGGATGTGAATTTACCGACTTTTTTCCACATTGTGGTCCTTTTTCGACATGGTGATATATTATTGAGAGAGAGAAAATATTTTTCTTTTTTTGGTTATTTTTAATGGATTTTTCTAGTCAGTTAAATACGCTCTTATTTATCTCACTCGAGTCATAACTAATTTATTATCTTGAAGATAATTGAGATTAGGGTTGCAAAAAAGGGCCGACTCGGACCGAAAGATCGAGTCAGGCCCAGGCTAGAAAAAGACTCGTACGGCCCCGACTCGACAAATTAAGCTCGAAAAGAATGCCTCAACCGTCGGCCAGACTCGAAACTCTAATTAAGATGAAATCCCTTCACTGTTCCAAAAAAGCTAGAATTCAACTGTTCTGGTTTTAGAACCGATAAAATATTTACAGGACACAGACTAAAAAAGAGATAATTTTTGAGCGTATTTGTTTATTTTTTTCTTCATGTTAATGACTCTAAAACGGATAAACAAATTTTTAGTGAAAATAAAAAAAATTTTTTCTCAAAGTACACCCTACGAGAGGATTGAAAAATAGAAGCACATGTGGTTCTATTAGAAAAACCAAAACTAGACTCCCATCCCCCTAACTCTCCTTAACAATAAAAGACATTTTAAAATATTTTTAACAAAACGACATAACAGAAAAACAAAAGTTTTTTTAACAATTTCTTAACCTTATTTTCTAATTTAAATTTAAACCTCTCCTCTCCATTCATTTCTCTCATTTTAAACACTTTCCTGAACCTATTCCCATTTTTGTCTTTTTTTGCCATGACCCCCATTTCGAAAAGTTATAAGGCTTCAAAGTTTTCAACTTTTGGACGAGTCATCTTCATCTTTCCCATTAAAAGAGAAGTTTCTCTCTTCTTTAAGACTCTCTCTTCCTCTTCCTTAAACCCATCCCCTTCCCTTTATAAAAAAGACATTTTAAAATATTTTTAACAAACAACATAACAGAAAAAACAAAAGTTTTTTTTTAACAATTTCTTGAACCTTATTTTCTTTAATTTAAATTTAAACCTCTCTCCTCTCCATTCATTTCTCATTTTAAACACTTTCCTGAACTGGAGGTTCATAAGCATCTGGACGACTTTCAATAACTTCTCCACTTGCCGTAGTTATAGCAACTTGACCACCACCCCCAGCACCCTCTCCATGCATATCCAAAAGTTTTCCAAGTTCAAATTTTGGTTTTTTCAAAATTTTTACTTTTCGAATATAAACGTCTTGAAGTGGATAGAAATAAGAACAAGACTTTTCAATGTCTTTTCCAATAGAATCAGGAATTAATTTGCTGACAACTTCTTTAAGATCGCATGAAGAAACCTTTAAAAAATTTTTTTTTTATTTTTGCAATTCTGACAAGGAAACATCGAATAATGTGTACATAAGCGCGTGTAGGTTTCTGAAGAGGAAAAAGAATAGAGAAGCTGCTCATCAGTTACCCTATAACCAGAGGTGGGTCGAAATTCCGACGTTTTTTCCGAGTTGCGACTTTTGAGCCATTTCCGAACCTCTGACTGTTCCAACCCACCTCTGCCTAAAACTCAGGATTCTTCAACTTTGACTGGCCATAACTCGGCCTAAAGTCACCTTGCTGAAAAACCCGCATCACTTCTCAATAGAAATCGATGCTCCTCTATCGATTGGTACCAAAAAATTACCAAAATTTTGTACACCGTATCCGAATGTCCCTTGTGAGGTAAATTGTTTAAGTTTGGAGACTATTTTTATTGGGTTATAAATGAGACCACGTGGAAGGACAATTCGTCCCATGATGATGAAAAAGCACCGATTTTGAGGGGAAAAAGTAAAAAAAGTTCAAAAACCTCGCGATGAATAATCTCAACCATCCTAGCACGAATTTGACGCACTTGAGACGATTTAGCATAGCTAGTCTTCTTCACTTGATTCGGAGCTTTCTTTGTGAAGCCAATACAGAACAATCGAAGCAGATAACCATCAGTTGTTTTGACAGCAACATTTGCTTCAATCAAAGTCTAAACAAGTAAAAAGGTCAAATTGCTAAGATTAGGCCACATACATGCCACTTTTTGACAATAGAACAAAGCTTGTCTCGAGTAAAAGTCATTCCATGGAAATTGGTCAAACAAACTTTGCCTTGAACCTCTTCACAAATAAGTCGAAATTTGCGAAAGTCAGCTTCGGTGTTGTTCAGGTCGCCAAGAGAAACTTCATAAACGCGGCCCTTGAGGAATTCGCTCGAAATTTCTGAAAATTAATGAGAAAAAGATTGAGTATTTTAAACAAGTTCGGGTAAGGACAGAGTAAAGGCAGCGGATTAAAAGTCAATGGACGTGAACGAGATCTTAATTGTAAGTTTGGAACTGTACTATTTAAAGACCTGGGTAATATGCTGGGCCGGTATGACCATTTCGTACGTCCGCGACAAAAAAATTGACTGATGTGAGCGTAGGAAAGTAAAGTACCTACTGGACCAGAAGTCCTAAAAACCCAAATTTGGAAAACCTAAGGTCAATGCTAAACCCAAAAATCTCAAAAGATGCTCAAAATCTGAACTTTCTGAACTTCTACTGAACTAAAGAAATACCCAGGATTCGAACTAAAAAATTTCTGAGGGACTGAGAAATCCAAGAACCTCAAAAAATGCTCAGAATAGGAAAGATGAATACATGACACTCAAGGCTCTAACAATAAGCTGAACCTAGGCTGCGCTTTAATGAACTAAAGGAATACCCCAGGACTCGGATCGAAAAATTTCTGAGAGATTAGACTTCACATTCCCCAAGATCCAATAAAAAACAAAAAAAGATACTTGTTCCAACAGTCTTATTAACAAGCGTCTTTCCAACATAACGATTTGCGAACATAGCAGGAGCCTTGATGTCATACCAATCTTTGCGTGTGAAAGGATCAACAGCCTTCTTCTTAGCTCCCTTTTTGCCCATCTTCTTATTCTTTCCAACTGCCATTTTTTAGAAAAAGACTTGGATTTGTTTTTAACTTAGAAAATCTAAAATGGTTAAAGTTAGGGTAAAATTCAAGTTCGTTCCCCCTCGTTTTCCTGCTTTAATTTGTACACAACGGTCAGACTTTCTTCCTCAGACGTTCTTTCTCAATTCAAGGACGGGAAAAACGTGTCGGGCTAACTCAAATAACAGACAAGTCAAGGAAAAAACAGGAATTCTGATTTAAAAACCCCATGATTTGGTCGTTCCATGAGTTTCTTTGACCTGTCTTTTCCTTGGCTTGTCTGTTCTTGAATTGGCCCCCACCGGGAAAAGCGGAGGGAACGAACTTGAATTTTACCAAAATTAGCTCTCTTATGAAAAATCAAGAAAAAAATAAAAATCTTTGACAACAAAAATCTAGAAAAAAAGAAAAAATGTAGAATTCGTTTCGAAACATTTTTAGTGACAGAATGCCAAATTAATTAATTTTTGAATTTTGACAATCGATTCCTTTCAAATTTATTTTTTTTTCTTGTCAGTTTTTGCATTTCTTCTGGAATTTTTTTTGTTTTTTGTTCAATTTTGTTTCAGTTTTTGTTTAATCCCTTAAAATGCTACTTGTGAGTTTTCCCAAACCAGTATTTGCGGACATTTTTGTACAGAAAAATCATTCTTGCTTCCTTTCTCGATTTCATTCAATTTTCCCTGTGGCATGTTTCATTAGTCTTCTTTGATTGAGGTCACTCTTAAACATGCCACAGTGAAAATTGAAGAGGAATCGGGGAAGGAAGAAGGATTGCCCTTTCTGTGCAAAAAATGTCCGCATAAATATGTCCGCAAAAAAATGTCCGCAAAAAAATGTCCGCAAAAAAAATGTCCGCAAATACTGGTTTGGGAGAACTCACAAGTACCCTTAAAATTTCGATTTTTTGAAGTTTTTCAGGTTTTACAATGACAGAAAATAACGAAAATTTTGACGACAAAAAGGATGCCAAAACCGACACTTCAACAGCTTTATTTGATTCGTCTTCTTCAGAGCAACAACAACCACAAATGACTTACAGTCGTGAAGAAATGCTTGCTTTGAGAGACGCGAGGTTGAGCAGAATTAGACCGCCTGAACTTTCACGAGATTTCGACAGGTTTTTCTTTTTTGGGTTTTACAGTAGGGACGGGCAGGGTTTATCCGGAACCCGAAGCTTGAGCTTTGAAACAGACAATTTTTCGAATCAGAAAGCTGATGATTCTACCCGAAGCTGGTATCCTATCCAAGAATTTTTCGAAAATCCGACTCGAAATCCTTTCCGACTTATCTCGTCTCATCCGTGTTAATGAGTCAGACCTCGCTATAAAATGAACCCTAGGAGTAGGAACATGCTTATAATTGTCCTGTCTTAAATTGTGGGTATCGCTAGACGTCTTACATGACCCAAACATTTCAGCACCCAAAGGCTGGTCAGCTTTCTTCTGAAAAAATTAGTGTTTCACCGGAACCGAAATTTTGACCGGAACCGGATCCAATTCGAGTTCCGGTTCCCTGAATTGGAACCAAAAAAACACCGGAAGTTTCCGGAACCGGAACTTCCGGTGAAACTCTAGAAAAAACGTATCTTAAATGGGGGTATCTTTGGGATCTCTTGTAGCTAACAATAAGCCTGTGACTCTAAAAAATATTTTTTATTTAGTGATAAGGGACTCTTCTCTCCTGATAAGTGGGTGCAATATAAATGGCAATGTGAAGGTGTTGAACCTCGTGGAAGGCGTCGAAATAATAATAATAATTCTGTGCCGGTTACGGGCAGTAATGCTTTGCCGTTGGCTGCAATGTCAGCTGGGGCAAATCCAAAGACTTTGAGTTCAATATTGGAGTCTACTATAGCTGCAACTAAAAATGATGATTTTTTGGACAATCACCACACTTTGTTGTCACCACAGAGACGGGGATTCTCTTCTGGATGTAAAGCGGCATCTCCGCCAAAGTCGGGTAAGGAATTTTATTGAGGGGATTTTTTGGTCTATTTTTTATTGTCAAGCTATTTCCTTGGATTCTCAGGGAGAATTTTTTGGGAGGGAGTTTTCTCATTTCCTCCCTTCAATTAGTCTTTCTAAATTGTTTCACCTTTATTATTTTTGAAAAGACTGTTAGACTCGAAAAGTGGTGATTTTGACTTACATGTATTATCTTTGCTATTTTTTATTTTTACAAAATTGGTCCCCTTTTGTTTTATTTCCCAAAATAAGACAACACAAACAGTAATATTGAACCGGACAGACCCTTTTTTCCTCCCCAATCCCCCCTCATATTTTTGAAAAATGGTTAGACTTTTTCCTTTCTTCCATCTAAATTGTCCGATTCAATATTAATACCACACAAACTTGGAAACTTCCCTTAAAAAATTTCCTTAGCCTTTTAAAAATTTATTTAAAATTTTCATTTTTTAGCCGACAAATCTCATCATCAACAACCATCTTCTAGCCGTTCCCGTTGGCAAATTAAAAATAATGGAATTGACTTTAAACCTGCTTTTGTTTGTTTTTTTTCTTTAAAATTAAAATAAAAAAAATTTTTTAGCAAAAGAATGCTCTTGAAGCAAATTCTCGTTCAAGCCGTTCAAGTCAAAACAATACGGTTAGTAGTGGTAAAGAAGTGGGACATTCAACTTCTTGGAATACTAGTGGACATTCTAAACAAGGAGATAAGGTTGTTAAGGTTACTTTTGTTGTTTTTGTTGGTAAGATTGGCAAGGGCGTAGCCAGGGGGTCGCTTTCAGTGGTAGGGCCACTTAGCTACGCCCTTGAGATTGGACGGATTTGAGCAAAAATCTGATGTGAGTTTGGTTCAAGTCAAATTTTTGCATTTTGTCTGTCATAAAATTTATTTTTCCACACTTGTAGACAGCCTATGCCTATTCGTAGTTCATTAGTATTGTTAGTTTCCAACTGAGTGAACCGAATAACCTAGGGATTTTTCATTTTATAGAAGGATATCCGGAAATATCACCTCGAACCAACAGTTTTTTGGCCAACAGTCTTTTGGGATGAAAGGATTTAGCATGATACTATTATTTACCCGACCCTTTTCCTACCTGACTATGCATAAAACAAACAATTTAAAAATTTATTTTTTAAGGGTCGTCGCTTTGGTGATAGAGAATTTAGTGAAAGAGAACGTACGCGTAGCTCAAACACAGAATCTGAACAAGTTCCAGAATGGATGAATGCTGGGCCAACTTCTGTTTTTGATGTGATTGAATTGAAAGGATTTGATGATGATGAAGAACAGGAACAGCCAGCAACTGAAAAAAGTATTTTTAAAACATTATGGGGACAGGTTGAGAGGTTCCAACTGGTTCCCTTTTTTGATTTTTAGGTCTAGGAAAAAAATTAATGAGAGCAAGATTATTTTTACATAAGATCACGTTCCTAAATTGACCACTGGGTGTGTGGAGGGCAATTCGGGGGGGGGGGGCTGTCCAAACGATTTGCCTAACCGACAGATCCCCCACCCAAAGTCACATCCCACTCATTTCCTAACTCAAAGGATTTTTTATAAATGTTATTCAGAATTAATTTTTTTCTTCTTTTTTTTAAAGAAAGAAAACGTTCCAAAGGAAGAAAAGATTCAAATAATGGTAATAATCATCTTAAAGCCAGTTCTGAAACTTATACAGGCCCAACAACACAAAAATCATCTTCATCATCATCTCGTCAAAAAAGGCATTCTAGTGGAGATTGTGCACCAAACAACAAAAATAATTCACGTCCATCTTCTCGCAATAAAACACCTCAAAGGACTGATAGTTCGTTTAGTAAACAATCTTCGCATTCTCCTGTCAGGGTTATACAGGTTTTTTTTTTAAATTTTTTTTTAAATGAAAATTAATTGAGGAGTTGGAATAACTAAAGTATTCTAGGTTTATAATTGTGGTATTAATTTTTAGAGCGATAGATATAAGTTAGATTTAGAATTTTTAATGAGGTATAACTCATTGTCAGTATTCGTCGTATTTATTCACATTTGTCTAAAATTTGGGAGCCTCTTATTGTTAGTTTTTCTTGTGGACTTGGTGTTCTTTCCGAATATTCTTACATTAGAGATGGATCGTTTTGAGCAAAAAGTCAAGTCTTTAAATGTTTCTGTAAATCGGATTTTGGGTTTAAAAACCCAGTCTATTTCTAATTTGCTAGATATTGTTTTGTTTATTTTCCATAGAAATTTGGGTTGTTTTGTTTTTACCGCTTTTTAAGAGAATTAGGATATGGTTAGAACAGAAAAAAATATTTTAATAATAGGGACAAAGAGGTGGTGGCTTCTCAAGTGATGAAAAATGTTTAAAAATTTCTTCCTTAAAAACTTATTTACTTGAAAAAACTTTAAAAAATTTTAAATTTTTAGGCAGCAGATTTGGAATTATCAATACTTCGAGAACATCAAGAAAAACTTGAAAAAGAAAAGAAGTCTTCATCAACAACAACAAAAATTGAAGATTTATCAACGACTTTTGATTTATTTGCAGCTTTGGGTATACAACCACCATCATCAAAAAAAGAAAAAGGTTTGGGTGAAAAAGGAAATGAAAATAATAAATTACCAAATTCTGATGCTGAATTTGCTGCTTGTATTCTTGGTTTGCCTATTGATCAAATTGCTAAAATTATGCCTAATGTTAGTTAGTTTGCGGAAAAAATATTTTTTTTTATTTTTTACTTGATTTTTGGGGTTAAACAAGGATAGGGGGGGGGGGTTTGAATTAAAAAAATTTTTTCTGGGATTTAGGAAAGGATGAACAGAATTTTTTTTTTAATTTTAAAATAAATCATTGAATTTTAGAATACAATTTTGAAGAATAGTTAATAAATAAATTAGTAGAAATTTTTAGATTGAATCTTAATCTTTTTAGATTGAATCTTAACATTCACGTCTTCAAAATAAATACATTGTATTGTTAATGGTTTTCAGGGTTTCAAAAAAAATTTTTTTTTTGTTTTCGAGTTTCGAATAGAATTGATAGGAAAAATTGAGACTCTGGGTCTACTTAAATGGTGGAAAATGTAAAATCTCTGTTTCCTGAGTAACCCCCGGCCATATTCCTGTTTGTACGTACGTCTAGATGGGATTTCCAAATGTCCCTTTTGTTTTGAGATTCTTGTAAATTATTTTAAATTAAAAAATAAAATTTTTAAATTAAAGGTTATTCCATCAACAAATAATAATAATAATGAGTCAATACAACAACAAAAACATCAGCAACAACAACAAACATTAGGAGACCATCAACCAACTACAAGTCGTTTACTTCGTTGGCAACAAAAGGCAACAACAACAACAAATTTAAATATTGCTGCAATATCAGAAAATAATTTAAATAAAATTGGAGGAGGAGGGGGAGGAGATGAAGAATTGAAAAGTTTAATAAGGAAGGATTTGATGATGATGAATAATAATGAGGAATCTACTACTAGTAAAATGAACAAACGTTTGTTTTTTTAGATATGTTTTGGAGCATTTTTTAAAGGTTTTTTAGGGGGAATATAGGAGGAGGCTGAGGATTTTTATTTTATTTGGAGGCTTTTGAGGGTTTGTCATAAGGCGAGTGACATTGAGGCAGTTTGGCATTATCGTTTTTTGTCAATAGAGCACTGAGGCGTTTGGGGGACGTCCCTCCAAGTTGGAGCGTTTGGGGGACTTTCTGTCATTGGGGCGTTTGCCATTAGATGATCATGTCTTGTAGAGGATCGGATCGGCCTTCTGCCAATCTTCTGAATATTTTTTCTCTCATTCCTTCTTGTTATCCTTAACTTTTCCGGCTACTTTTTTGTGTATTATAAGTACATTTAAGATGTTTCATTTATTAAACCTTTCAGAATTTTCAGAATCCTTTATGTTCACACACTTTTCTATTTAAAATATTTTTTAATTCTTTTTCTTTTTTCTAGATTTGTTGTCTCTTCGAGCAGCACAATTCGTTCCACAACAACCTTTTGTCTTTAATCCCAGAAATTCATCTTCATCACCAGCTCCATCTTTTCAACAACCACATCAACAACCTTCACCAATTTTATCTCATCAACAACAACAACGTCCAGCTAGTGCAGATTATTCTTCTCGTCTTTTTGCTTCATCATTTCCATATCCAATAATTGATCAACATTGTAGTCCACCACCACCTCAACTTACTCAATTATTTAATTCTTCGGGAGCTGCTACATTTGGTGGCGGAGGGGGCGGAGGAGGACCACCTTCTTTTGGAGGGGGAGGAGGACCTCATTTTGGAGGAGGATTAAATCCTTTTGGAAGTGGTCAATTTCCTGGTGGAATGGGAGGAGGTCAATACAACAATCAACAACACCAACTTGGAGGTCCTCATCATCTTAACAACAATTATGGACCACCTATACCTCCATATGTTCCAAATATGCCTTTTACACCACCTTCACATCAACAACAATTTTATCCTCCTTTTGGTTTGCCGACGGTTGGAGGAGGACCAGGATTTGGAGGAGTGGGAGGTGCTGCTAGTGGAGGAGGCGGAAGCTTGACTTCAAACAATTCTTCTGCTCTTTTACAAAAAATGTTTGCTGAAGCAAAACGTAATGAATTTATGCAATCTCAATCTGGTGGAAGAGCTATGATGGTAAGAAGAAATAAAATTTTTTGAGGAGAAAGGGGAAAAATATAATTTTGGCCCTATCTAGGCGTCCTACTATTGTTTAAGCGTCCCATTAGAGTTAAGTGTTTCGAAAATTAGTCGGAGTTCATTGAACGTATTTCAATCCGCTGGAAGAGCTCATGGGACACTTAAAAGCTTATTGCGACGTCCGAGACCAAAAATTTTTCAAGACCAAGACTACACCTAAGGCCAAAACCGAAAAAAATCCAAGAAAAGTCTTGGAATCAAGACTCAAGACCAATAGTCTCGGACGTCTCTAATGCTAGTGCAATAATTTTGGTATTTTTACAGATTGGTGGTCCATCTCAACATCATCTCAATAACAATTTTGCTCCCCAATTACCTCCATTTGCTCCAACAATGCCGTTTACAACACCACCATCACATCATCAACAACCATTTTATCCTCCATTCGGGGTGTCTGGGGGCGGCGGAGGACTTGGAGGAGGACCAGGATTAAATAATCCAAATATTCCTCCATATCATCCAAATCGTCAACAATCACCTTATCATTTAATGAATTTTCCTCCACCACTTGTAAATACTCAACAGCAACCGCAACAACAACAAAAAACGGTAACAACAACAACAACACATCATCAAAATTTGCTCAATTCACCTGCCTTTATGCCAACATCGGTAAAATTAATAATATTCAAAATTGGTTTTAGCTATCAGGCTTGACTAGTGAATTTTGAACTTGACTTTGTGAAAATGTCCTGGTTGTGTTTCTGGGTCCGGGAAAAATTGAAGTCTCGATCCACGCTCAAATCTTATGAATATTAGAGAAAAGCTTAAGGCAAAGGGGAGAGGACATGGCATGCCTACCGAGAATGGCTTAGGACAAAGGGGGTAGCGAATGGCGTGCTTGTTCCCAGACCTTGCCAAGAGAAGGAGAGAGGGGTATAAGGTGTACTTCTCCAGAACTTTCAAGAGGATGAGGGCCCTAACTTATGATAAAAAAATTTTTTTTTCTAAAGGTAATTCGACAAATGTCAAAAATGCCTGGAGGTGGTAGTTCTGTTAATAGCGGTGGAGATTCAGCTAGTGGAGTAGGCGGAGGTGTTGCTGTAACTGTTGGAGGTGGAGGAGGAGGAACAAGCAGCAATATTTTTGCTGCTTCTGGAGGTAGTGGGGGTGGTGGTTTAACTTCAAACAATTCTTCTGCTCTTTTACAAAAAATGTTTGCTGAAGCAAAACGTAATGAATTGATACAATCTCAATCATCATCTGGAAGAGCTATTTTGGTAAGTTTAAAGAAAAAAAAATTTTTTTGACGAGAGACGGAATAATTTGGGTTTACGATTATATAGTTTATTAACAAGAATTTGATATTTTAAAATATAAAATGCCCACAATTGTTGGGGTTAAAAAAATTTTTTTAAAGGGAGGTTTAGGATCATTGATGACGGGTATACTGGTCCGATATCCCCGACTTTTGGTTATTGCGGTTTTAAATCTCCGCCAACAATACTAGAGCCACGGTTAAAATTTTCGAGGGATGCAGCGTAACAGGGGCAGGTCGGGGAATTTTTAAAAAGTCTCAAATTCCTCCAACTTTCGGGGACGTGGTACAACCCTGTGGGCTATTCTCCTAATTTTCTAAGAAATTTTTTTCTTAATGTATAAAGGGACGTGATCCATATTTGGATGTTGGAATTTTGACAACAACAACATCAACAGGTCAAGAAGCTCAAGGTAGTATTAATATTACGACGACGACGACAACAAACCCATCATAAACATTAAATATATTTTAATTATTTTTTTTTCTTCTTCTTGCTTTTATTATTATTATTTAATTATTTTTTTTTGTTTTTTCTCCCTTTTAAAAAACCTTATTTAAAAAAAATTTTTTTGGATGAGAAAAAATTTTGAAGTCGTCAAAAAAATATATATTATTAAAATTGTGATTGTCCACATATACGGGACACGCCCCCAAATAGGCGCGCGGCAAAGTAGGCGCAAAGCCATAGGTAGTCTGAAAATTTCTGGACCTTAATAATTTTGGTATCAATTCTCTCTAGCTCGAGGAGAACTTGGCCGCGCGCCTACTTGGGTCGTACCCTCCACAAATATTCATTTTACTGGCTTTTTTTTCTTCTCTCTATTATTATTATTATTATATTGTTTTGTGTGTTTTAAAAAATGAAAAATTTATTATTCCCTTCATCCCCTCATATTCATCCCTCTCATCTTCAAAAATAAACACCTCTTTTACTTCTAGGGATGGCGGATCCTGGGAAATCCTTGGGTATACCGGTCCGATCTGAAAATTTCTCGGATACCTGGCCTGTTTGCGGATCATGGGATATACTCAGGATCATACGTTGGCGAAACATGTTTTTTTTTCTGAAAAATTCTGATTTAAAAAATTCTGATTTATTCTGGTTTTAAAATTCTGATACGAAATTCTGGTCCTTTCTGATTCTGAAAAATTCTGATTTAAAAAAAATTCTGATTTATTCTGGTTTTAAAATTCTGATACGAAATTCTGGTCCGAAATTCTGGTCCTTTCTGATTCTGAAAAATTCTGATTTAAAAAAAATTCTGATTTATTCTGGTTTTAAAATTCTGATACGAAATTCTGGTCCGAAATTCTGGTCCTTTCTGATTCTGAAAAATTCTGATTTAAAAAAAATTCTGATTTATTCTGGTTTCAAAATTCTGATTAAAAATTCTGATGGTTCTGATTTTAGAATTCTGATTCTGAAAAATTCTGATTAAAATTTTCAGAATTTTGTTTCGGTTGATCCAAAAAATTTTATGTTTCACCAATATTTCTGATCCAGATCCGCCAACCTTTTATTATTTATACTTCTTTCTCGTCCTCCTATTATTATTTTTTTGTTCACATTTGGAAATATATTCTAGTAAAGTACCGTTAAAATAGATTAGAAAAAAATTTTTCTTTTATATTAAAAAATTTGATTTTTTGGGTAAAATTTGGAGAAAAATATTCAAAAAAAAATTTTTTTTGTTGCACATATTTTTAAAATAATATTGAAATAAAAATATTTCACATTTGTAGATTCAGAATTAAAAAAAATATTTTTGACAAGAATATTTTTGGGGTTTGAAATTTTATTTTTCAATTATTTATTTCGCTACTATCCCCTCCAAGACTGTCAATATCAGCATTTAATGTTGAGGGGCTTTGTGCTGCCAATTCTGAGGATCCGGTATTCCGTCGAGATCGCATGCTTCCAGTACCACTGATTGATCGGGCGTAATCGGAAATCTAAATTGTTGATATTCTGATACGTTTAATTTGAAAATTCTGATTTATTCTGGTTCTTAAAATTCTGATTTGTAAAAATTCTGGTTAGTAAATTCTGATTTGTTCTGGTTTTAAAATTCTGATTTACAATTCTGATTTTAAAATTCTGATTTTTGTTCTGGTTAGTAAATTCTGATTTGTTCTGATTTTTAAGATTCTGATTTGTTCTGATAAAATTCTGATTTGTTCTGATAAAATTCTGATTTGTTCTGATTTTTAAAATTCTGATTTCTGTTCTGATTTATAAAATTCTGATTTATTCTGATTTCTAATATTCTGATTTCTATTCTGATTGTTAAAATTCTGATTTTTGTTCTCAATCTCCTACTTTTTCTCCTTATTTTACAACTTACTTTAACATTTCCTCCACCGGGTACATGAGTAATATTATCGAGTGAACCAACTTTAGAGTTTGCCTTTACTTTTACAGGTTCATTAAATATCTATCAAAAAATGAAATTAAAATTCCCCCTTTATTTTAATTTAAATTTACTTTATTTTGCCCTCCCCCAGGTTGATGTCCAGCATTAATAAGAGACCCAACCTTTGCCTCAGCCTTCCAAACTAATTTTTCTGTTGGAATCTTTTTAATAATTAAAAATATACATAATTATTATTAATTTACACTCTAAATTCTGATTTTAAATTCTGATTCTAAAATTCTGGTTTTGAAAAATTCTGATAGGAAATTCTGGTTCTTTCTGATTTCTGATTCTGAAAAATTCTGATTTTTAAAAAATTCTGATTGGTTCTGATTTTGAAAAATTCTGATACTAAATTCTGTCCTTTCTGATTCTGAAAAATTCTGATTTAAAAAAATTCTGATCCGAAATTCTGGTTCATTCTGATTTTGAAAAATTCTGATTTATTCTGGTTTTAAAATTCTGATTTCAAAAAATTTCGATTGGTTCTGATTCTGAAAAATTCTGATTTTAAAAAATTCTGATTTAAATTTTTATTAAACTCACCCTTTTCTCACTCTTCGGAATTATTATTTCCGATTTAGCATCAACTCTAGGCCTCGCAGTCTCTCGAAAATTCAATTTCCTCTGCAAAATGCGAACATTCCCTCCTAAGGGTGTATGATCAGCATTAACTAGAGAACCAACTTTGGGGGATGCAACGACCTTTAGAGGTTCATGGAAGATTTTAACTTCGCTGGGAGTTGGGGAATGGTCCGTTATTGAATTTACTTTGCTAAAAAATTAAAAAAAATTTTCAGAAAAATTTCTGGTTTTTACCTCTTTATGTGCGCATACCGCCTATTAATTATCCTTGGGGGCATACTTGGAGCGCGATTAATAGCTACGCCGTTAGAAGCATTTCCAGTACCATTTTGTTTAGTTAGCGTTGAACTCCCTTAAAAATATATATTTATTTTTAGTTCAAAAATTAATTTAAGAAAATCAGAATTATTTTCAGAATCAGGGCTATGCGGGGACGCGCGTGGAAAGCCTTCGGCTGTAAAAGCACGATAGTCTGTTTTTTGCTTGGCGATTTACGTTAAACGTATTTAGATCCGTGGCTTTGCGTTTTGGGGGCCGCCGGTTCACTTTTCATTTTGCGTTTCAGATTTAGAAGGATACTGTGCCTTTAGGCAGCTGTGGTCGTGGGGCGGTTGGGGACCTTGCGTCCAATTAACTTTTATGCGTCCAATCAAAAGAAAATGGATTTTTCTCGGTTGCAAAACAGAAGTAGGGTTCCAAAACATTTCTTCATATTTGGAACATACGCCCACTAGGTCTGGGACCATTCCTTACCCCATTTCTCAAAATTTCTAAAGGTTATAATCGTTTTTCTGAGATTTTAAAAATTGGCTATAACTTTCAGAAATTTCGAGGACCGGGTAAGGAACGGTCCCAGACCCAGTGGACGTAGATCCCGAACATGAAGAAATGTTTTCGAACTATACCCCAACCTTGCAACACCAAGAAAAATAGAATTTTTTGTTTGATTGGACGCATAAAAGTTCATTGGACGCATAAACTAGACTAGCGCCGTTTTGCAAATATTTAATTTTAAAATTTTTAAAAATTATAAATCAATATTTAATATACACGATTCAAAAAAGACGGCAATTTAAAAGACTGCTTTCCACATCCCCCTTCCCTTCTCCCCATCCCTTGCCTTCTCCCCTCATCCCCATCCCCATCCCCATCCCCATCCCCTCCATCCCCATCCCCTTCCTTCTCCCCATCCCTTGCCTTCTCCCCTCATCCCCATCCCCATCCCCTCCATCCCCATCCCCTTCCTTCTCCCCATCCCTCTCCCCATCCCTTGCCTTCTCCCCTCATCCCCATCCCCTTCCTTCTCCCCATCCCTTGCCTTCTCCCCTCATCCCCATCCCATTCCTTCTCCCCTCAATCCCTTCCCCTTCCCCTTCGCTCCCCTCCTCCCCATCCACATCCCCTCCTCCCCATCCCATCCTCCCCATCCCCTTCCCATCCCATCCTCCCCATCCCATCCCATCCCCCTCCCCTCATTCCCTTCATCATTATTTTTTATCTCCCCCATCATTAATGAATTTTTTAATTTAATTTTATTTGAGAATAAAAAATGAATATTTTTTATTTAATTTTAATTTTAAATTCTCTCCAATATATTGGTGGGATGAGACGCTCAAGTAGTTTTTTTGATTTGTTAAACTTTATAATTGTAAAGCATATAGCTATTTAATTCCTAAGGCTGTGCAGCAGTCTGGTCTACTGAAGATGCTGGTCCGGTCTACTGAAGAGACCTCTTGCACTAGCTAAAGGAGAGAAATAGTTATAGTCCAGGCTGCTTTACTGGTAGCACCGGATGTTCACGAACGCTGAACGCATGACGATCCATCCCATAGGCCCTGGGTGTAGAACGGAAATTCTGCCAGCCTTTATTAGAATACATCCCTAAAGATGCTAGTTCGCTCCCAGCCGCCGACTAACCTTCTGCACTAGCTAAAGGAGAGAAATAGCTATAGCCTAGCTGCTTTATAATAATAATAATTAGGGTTGCCGGTCCGGTCCTCCGAAAGTTCGAGTTGGGCATCGAATTTTGGCCCGAAAAAGACTCCGTTCGGGCCGGCCCGAAAAAATGACTCGAACGTCGGCCGACTCGAAAACGGTAACCCTAATAATAATACATATATTTTTAAAGGAGGAAAAGGAGTTGTTGATCATCGTGTAGCAAATAGACGGAATTGCCCTCCACCTCCACCGCCCGGTCAATCAAACACACCATTCTCGGAATTAAACTTTTCGCTAGTCGAATTGTCATTCATGATTGGAATGTTTAAACAAATAGATATTGAAACATTGGATATGGGAATGTTAGATATCCTCAATGGATATAAAATACCATTGTTAAATACTTTGAGAATTCAAGAAGAAACTGATCAATTTGAGTTGATAGATAGAATGTTTAATAAAATTGAAAAGGTAACTTAAGTAGCTTAACAAAAGTCCAAAGGGCTAAACCTTTGGAATTGGGATGAATCGATGCCAAAGGGGTTTTGGGTTGAGAGATTAATTGGTGAGGCGGTCCACAGTCTTGCCAGCCCTGGGATTCGCGGTGGCTTTGGAAAGGCCTGGAAATATTAATGTGGTTGATGAAAGGTAGGGGCATCCTTCAGAGCGCCGGTTGGGGGATTTGGAGATTGAGTGGAGGTGCATAGGACTTAATATACATATATTTATTAAAACATTTAATATTTGAAATAATAAATTAAATGAGTTTGTCAATGGAAAGTTAAATAAAAGGAGTGAAATGAGGATTTGGGAAGCATCGGGAATTTGGGATTTTATCGGATGAACACATCTGAACTTGTTCATCTATTGTTCATCCTTTGGTTATGTGAAAAGTCGGGGTCGGGACTTGGATAAATTTATGAGTCTCGAGTCCGGGGCTAACAGGCGATGTTTTGTCAGGACACCGTTTCCTAGTAACATGTTCAGAAACTGTGTGGTCTCTGCTCCAAAAATTATTTTAAATCATATGATTCAAGATTTTTAAAATTTATAAACAAAAAGGTTATCAACTTTTACGACAATTTATTGGATAAATTTCAACAAATAATAGCTTTTATAAAACATATAGAACAGAATGAACGAAATATTTTTATTTCTTGGCATTTATTCGGTTTTGTTAGAAATTTGATTCGTTCTTTTGTTTCGCAAAGCGGTCATTATAAAAATATATTTCCTCAAAATATGTAGGTATTTTATTTAATTTTCATTCCAACATATGTATTATATACTAGTGATGTTCGAGACTCTCGGTCCCGACTCTCGAGTCGAGAAATTTCTCGGGTTTTTTGAGCTCTCAGTCTCGACTCTCGGTTTGGTTTCGGGGTTGATTCTCGGTTTAGGTCTCGACTCTCTGCTTTTTTCGACTCTCGAACATCACTATTATATAGTAGAGTTTAACAGGAAGTTCCGGTTCCGGAAAGTTCCGGCGTTTTTTTGGTTCCGGTTCAGGGATCTTATTTGAGTTCTGGTTACAGGAACCGGTACTCAAAATGGATCCGGTACTTCCGGTCAAAATTTCGGTTCCGGTGAAACACTAGTTAGGGTTGTCGGTTCTGGATCGAACCGAAGAACCGAGGGTTTCTCGGTTCGGGGTTTTCTGTTCGGTTTCGGATATCCGAAGAATTTCCAGGAATCGACAACCCTGTTATATAAGTACGGCATAGAACACTGACAATCCTAACACTCCCTGAAATAGGAGCTGGGTTTCTGAGAATCTACATAAATAATGAAACCACCCTTCCCTTGGCGATGCCTCCCCGAAAAGTTATCTCCGTGGCCCTCCCCTCCCGTCGGGGAACAACCCCCTCTCTAACTGTGACGTTTTAGGAAATTTACTTTTTTTAATTTCAAAAATTTTTTAGCCAACTTTCAATTTTGCTTTATATAGAGGCTTTTGATATTTTTGAAGTAAAGTCAAATATATTTATGAAAAAACTAGAAGGGTTAGAAATTTTTAGTTATGATTTAGTTGTTGAATTTACTCACAATAATTGTGTATATTGTAAGAATTATTAAATTATATTAATTTAATTATTCCCGCTAATTCCCAGTATTTTCCTCAGCTTTTGGGGCCGAGATAGGAATTATTATAAAAATGAGAGCGGAATTCTGAAAAACGGGGAAAGGGAAATGAAAATGAAAATTAACCGACCGGAACCCGGTCCGGGAAAATTGGGAATTTCCGATCCCGGTTTCATCCCGGCATTTTCAAAAAAGCAGGGAGAAAGTACCGAGAACGGGACCCCCCGATCCAGTTCCGTTCTCTATTAAATGTATATCATTCGAATCACTTGATTTGACCCCATATATGGACTCCTTATCAGAGGTGAATCGGAAATGAAGAAGGTGCCGGAAATTGGAACTTGGATATCGGAACTTGGAAATCGGTAGTTGGAACTTGGAAATCGGTAGTCGGAACTTGGAAATCGGTAGTCGGAACTTGGAAATCGGTAGTTGGAACTTGGAAATCGGTAGTCGGAACTTGGAAATCGGTAGTCGGAACTTGGAAATCGGTAGTTGGAACTTGGAAATCGGTAGTCGGAACTTGGAAATCGGTAGTTGGAACTTGGAAATCGGTAGTCGGAACTTGGAAATCGGTAGTCGGAACTTGGAAATCGGTAGTTGGAACTTGGAAATCGGTAGTCGGAACTTGGAAATCGGTAGTCGGAACTTGGAAATCGGTAGTCGGAACTTGGAAATCGGTAGTCGGAACTTGGAAATCGGAACATGGAAGTCGGAAATATGCTTCATAAATTATCGGAAATCGGAAGGGAAAAAACGTTGGAACTTGGAAATCGGAATTCCGATTCACCTCTGCTCCTTATGTTCCATTGTTCAATTTAAGTTCAAAACTTTTACAAATTCGAGAAAAATTTGATAAAATTATAATTAAATTTAAATTAAAGCACGCAGCCAAATGTTAAAGCCTTTGAGAGCAGCCGAACGTGAAAATGATATTATTTACCCTGCTAATTTTAGAGTTTTGAATGAAAATTTTAATGCTATTCAACCATTTTTGCTGATAATTTTTTATTATCCTATACGTAATTTTTTTAATCCAAATTTTTTTACTTTAAAATTTTTTAAAGTTCAAATTGGAGAAACCGAATTAACAATACCAGAATGCTATGAAATTATAAACAAAAGCTGTAATATTTTTAAAAATTAATTCTCTCCTCTTCCCTTATTTTTAAATCTTAAATTTTTGTTTAGCTTAGAACTTAACGAATTTTTTTAAATATTTGAAAAGTTTATTTAGCAAGTAGGGTTCTTCGGTTCTGGACCGAACCGAAGAACCGAGGATTTTCAGTTCGGTTTCAGATATCCAAAGAATTCCCAGGAACCGACAACCCTGTTAGCAAGGATTAGGAATGCGTTATTAATGCTAATAATCTACTAAACTAAAAATCTAATAATTTTTATTTGACAATCTTTTATAATTAAAGAACGGACATGAGTTAAATTTGATCGATTCAATCCCTTTATATCTGTTTAATACCCACTAATCCCCATATAGTATCTCCTTAATCAACCAGAAGTGGGTCGAAACAGCCAGAGGTGTCGGAAATAGGAAGAGCCGGAAATCGGTACTGGCTCAAAAGTCGGAACTCGGAAATCAAAATTTTTTTCGGAAATCGAAAGGAAAAAACGCCGGAAATCACAAGTCGGACATCGGAAATCCGACCCACCTCTGCTGTTTACCGAAGAATCTTGTGAAACCGACAACCCTATTTGATCGAGATTTCGAAAAATATCGATCTCGTCGGACAAGATTTTGTAGGATTTAATTAGGAATTGGGCGCTCCGACTCGGGCACAGTGATCCATTTGCACAGTAAGTCAATTGCACAGAGGGCATCTACACGGCTACCCTACAAAACATATTTTTTTAAAACAGCAAACGCTCAAAACATCTAGACGACTAAAAAGGCTCAAAATATATTCGCTCAAAACATCAAACGCTCAAAATATCTAGACGGCTAAAAAGGCTCAAAATATCAAAATATTTTTTGATTAAAAGGGACAGTTGAGTCCAATATTTCTTCCTTGTATCAGGGGTGAATAATGTAGTAGGACCAATTTTGCATGAACTCGACGTGTTGAGAAAGGGCTCGACGAGCTGAGTTGAATGACACCAAAATCAGCTCGATTGGATGATTGTGAACAAAGTTATGACCAACTGAATCTTCGCTGGAAAAACTGTTTTTGTGCTGCTACGGAGGGTAGGCCGGGCATGGTCTTCGCTACACGATGGCTTCGCTACACGACGGTCTTCGCTACACGACGGTCGTGCTCGCTTCGCTCGCGGCGACCGTAGCGAAGCGGCGGCCGTCGTTCCGCTCGACATGCCCGGCTTCCTCCGCAGCGGCAAAATTTTTTTCCGCGGACTCAACTGTCCCCTTTAAATGAAAAATATATTTTGATATTTTGAGCGTTTGATGTTTTGAGCGAATATATTTTGAGCCTTTTTAGTCGTCTAGATGTTTTGAGCGTTTTTACCCGTCTAGATATTTTTAGCGTTTTTAGTCGTCTAGATATTTTAAGCGTTTGATGTTTTGAGCGGGCACGATCTACACAGTAGACAATTGCACAGTAATTTGTGGTTAAGCGGATTCGTGTTAGATTTTACTTATTGTTATAAGGGAATAAAATGTTATTAATTATTAGAGATTGGACCGAACGATTTTTTTCGATATTTTTGACACCGAAAAAATATTATCGAAAATATCGACTGAGAAAATTTTGACTTTTTCGATATTTTTCGGTATTCGTTATTTATCGAAAACTATCGACCGACCTCTTCAGCGATCTCTACCTTTTCCAAAAATATGATTTCTGAGAAAAATCTTTAAAATACAAAAAGAATCAAACGAACAAATAATTAACTGAACATAATAATTGCCCCGAGTATTAACAACATTTTTTAAACAGGAAAGATTTTTTTGGATCCTCCTTTTAAAAAATCTGATTTCTGATGCACTGTACTTATTTAATAAAATCTAAAAAATGTGATTGGACTTATGTATAAAATTCCTGTGGACTCATACAAAACGCAGTCTCGCCCTTGGCGTCTTCAGTAAAGTGCCTGTCCCGTAAGAAATTTTTTAAAAATGTGAAAAGGTGTTTATCCGATAGAGCAGACTCAGAACTATAAGGCGGTACCTAACCAAAAATTCTCAAATGCGGAGATCCTTTAGAACATACTCTAACAGATGATTCGCAATAAAAATAAAAAATAATTTCTAAAAACTTAATTTTAAAATCAAAAAAATCCAAATTAAAAAAGCGACACTAATTATGACCCGACCTAATGATAATTAATAACATTTTATTCCCTTATAACAATAAGTAAAATCTAACACGAATCCACTTAACCACAAATTACTGTGCAATTGTCTACTGTGCAGATGCCCTCTGTGCAAAAGTCTTACTGTGCAAATGGATCACTGTGCCCGAGTCGTGTCACCAGGAAGGGGGAAGAGGACAGAATAATATACCGTAAAATTTTAATTAAAGGGACTATTGAAAATGGTACTAGAGAGGTCACTCCATTTTATGTTTTTTATTATAATATTGAGGCAAATATTCAAAATAAACTTCAACAAGGAATTGTTAATCCCTTTTTAATTGCTGAGATTAGAGAAGAAAATAAAAAACCAGAATCAAGAGAATATGAAGAGGATACTACATTTTTAAAAGCTGAAGAGGGTAAAGATGTTCCTCCACAATTACGTGACGGAATTATGAAAAAAGTAAATTAAAATAAAATATAAAGTGGTCTAGAGGGAAATTCGAGAACTAAGCGGACTTAGATTAATATGGCGGATAAAGGGCAGAATAATTCATACGCTAGGCGATAGGATGTTGCAAAGTGTAATCAGTGAGAAACCAGCGTGAACCCCTCCTATAGAAAAGATGTTTATAATACGAAGGGAAAAAGGAGAAATCGCCTTCAGTCGGCCTGGACTTCATACATCCTCCACCTCCAATTCTCACTTCTTAAATAGGCAGGGTTTAACTATAGTAAGAGCGAGGTAAAAGTTTAATCCCGGGCAGGCTTCAATCCTACGACCTCCTGGCAGTTATTGCTAGGTTCCCCACGTACAGAGCTCTACAAACTGAGCTACCGGTAGTATGAAAGGCGCAGACTTGCAGAGGTGGGTCAGTCAGAGGTGTCGGAAATCGGAAGAGCCGGAAATCGGAACTGGATCAAAAGTCGGAATTACGACCCACTCTGGTCGGTTGTTAGCCTAGTGTTAGTGTTATTCCGTAGTCACAGGCAGTTTCCACTTCAGTGCATAGTCTCGTTATTCGATTGTGTTATTGTTGCTTGTGTTAAACCTGTTTGCTAGTCAAGTTTTTCTGTTAGTGTCGGACACCCCGCAAGTTGATACTCAACAGATAACCTTATTTACTTTCTGGAACAGAGAGTAACTAAATATAATTTTTTAATTTCTAAAAAAATTTTTTTAAAAGATTATTAAAGAATGTCGTGAAATTATTAAAGGGAATAATGGACCTAAACAATCTAAAGAAAAATATGTACATAAAGGAAGTGGAAGCGGACAAGGAGGAAGTGATTTATCAACGGGGTTTTAGGGGGTTGGTCTTTAACTAACGGGAATTTTTATTATTATCAAAGAAGAATTAAATTTTCAAACAATTTTTAAAGAAACAAAAGTATTTATTAGGGATAGTATATTACTCTTTTCTTGAATTTTTCTTCATTTTGTGAGAAAAAATTTTTTTAGTTACTAACCTACTAGTATGTTATTTAATGGGGATGTGAATTACATATTAGTGATGTTCGGGAGAAGGAAAAACCCGGGAAACGGGAGTGGGTCGGTAAATGACCTCGGGAGTCGGGAGGCCAAAAACTCGGAAAAATTTCTCGCTCGGGAGTCGGGATACCCGAACATCATTATTACATATATGGAAATATTTTTTCTGAATTGTTTAGGATCTAAAACACACGAAAAACACATGTTGTTTCCGTACTTGCAAAAGGAATATAAATTGTTGTTGGATGGCGGTACAGTTGGTTGTGCTTCGGTTTAGCCCGGTGATGGGTCAGTTATTTTGATTTATATTCTTTTTGCAAGAGCGGACACAACATGTGTTTTTCGTGCGCTTCAGACCCTAAACAAATCAGGAAAAGACTATTTATTTCCATATAAATTGTAATTCTGTTTTATCTGATATTTATAGGAATCGGAAATTCTGATTTGTAATTTTTATTTGTATTTTCTGATTTGTAAATTCTGATAAATTAAATCAGAAAGATATAAACCCTATTTAAAAATCAGAATTTAGATATCAGAATTTTTAAAGTATGTAGAAATTACAAATCAGAATATTCATAAATTACAATATCAGAATTAAAAATTACAATTTGTAAATTCTGTTCTGATTTAAAAAATTACAATTTGTAATTTCTGATTTGAAACATTTAATTTATATTTCTGATTTAGAAATTTATCTGATAATTGTAATTTTAATTTCAGAATTAGAAATTACAATTTGTAATTCTGATTACAGCATTTATGTATTTGCATTTCTGATTTATAAATTACAATTTGTAAATTCTGATTTAGAAATTACAAATTGTAAATTCTGATCTATATTTTTAATTTATTTTTCCGATTTGTAATTTTTCTGATAATTGTAATTTTAATTTCAGAATTTAAAAATTACAATTTGCAAATTCTGATTTTTAATTGTAATTTTTAATTTGTATTATATTTCTGATTTATAAATTACAATTTGTAATTTCGATTAATGAAAATTACAATTTGTAAATTCTGATTTATAACATCTATTGGTATTTCAGAATTAAAAAATTACAATTTGTAATTCTGGTTTGTAACAATTAATTTATTTTTCTGATTTAGGAATTACAATTTGCAAATTCTGATTTTTAATTGTAATTTTAACTGTTTAGGTCTATTTACAAATTTAAATAAAAACCACTCACTATTTCGACTTATATCTCTATTATTATTTTGTTGAATTAATTTTCCATTTTGAGAAGGATTATGTCTAGTATTTGGTATAGCAGAATTATTGTTGTTGTTATTATTAAAAGGTTGGGAACGTGGAATTGGTTTGGCCGAGCTGCTTCGCATTTTTGAAGTAGTCGAGTGGATAGTTTTGCTTGAAAAAAAATTTTTTTTTCAGAAATTTTTTTTTGAAAATTATAAAATTTTTTTTTATTTTTTTTTCACATTCTGTTCGAATTTTTTTCAAAAATTTTTTTGTGAAAAAAAAATTTTTTTCAATAAAAAAGGGGAAAATTTCAATAAATTCAAATTATAGTTAAATTCTCATGGTTACTCCAAAAATAAATTTTTTTTAAAACATTTTTCAAGTTTCCATAATTTTCAACTTATCGATTTTTATTAAAAAATTTTTTTAATTTTATTTTTGTTAAAAAATAAAAAGTGAGTGTTCGCGACAATTTCTGTCCTCAATCACTTGCCCAAAAAATAATCTAATCGAGGGAGAGGAACATATTTACTCTTTAGTGGTGGAGTGAAAAAAAAATAAAAATATACGAGAGCAAAAACTAATAAATAAAAAAATATTGGTAGAACAAATAATATTGAAAAAATAAAATTAAAAAATTATGAATGATTAAAAAAATAATTTGTAGATAAAATATTGTATAGTAGTTGTTGCGGTTGGGGGAGGAGGGTTGAGGTTGGTTATTAAATATTTTTATTGACCAGAATTCTGATTTTGCTTTTGTAATTTATAGAAAATAAGAATTCTGATAATTCTGGTTTTTAATTATGAATTGTAAATTCTGAGGGTACACCCCAACTTACCGCGAGCCCAACTCGTCGCAGAGCTATAACTTCGTTCAGAATTGTCGAATCCGGGTCACCCTGGTATAGTTCGATTCAGCTCGTCGAGACGCATCGAATCATACCAAGGCGTACCGGATTCGGCAATTCTGAACGAAGTTATAGCTCTGCGGTAACTTGGGCTCGCGGTAAGTTGGCCTGCTCCCAAATTCTGATTTGTAAATTCTGTTGGTAAATTCTGATTTTTAAATTTTGATTTCAAATTCTGGTTTTAATTCTGATTTTCCAATTCTGATTTTCCAATTCTGATTTTTTAATTCTGATTTTTTAATTCTGATTCTTTAATTCTGATTTTAAATTCTGATTTGTAAATTCTGGGTTTTAATTCTGTTTAATTCTGATTTTCAATTCTGATTTGTAAACTCTGATTTATAAATTCTGATTTGTAAATTCTGATTTTAAATTCTGATTTCAAATTCTGAATTTTAAATTCTGATTTGTAAACTCTGATATGTAAATTCTGATTTTTTAATTCTGATATGTAAATTCTGATTTTTTAATTCTGATATGTAAATTCTGATTTGTAAATTCTGATTTTTAATTTCTAAATTTTAATTTGTAAATTCTGATTTACATTTGTAAAACTATTTTTACTCAACCAGAATTAATGACTAAGCTAAGAGTAAACAATTTAAACAGAATTAGATTCATTACCAATAAATGAGAGAATTATTAAAAGGCTAATAAATTTTACAGGTGGTCAATTATTAAATAAAGACACCCACTTAAGGATAATTATTGAAAGGTTGTCAATAAAAAAAAAATAAAATGGGGGATGTAAATATTTTTTTGCATGAAAGTAGAGAGGGAATCGATGAGAAAAAATATTTTTTTTTACTTTCCAGAAAGGCACAAAAAATGTAAAAATGGCGCAGACTGGCCAAGTCTTTTGCTTCTTCCCCTAAAGGCGTCGGAAAGCAAGCAATATATTTATTTTATAAAATATATGGATGTTTACGTAAATATGTGGATGGACACTTTTTTTGTTTTCTAAGAGGAGGACCATTTATTTTTCGATGAAATAAAAGGGGTTCTTGTGATTTACTCAAAATTGGATTTTTTAAATAAAATAATAAATTTGGAAAGATTTATAGTTTGAATTTACTTAAAAATATTTTTTAATTAAAAAAATATTTTTTTAAGCCAATTAGCCATGGATTGGCCTGCCTGGTAAGGTTGGCGGATAGTTGGAAATCTTCGGATACCCGGATCCGGAACCGAAAATTTCCGGATATCCGGCCTTTTTTCGGATCCGGATATCAGGGTCCGCCAACCTTACTGCCTAGAGCTTCGCCGGACGTTCCGGTTCAATTCCCGTTAGGCCGGAAGTTCCGGAATTTTTTGGTTCTGGTTCCGGTTCCGGCCAAATTTGCGGTCTGATGAAGCACTAGCCCTGACGCATTTATAAAGAGGAAGGACGAAGAAAGTGGAAGGCAAAATAAAAAATACCAGAAGCAACGCGAAAGCTCATCCTACTAAAAATTAGATACACTAAATATCCACTAAAATTATCCACCAAAAATTAGAAAAGAATTGATTTAAAAAAGATTTATCCCTTTAAATAAGGAATAGAAATATTTATGATGAGAAGAAGCAAATGAAAAAGCTTCTGGGTTGTACTAATTGAAAGCATATTTAATAGTATGTTTGTATAGGGAGAGGATAGCTGCACATTTAAGTGCGCGAAAAAAAAGGCTGGAAGAGAGGGGAATTATTAAAAGAGAAAATTAAAGAAGCTTAAAAATTAAAGAAAAGTTGGGGCACTTAAATTTGTATTTATTCAAACTTGTTTCAACCTTTCTTTAAGCTTCTAATTTTTCTTTATGACGGAATGAAAGAGTTCCCTCATTGATTTAAAAAACAGAATTAAAAAGAATCAGAATTCTGGTTGGAATAGAATAAATAAATTTAAAAAATCAGAATTTCAGAATTTTTGTAAAATTAAAAATCAGAATTTTGTTCTGTGAAAAATCAGAATTTTTAAACCAGAATTTAAGTCAGAATTTATCAGACTTACCTAAATTAAACAATAGTCTTTAAAAAATCAGAATATTAAATCAGAATTTTTAGACCAGAATTTTAAAAATCAGAATAAACCAGAATTTCGAATTAGAATTAAAATCAGAATTTATCAGACTTGAATTAAATCAGAATTTTTTAAATCAGAATTTTAAAAGGACAGGATAAACCAGAATTTTAAAACAGAATTTTAAGGTCCAGAATTTCTAAATCAGAATTTCTGTGAAAATAAACTTTGTTCCGTTTAACCAAGTTTAAACTTAAAATTTTAAGTTTGACCTTCTACTTAAATAATATTTTTTGCTCTTTAAAGATCAATTTTAAGCAGTATTTTAAAGATTTAGATGATAATAGAAATAAAAAGAAAAATTTAAAAATTGAGAGAAAAGAGAGAAGAATGCCCTAAGGGATTTGTTTGTCAACTAGGAAATTTTTCTTCCAATTTGGCAGCATTTTTGTTTGTGTCCCCCTATTCCTCATTCTGTTCCACACACAAAACCATTTAAGTTTTATACCCAAAATTTTACACCAAAATGAGCACACAAATATATATAAATTTTGGATGTATTTTGGACATATAGCTAATGAGCATTTTCTCTCTTTTTTGTTTGTTTTACTTTTAAGGAAATTTTCGGGAAAATAAAAATTATTTCTGTGATATGAGGCTTGTGTATAGCTTAACTTATCCCTTCCCTAATTTTCTAATCTACCACTTATCACAGCAGAAGAGAGAAGAAAGGAAGAGAGAAGAAAGGAAGGGAGAAGAAGGTAATAGGGTGCTCTCTGTTTGGATTTGTTATGATAGAAGCATGATAAGAAGCGGGATAAGAAAGAGATTGTATGTGACCTAAGGTTTGATAAGCTAGAGAGTGTGTGACTTTGGCTGTGAGAGAAGACAGAAATCTCCGCTGCTAGAGTTGAGAAGAGTAATAGGGTGCTCTCAGTAATAGGGTTTGATAAGACAAGAGGTGATAAGACAGAGATAACAGGTTCTAAGGTGTGATAAGATAAGTATCTCAGTTCCTATGTGTATGTTAACCCCTCTAGTAATAGAATGCCTCTATAATTTCCTCTCCCTTACGGTCCCGTAGGGGAGAGAGAGTTCCTCTCCCTTACGGTTCCTGTCTCTTTAAGGTGTTAACTATATCGTTTAAAAAAACTGCCCACCTTTCTCGATACAAATTTGGCATTCGACTTTTATCAGAACATTCACTTGATGTTTTATCTTCGTCATCTTCGTTGTGCTTAATCGAATTTCTGCTTGAATCTTTACTCGAATTATCATTTATTGTTGTTGGAGTCCCCCCATTTTTGCCTCTACTAATTGCTAAAGATGCACGTCTTTGACTTGCGATTCTTAATTCTCGAAAACGTTCTTTGTCTGATTGTTCTTCGGGGACGATAAATGCTGCTAGACCGCTGAAAGTATTGAAGGAGATTTAAGAAGAGTTAGTGGAGTAAGGGGAAGAATATTCTCTACTTTGGCCTTCAGAAATTGTCCTAGGGGATGTCCATTAATAGGGAAGAATTTCCGAGTAATTCTCTCCTATCTATTCTCTCCTCAAGTAATCCTCTCTATAGTGTCCAAAGAGATAAGGGTACCAGAAGGATTAACAGAAAGTCGAACCTGGACTTTTTCCACTCGACTTATTACAGAACAAATCCCATCCCTGGAGAGCACCCTCCTCTAAGGGAGCTCAAGATCGAAGTTTGAAACCAAACTTCGAATGGCCGATTTTAAGTTGGGTTTGAGCTATACTACCCTTCTCTATCCAACCCCTTGGTTATTATTTAGATTTCTTTACATGGGTGTGATAAGATAGATTTCAGATGGAAATCTCTCAGTTTAGAATGGCCTTTTTAACTTTTTTGAATACCTGAAAGTCTTAGCTACCGAGCCCAACGATGTAATACTCAATCTAGGCAAAGAATGCCGATTCCCTGGAAGATTTGAACCAAAATTAAAAGAGTAGGAAGAGGGTAAAGCATTATGACTAGCTGTAGATGCACGCCTTCGGCTTGCAATAAAAGGAAATGGTTGGGGACGAGGACGAGGCATTTCTGTTTGGGTAGAGATTGTTGATTGAGTTTGTTGTTGTTGTTGGTTTGGGGTTTCTGTTTTGTTGTTAAGGTTGGTAGATGTCTGTTATTAATTTTTAAATGAGATTTTTAAATTTTACGTTGAATAAAAGCTAATCCAACGTAAACACATATATTTGGCTAAGTCCAAGGAGTGGGGTTATGGGTTATATTATAGGAGTGGGTTATATGGAGTTGGTTATATCCCGATAGAGACTATAACGAGAGCTAACTGTCTTTTTATTCGAAGGTATTTAAATAAATCTTTTCTGCATTATCAAGTTCAAACTTAAAACTTAAACCTTCAAGTTCAAGCTTAATACTGGTTTGTAAATATAAGGTCGATTAAGTTTCCTCCCCAGCCTAGTTGATGGACATAACAAAACTACTCGGCTATAGAAGCTATAACGAGAATCAAGTGTATTTATATAAGTTCAAGCTTAAAACTAATAAGTGTAAGCTCAGGGAAGTATACTTCCCGCCTAGTTGTTACCCGCCTATACTAAATTTATTTTAATTACATCGTCTTCTTCCTGTTGTAATTCTTCCACCTTCTCTTCTTCTTCAACCTTTTGAGAATTTATTTTGGACTGATTAACCTCTTTAGAAGAATATTCAAAAATTTGAGGTATTGCTGGAGTAACTCTAATAATTGGTGGAGATGCGGGCAATAAAGAATTGGAGGGAGTAAATGGAGGTCTAAAAATGGGGAAAAATTTATGAAAAATAAAATTATGAAAAAAAAAAGCTTTTTAAAAAATGGAATTTAAAATGAATTTTTAAAAATGGGTATTTTTCTATTTTTATTTTTTTTTGTTACCAAAAAAATTTATTTTACGCTTGTTTGGTTAGGTTGCGAAAAATAAGCTTAATAATATTGTAGTTATTTTTAAGTTTAAGCTTAAAGCTTGATTGTTAAAGTTTAAACTTGAATTTTAAGTTTATTCTTAACTTTTAAAACTTACTTTTAAGCTTGAACTTGAGACATGATTTAATCTTAAGTTTTAGCTTAAAAACTTAATTTTTTTCAAGTTTGTGCTTAAAACTTGATTATTAAACTTGACTTATTTTCAAGTGTAAACTTAAAACTTATTTAAATAAGGTACACTCCATTTAATCATAAGATATCGTCATCTTAAGTGAATAACCGATTGTGGTTGATATAAACGATTCGATGATAGTCCGACGTGTTTTTGAGGAAAGTTTTTGAGTTTTGAGATTCCTGGACAGTATTACCGTGTGGAATACTAAAAAGTAAGTAAAGAAGGAAAAGAAATTCTAAAAAAATTAGCCAGATTGTAGGTATTAAAATAAAAATGTGAATTTGTGGAATTGCCATAGACAAAAGGAGACGTAAACTAAATAAAAAGCACACGTGAATTGAAGCGAAACTTTTTTAAAAAAGAAATAAATATTTTGGCTCTTTAAGGAAAGTAAGGAAAATTTTTGTTTCATTCCGTTTATAACAAAATTAGGTTACCTAAATTAAACTAAATGAGTATTTAAATTTGGAAATTTTTTAAGAATTTTAAATTTAGTTTTTGGTCTTTCTCTATGACGAAAAGGAGGTTAAAACAGGAATTCTTTCAGGTAATGATTTGGGGGTTTAAAAAATTAACAATAAAGTTAAGCTTTAAAAATAGGCTTAATTAGGAGTATAGGCAGTTTCTTGACCAAAAATGTTTTTGCTTTGAATCGAATAAATTTTATTTTATTTTCATCTTATTTATAATTCAATTCTCTAGCGAATGATACCAAATACAAAAATAATGGTTGATTTACAACTGAGTTATGGAGTAAAAACTAGCTTGGGTCTGCGCCCATAACGCTCATGCAGTTTTTTGACCAAAATTTCTTTGTTTTAAACCCGATGATTTTTATTCCCGACTTATTTTGTAGCAAATTCAATTCTCTATCGAATGATACCAAGATCAGAAATAATGGTCTATTTAACACTAAGTTACAGGGCAAGAACCAACTCGGGTCAACGTCCTCAGTTTCTCCACATTTAATAAAAATTATTTTTCAAACCTTACCTAAACCTAGCAACTTGTTCCTGTACAGCATTCTGCAACTTATCCATCATTATAGCATTCTTAGTTAACTGCTCAGAATTCGAAGAAATATTGCTTGTAGAAGCTGATTGTCCCCCACACCTTGTTAATTTTATTTTTGAGGGGAGTTCCTCCATTATTAAAATTTTTTAATTATTTTAAATTAAATTAATTTATTTTTGGCAATTTTTGGCAATTTTGTGGTTATTTTGAATCCAAATTTGGTCAGTATTTATATTCCTCATTTAATTCTAAATCGGGGGTTGTCAACATTTTATAGCGGAAATTAAAGCTAAACTGCTTAAAATGTTTAATTAAAGTGGAAATAGCTAACTAATAAAAAATAAAAAAAGGACACATCTGTTAGGGCACCTAATTTAAAGTTTTGAAGAGGAAACTTAATCAAGAATGATGAACAAAAATTGGAAGGACCGAAATTGGGCTCCATATTATCTTGTGGATGTAAGTATTGTCGGTTCTAGGGTTGGTCCCCGTCCCTCCCCCCCCCCCTCCCGTAGCGCTGCCTCCCGAAAAACATTCCCCATGCCACCTCCCCACGTCGGGGACCAACCCTAGTCGGTTCTAGGAGAATCTTCGATATTCGGAAACGAACCGACAACCTTCTGAACGACAAGCTTCTCAAGCATTTAGAATCAATCACAAAATTGAAGAAAATAAAAAATATTTATTTACATAATTTATTAATAAATGCAAAGAAAAATAAATAAAAGTCAAATTTGGAGGGATTCAATGTTCATAACAGAGATGAACTGAGATACAGAAAATCTTTCGAAAAATATCTCGAAAAATATTCATCTATATAACCGTGATTTTTATTTGGAATGCATAAAAGCAAAACCAGAATTCCAGAGGTTATGTCAGGGTTACCAAGGAACCTTGATATTTTTTAAAATCAAAAAAAAATCAGAAAATAGGAAAAATAACGATAGACTTTTACAAAAGAAAATAATTTTATTTTTAAATTTTACAAAGTACAAAATAGTCTTTTTTGGCATTTATCTCTCAAAGAATTTAGTAAGGAACAAGGTTCTGAATTTTTGGGCCAATATTCTTCAGAGACGATTGTTCCGTTAGCATATTCTCGAATATTGAGCATTTGTTGATCTGTTGATTCTGTCAGGGTTACCATACTTTGAATACTTAAAAATGAGAGATTGAAGAATTTTTAAAGACTTAGAGGTTCCAAGGTTCGGGTATAAGAGCGAAACCTAATAGACAAGGACATAGCGCCCCTGGTTTCTGTGAGAAGCTCTTGCTATCGTGCGGGTGTAACTTAATTCTGGGTGACTCTTCATTCCCTTAAATTTTATTGTCTTAAATGAAGATCCGGGTACTTAAAATAAAATGTGATTGCACGCATAAAATTTGATTGGACGCGTAAACTTTCATTGGGCGTGTAAAGGTGCAAGTGGACGCGTAATATGGACAAAAGCCATAAAAGACATAAATGGTGTCATGAAAATATCGCTTATAAGGAAGGTATATAATATAGGGAGTCAGGTATATAGAATTATAAAGTAGACTAAGATAAAGTAGCTAAAAAGTGTAAAGTAATCCTTAGAAACACTTAAGAGTGGGAAAGGTTGCTGAAAAACTAGAGTAACTGATTTGATATTGTTGGGATGCCGCGCCCTGATTAAGGATTTTCTCCAATAATCACTTAAAAACATTTTTCAAAATCAGCCTTACGTTGAGATCCCTCCCGAATTTTTGTAAAAAGCATATTCAGCTTTTCCCTGTTTATTAGCCTGTACAGAATATGAGAGTTGTAAATCCATAGCAATTCTATGCATTCCATACAGCACCAAAGATTCTGCTAAAGATTCGGCCAAATGATGTTCATTAATTAATTGCTGCTGTTTTAAAGTAAAATTTTCTTGACGGGGAGCTTTGGGTAGAGAAGGTTGACTGTCGTTTGTAGAAATATTTGGAAACATTTTATTATTTAGCGAACTTGCTGTTTCAGCTAAGACTTGAAGAGGGGTAGAAGGAGGTTCTGATGTTGAGGGCGTTGGTGTAGCTAAAAGTGTAGCCGAAGTGAGGCCGCTTTTGCGTTTTTGATGCTATAAAGGTGTTAAAATGAATTTTTGATCTTTAGAATTTTTTTTAATTTTTTAAAAATTTTTTTCAATTGAAAAAAAAATTTTTTAAGGTTTGGCGTTTTTTGCGCACACACAAGTTTTTTTATTGTTTAAATTAATTTTCTCACTGTTTTAGTTGTTGTCGCATGTTTATTTAAATCAGAAAAACATTGTTTATTCATTTGTTGTTCGAATTGTGTTTGGGGAAATAAAACTTGTTGTAATGCTGCAGCAAATGTTTCTGATGTTGTTTGTTGTTGTTGAAATGTTTGTAAAGAAGAATTGATGTTTTGTTGAGAGATGTTTTGTTGGGAAATGTTTGTTTTGGATGTTTTTGTTGTTAAATTATTTTTATTTCCATTCAAAACATGTTCATCCAAACAATGTTTGTTTATTTCTTGTTCTGATTGTTTTAATGATGTTTGTTGTTGTTGTTGTTGTGCTCTCTGCACCGCTGCCATCCATTCTAAATTACACAGCCAAGTTGCAAAAGCTTGTTGTTGTTGAAAATTCTGATTTATGTTTGTTGAGGGAAAATTCTGATTCTGTTGTTGAAATGCTTCAGAAGCAAACAAGGCAAACATTTCGTTTAATGTTTGTTGTTGCAAAACATGTTGTTCATTTGTTTGTATGCTTCTCTGCTGTAATTGTTGAAGCATTGCACTAGTTTCGAGTTGTTGTAATTGTGACAGTTGGTTTATTGCAGCAGCCTAAAAAAATATTTTGTAAAGGGTAAAAAATTTAAAAAATTAAAAAAATTTTTTTTCTTACAGTTTCTAGCCTCGCAAGAATCTGAGGGTCAAAAGGCAAATTTTGTTGTCGAGTCATTTCAAAATTTAAATTATTAATTGCTTGTTGAGGGGCTTCAGAACCATGTGCTGGGGACAATTTGCCTTCTTTTTGCTGTTGTTGATTTTGTAATAAAGCAGCAGTTGAATATTTTGTAAGAGAAGGGGTGTTAGGAGGAGATTTTTGAATATTTGAAGGTATTGTTCGGACAGGAAAATTGGGCGGGGAGGTAGATGAGGATGAAAGGGAGGAAGTAATTGAAGGAGTACTTGATGTGGGTAACCCAAAGAGAAGATTTTGGTTGTTAATCAAATTTTGTTGATTTTGTAGAGTTGAAAGTTGAACAAGTTGTTGGTGGGATAACTAAAAAAGAGTAAGAGTAGGATAAGGAAAAGCCTTGTTATCAGGCAGGAAGCAGACCTACGACCTTAAGGAAGCTACAGAGGCAATGACCCTCATATAGATCTTAAACCCTCCTATAGTCAGCTAGATCCTCTATAGATCTTCCATTTTTTAAAGACAACTGAAAGAGCCACCTATCCTAACTCCTCCCGGAAGCTACAGAGGTGATGCCACTCATCTCTTATCCTCCTATAGCCAACAATAAAGAGTCCCCTTTCCTGACTCTCACTATATTGTTATGAGAGGAATTTTGCCACCACTCCTGTTATATCCAACATCCAACGGAGATGGTTAGTTGGGGTGGTTGGTTTGGAGCTAATTTTTGGGCCAGAAAATTTTTTTCTCCTTTAAACTACCTCAAATTTCTGTTCAGCATTCTCCCCAACACTTTGTGGACATTTCATCCCATCCTCATTCTCTTCCAACTTCAAAAGTGTCTGAATAGAGAGGGCAGTACCCATTGGTTGTTTACCCCTTTCTAAAGCAGAATTGACTTCAAAGTGTTTTCCTTCCTCATTTTCTTCTTCTTTAATCATTTGCCGCTTCCCTTCAGCAAATAGAGGAGTATTGCTTCCACTATTCCCACTACTGCAATACTCAAAACCAACAGAATTTTTTATATTTTCTTCCCCCTCCTCTTCAGAACTATTATTTTCACTTATATTGCTGCTACAACTACTCGAATTTGAATTTTGCGAATTTTGGCATTCTGTATTATTTTCCAAATTTTCAATTTTTGGCTTCTTCTGCCTCGAAGATTTACTTTTTTTCTTGCTATCCCCGTTGTTTTCTCCTCTCATTCTTCGGGTTCTTTTAAGACGAAAAGTTTCTTCTCCGACAAGGTCGGAATGGAAGGCTTTTAGATGCCCCCACATTGATTTTGTTGAAGAATCTGAACGCTTCATAAATTTGCCGCAGTGATTGCAGTTGACTGAAAGACCGTTAGGGGCCATATAAAAATGGTTCCAAACTTCTGACATTTTGAGGAAGTTAAAAATTTTTTTTTTTAAATCTGAAAAAAATTAATATGAGAAGAATTAATATGAGAGGAAAAATGAAGGGGAAAAATTGAGGGGGAAATAGGGGGGGAATGGAAGGGAAAATGAGGGGAGGGAGGGGATGAAGGGAGGGGAAATCAAGGGGGGAATCAAAATGGGAGAGGGAAAAATCAGGGAGGGGGAGAATGAGAGGGGATGAGGGGGAAAATGTGGGGAGGGGGGGGGGGGGAAGGGGATGAAGGGGGAGAGAAATACGTTGCTCTACAAATTTAAAAATTAAAAGGGCAAACTGAGGGCAATAAAAAAATTTTTCTGTCTACTACACTAAAATAAGGGCCCCTTTAAAATTTAATTTTGAATCCTAAGACCTCTAAAATTTTTTCCACTAAAGTTTTTTATAAAAATTATTTTGGTTTTTTCCTAAATGTTTAAGCTCTTTTTGAACCGTGCAGCACCAGTCAATGACCATCGGCACGGGAGCCTTTTTACTCGGACCGAGGGGTCCCATTCTGAGATTGGTTAAGATAGGACTTATGGAAGGCACCTGAAAGTGTCTGGATAAGGGATGGAACGGACTTGAGGACCGATAAAACTTCGAATTTCAAAAAAAAGAAAAATCAGTCTCGACGTATGGAACGTTCTATTGGAGGTCTCTAAGAGGAAAGGGGGAAGGAGTTAATAATTCCGCTTCCATTTTCTATGCTTCCAAGTTCCGACTTCCATTTTTTATTTTCTTCTAGTTGATTCCTCCTTCAGTCTTCTGCTTTTAAGCATCCGGAAGGTAGAGACATCCGAGACTCTTGGTCTTAAGTCTTGATTCCAAGACTTTTCTTGGGTTTTTTTCGAGGCTTTTCTTGGGTTTTTTCGGTCTTGGTCTTGAGTCTTGGAAAATTTTCGGTCTCGGATCTGACGTCTCTAATGGAAAGGGCTCCAGTTTAAAAAAATTTTTGACGAAAGAAAGGAAGTTTCAAAGGGCGAAAGGCTCGAAACAACCATAAACAGTAATCCAAAAATGTTCATGATCAAAAAAAATTTTTAGAGGATTTTTAGATTTGAGCAAACGGACAGAGTGTATTTATAAAATAAAAGAAAAACGGAGAAAAATGTTGAGAAGAATGAAAATGGGCGCGGGAAGGAGGAAAATAAAGTAGTTAGGAGTAAAAGTGTCAAAAGGGATATGGCGAGCTTTTTGGAAGAAAATGGGGAGGGGGAAGAAGTGGGAAGGGGGGAAAGAAGATTGAAGGTTTGAATGGAAAAATAAGGCAAAAAGGAGGTGAAGAGAAGGGTGGAGGACCTAAAAAGAGTAAAAAAAAGTGACGGTGAAGAGGGGGGAGAAGAGGGGGGGATTCCATTCGTTTTGACTATTTTTGTTCTGGTCGTCCACTGTCCCGAAATGCCCGAAATGACTCTCTTCACTAGAAAAAGGATGTTGGTGATGAGGGGAAGGGGGAAAGTTGGAAAAAAGAAATAAAAGCAGAAGGAAGGCGAAGAGCAAAATGCGGATGAGGAAACAACAAAAAGAAGAAAAGGGCATTTGGGGAAAATGGGGGCTCCTCTCTCTCATTGTTGACTGGACGAGTGGTTATGGAGAGGGGGGATGGATGGTTGGGCGAATAATAGGGAGGAAGAGGAAGAATAAAAGAAAAAATAGGAAGAAAACGGGGGCGGAAAAATGTGAAGAAAAAAAATATAAGAAATAAAAGGGTTTGGCGGGGAATGAATAAGAAGAAGAAAATGATGGGGGGAAGGGGGAAGGATGGGGGGAGAAGAAAAAAATTTTTTTGCCGCCACCACACATCCGTATGTGATGGGGTAAAATGATGGGGAAGAAAGGAGGAGAGGTCGAGTTACGAGAAAAAAAAGATTGGGTGGGGCCAGAAGTGCGGGCAGTTAAAGATGGGGGGAAGGGGATGTGGTTGGCGAAGAGGGAGGAAATGATAGGGGATGGAGGGGGAAGGAGGAGGAAAGGGGAAAGGAAAAAATTTTTTGGGGAGGGTAATTTTGGCGGGTTGTTTGCTCAGCAATGGAAGAAGCAAAAAAAGGAGGATGGGTGAAGGGATGGGGGAAAGGAAGAGGAAAATAAAAAGAAAAGACTTGCGCGGATTTCTCCCTTTAAAAATTGTCAGACTGCCCTTCTGCCATCTTAAAGATTTCTTCCCTCTTATCCACCCAAAAGTGCAATGACAAGACAGCTTTTTTGAGGTCCCTCATAAGCCCTTTTTATTTATTTGACCTTTTTTCTAGCTTCTCTCGACTTCTAGGCCTTTAAAATTTTTAAAAATTTTTTTGTGATCTTTTGTCACCCCAAAAAAATTTTCTTTGTTTTACCCGATTTTCTCTATAATTTTAGTTTGAGCAATCCCCCCATTTATCATTAGAATAAAAAAAATTTTTTCTATTCGAGAGAAAGCGACAAAGGGGCTCTTTTAATAGCTTCCGCTATTATCGGCTGACTGCAACGTAAAAATAAATGTCAAAGGGAACGCAGCTGAAAAAAATTTTTTTGTAGCCGACTCTTTCAATTTTCCTTTTTTGGCTTCTCATGCTCTTCCCTTTTGCAAAACTTTTTTTTCTAATTTCCGTTTTTGTCGTTGTATTTTTTTTATTGAGAAGGTGAATAATGAGAGAAGAATTCCTTTCTTTATATAAAGACACACAAGTGTTCATTAAAAGAAAAATATTTTTTTTCTACAAATTGAGGGGGCCATAAAAAGGTGCAAAGATCAAAGCAATAAAGATAGGTATGTAACTAAATGGAGATATGAGGAATTATGGAGAAGATTTAGTCGAGGCAATCTTTAACAGAGACCGGACTGGGAGGGTTGTACGGGAATCGAGATATCCTGAGAAGATGGAAGAAAGGAGGAGACCATCAGGGACAGCTTTTATGAGGTCCCTCATATGGAAAGAGATTTGGCGGTAAGAAAAAAAATAAAAATCTGTAAAGAAGACATGAAGCCAGAAGGATACATATCCCGAAAAATCTCGATCTGATAACCAAGATCTTTGTTTGAGTCTCGGTCCGGTCTATGATTTCGAGGAAGAGATATGGAGAGAGGTGGGTGGGAGACGAAGGGCGGAGGGGTTTTGATTTAAAGAAGAAAAAGGAGAGGGAATCTCTGTATATTCTGACTTTAAATGAGAAGATATTTGATAAGTAAAAGAAATTCTTCATAAAAGAAAATTCTTCAGATTCCTTCATGGAAACTCCAAACCTCCCCCTTTTTTATCTTCAAAAGATAGAAACAAGAAGTACCTGAGGGATACTGTATGAGTGAGTCATTCATCTCTCCCTCTCTTCTTGAGTAACTGAAGGAAGAGTATTTAAAATTGGAATTTTGAAAGATTTAATCTGGAAAGGAATATTTGGCGGTAAGAAAAAAAATTTTTTAGAGGAGAAAAAAAATAAAAAACTGTAAAGAAGACATGAAGCCAGAAGAAGAATAAAAAAAATTTTTTTTAGGTGAAAACGAGGACGGAACTGTTTGTGTGTGTTTCGCTCACAATTTCACTTCTAAATAAATATGAGGAGAATGGGCGGCAAGGGGAAAGGGGAAGAAAAAAAAGAGGGCAAAGAATGTTTGGGAAGTCTCTCTAAGGGGGGAAGGGCGGATGAGGGAGGACGGACGGATGGCGAGAAAATGGGCGAGACGACGACTAACCAACTAAAAAAGGGACGGGGGCGGAAGAAAAGAAAGGAGAAAAAAATGAGGAGGGGGGAAGGGGGGGGGGGAAGGAGGAAATGGGAGCGGACAAAAAAAGAAAAATGCGGATGCTAAAAGAGGTTGGTTAGTTGGAGGGGGGTGGTGACAGCAAAAAGGGAAAAAAGAAAGGAAAGAAAAAATAGGGGGCTGGTTGAATGGGAAAAATAGAAAAAAGGGCAAATGGAGAGCCAAACAAAAAAATATAAAAAAAAAAGAGGAAATGCTCTTCTCAGTTGGTGTGTGTGTTTGGGGACCGGTTGGACTTGGAAGTAGTAAAAGGAGAGAAGGTGGAAGACGAACAATTAACGAGCGGAGACAGAAGAGCGGTAAAAAAAGAAGAAGAAAATGGGGGGAAGGATAAAATGAAAAAGGAGGGGAAGGAAAATGCTGTCACGGGCGAGCAACGGAATTAGCTCTTTTGGAGGGTTAGAAAAAAGGAGGGGGTGAAAAGCTGGGAAGGGGTGGTTAATAAAATCCAAAAGAGCAAAATTTTGGGAGCTTTTTGGGGGAGAGATTAAAATATAAATGACTTAGAGAAGGGGTCGGTCGGAATTCCGATTTCCGACACCCTCATCATTTCCGATCGACCCCTGGTTGAGGGCCTATAAATATTGAAAATTAAGCCAGTAGAAAGTCCGGCATTGAACACTACATTTGGAAAGAAAAAATTTCTCATGAATTTTTTTTCAGAACTTCAACTATGTCCGTCCTGACTTTAAACTCCAAGAAAAATTTTTCCTTCTGAATATGGGTATGTAATTTGAGAAGAAAAGGATAATAGCGAGGATTGAGTTGGAGTGAATGGCTGTGGATTTGTAGGGGGATAGAGGGAGAAGTATGTTCCTTTATAAAGATGGAAATTGGTGGTTTACGGATAGAATTTTGCTGGATGATGAAAAAATAGGTGTGCAAAAATGTTTTTAGAAGGAATTTAAGAAGTAGAGCTGACTCATAAAAAAAGAGAGAAAAGTTCATGAAATAGGGAGTCGGGTTATTCAAACCTGATACTCGAACCTGGATTTTCTTCGACTCGAAATTTCTTTCCTTTTTCTTCTAAACAATTCCGGAAATATTCCGTAAAATATTTTAATTGTTCTATTTGTTCCGGTAATTCTGATTAGAACTAAATACGAGCTTTTTAAACACACAGATTTTCTCTATATTTAGCAAAGCTACTTTTATTTTTGGAAACTTCTAACTAGTTTTTTCGTCCCGAAATCCGACCTGAGAAAATTTTGAAATCCGCCCTGACTTTATTTTTCTTAACCCGTCCTTTCCCTCGTTCAAACCAAATTAAGGGGAAAAAAGAAACGGAAGTTG